TTAAAGTTTTACCATATCCGGTGGAAATTTCAACGAACCGGTATTATTTTATTACTAACAATGCGATGGTGTGAAGTGTAACCCTCCGAATTGGCTGAAATTTTGAAATTACGTGGTCCAAGTCACTACAACAAACGTTTCTTGAGGCAGTTTGTGCAATGGTCAGAATTTGGCAAAATATTTGAGGTCAAAGTTGAAAAATAGGCAATTTTTCCCTTTGAAAGGAATGGGAGTCGGGTTTGCTCCCTGCGCTTGGTAAAAATCGCCCATTTTTTCAACTTTGACCTCAAATAGCTTGGCAAATTCCAACCATCGCACAAACTGCCTCAAGAAACGTTTGTTGTAGTAACTTGGACCACGTAATTTCAAGATTTCAGCCAATTCGGAGGGTTACACTTCACACCATCGCATTGTAAGTGGTAGCAACTTTAATACTTAAAAATTAATGCCTGTGTAACTGTGCCAGATTTCTAACAGTTTATGTAATACAAATGTGTAAAAACTGCAAACATAATATTTTTGCACAGATTTTGATTAATCCAAGAAATTCAAATACTAAGAATTAACCAGTACATGAAAAAGAGCCTCATTGAAACGTAAAATTTTAAATAGAGTCCTCCCCCCTACTTGTCATTTTTTTGACGATCTAAATAACATTTCCATTTTCCGACGAGCAGATCGGAAATGAAATTCCGTTCAAAAACTTGAAGTAGCTGAAGATCACTTCATCTTCATTACTGTACTCATTCAATTTCAGTCTCGTTTGAACCTCACTCACTGACACCCTTTTCATGCAAAACTGCATTTAATTTAAAGTCTGACTCATCCTCAGAACCCTTTATTTATCAGCGAAGGAGTTTTTTGATGCGCCCTGATATTGAGGGTGACGTCGGATGAATGATAAATACGGGAGAGGAAGACAACAAATGACAAGTCAACCGTCACTCAAAACCTGGTGCATTTATGCACTAATTCATTTTCATTCTTTCCATTCATTCTTCATACTTATCAAATTATTAAGCAATTTTGACTGTAAAGATGGTTCGGAGTGAAAGCAGAAGTTTAATGGTTTTCAATTTAGGTAAGAAGAGAGAGAAAGGTCTTTGCGATGTCGATATTATTTAATAAGTAAGAGGTTTAATTAGGAATGACAAAGGGAAGAATTTAATAGGACGGTAGACAGACAGCCGATAGCAAATATGATAAGCAAGGAGGTTTGAGAAATGAAATGCATTGGAAGCTAGTACATAATGGAAGGGGAAAGTACATAGAGATGTACATAAATAACATGCACATCTCGCCTAGATTTTATTAAACAAAGCCTCTAAAATGGATACTGAACTTTAGTCGAAAATCTATCCACTAATTTAGAGTTGCATTTCATTTAACGAGTTTTACGTGGAAAGTCGTAGATAACATTGTGCTCACTTTCACTGCACAAATAAACTTTCACTGGACCACATCGTCTTTTTTCTCACATGGCCCTTGTTCTTCTGGCTTTTGGTAGGATTTAGTTAAGCTCTCTTTTGCTCTGCCAGAAATTTGTGGCCAATTTCGTTATTGCCACCATTTCCTAAAAAACTATGTTTATTTGTCCAGTTTACAGCTTTGTTGAACGAATTGATTGCTCCGTGTTCCATTTGACTGGGTTTATTATGGTCGTTTAACTCCTTTAATGGCAAACTTATCTCACCTCCGCAGACAAACAATTTCCTCAGCCAGCCCACATACATACATTCGTACAATTGTTGGCAATGACAATGCTAAGCAAATAAATTATGTCGTTTTGGGTGGCCAAGTAGAGAAACACGGCACAATAAAATCCACCCAACCCATAATTTAAGGATGGTAAAAGCAATTATCTAGAGTTAAACAATTTGTTTGATTACAAGTAATAAACCAATTCGTGATTTTAAACTTACGCAAAAAACATGTAAAGATTTAAATCTTACGCAATTTACAGGACAAAAATTTGTAACAATGAAAGGCAAAACGAAAATTTATAACCCTGATTACATAGATATTGGCTATTGCCATAAGGACTATGTCCATAACGAAATTTGATTACCAGTTCAAATTAATGAAAGCCAAAATGAAGCCAATCCCTACAGAAATTTAAAGAAATTCACAAAGATATGTACAGGGTGTTAATAAAGTCCGATCCCATTTTTCCTGTAAAAAAGTGAAGGCTAGTATAAAAAAAACTACCCGTGATACTTACAAAAAATGTTCGACATATTTACCTTAGTATTTGGTCTTGTTACCATTTACTTTAACCATGCCCTCAACTCTTTGTTTAAGGCTCTGTGCTAATTTTTCCAATGTGCCTCTGGAAATCGAATTCCATACATCTTGAACTTTTTTTTACTAGCTCTTCCCTCGTCCGGGGTTGTGGCTCTTTGTATACATTTTCCTTAAGTATGGACCACTGGTTCTTCAGGGGATTCAAATCTGGGCCGTTAGCGGCCCACACCCCCTTGCTCCAGACCGTTGAAACTTGCGTCTTGATGAGACTCAAACTCGCTTTTGCTGTATGGGCTATAGCACCATCCTGCATGAAAACTATTTTTCTTTCATTCGGAAATATTTCCTTGTTCCCCATGCTATCGAAATAGATAGGTAATATTTTTTCCATATAATGCTTTGCATTGACTGATTTGCCTTTTGGTATGATATGTAGAGGGGTCACGCAACGTGCACAAAATCCACCCGCTACCATAACTTTAAGCCCGAATTTTGGGATCGCTCTTGATGGTACATCCGATTTGTTTTCTGTCCTGTAACGAACATTTTGTTGGTTCAATTTTGGATATAGTTCAATAATAGATTCGTCAGTCCAAAGGATGTGACTGCGCAATTCTTCACCAAGTCTTTTTTCACTCAAATGGGCACTTTTCTGAAGGAGTTCTTCAAATTTCAGACGGTCATCGATATATTTTTGTGACATGAGAGGTTTTTTTAGTTAGTTTGTAAGCTGTGTGACCCCACTTCGTAGTTTTCACAAATTTTTGCACGGTCACACAGTTAATTTGCTTCTTCTTCTCTTTATAGCGTTTTGAGTCATTTAACTCCCTTGCTCAATTACGTAATGAACTACCGGTTTTCTTGCAAAGTCTGTTTTTAATCATTCTTTTTGTGGTAGGTGACACCTTTCTGGGTCGCCCTGGTCGCTTTTTGTCGTGGACAAAATTTTTATTCTTCCATTTCCAAACAGTTCTGCGGCTGCAGCCCAATTTTTGCACAATTTCTGTAGGTTTAAGCCCCTGCTGATGCAATGTTTGTATCTCAACTCTAAGATGCTCATGACTTACACGTTTAGTTGTTCCTCCCATGGTAAAAATTTGAAATAAATAACTTCACTGGTTCAAAAGTTCCAGCTGAATTTGTAACAACCACGCTCCAAAAAATGCATGGGATCGGACTTTATTAACACCCTTTAAAATCAGTTTGCATTTAAGTCTCATTTTCTCCCTCGTCATCAACTAACTTTAAATGAAAACCAAAATCGAAATAATGTTACGTCCTGACAAACTAAAACGCTTCTCTTCTCAATTTCAGAGGTTTCTATCTCGTTTTAACCCCTATGTGCCTCAAGGTGTTTCATCTCTTTCACTATCCTCGCATCCTTCCGCACCATCACGGTATTTAGAAAATATAAAAGTGTATCCGGATTTCATCTCCTTTTCGGTTCTTTTTTTCTAAAGGGGACGTTCATAAATTACGTAATGCAAAATCGCGATTTTCTAGATCCCCCCTTTAACATGTTTCACTTAGGCACAATATCATTGGAGCCATTGTCCCCCCTCTCGCGTTACATAATTTACGAACGGTCCCAAATGCATTTCCATCATCGTTTTTCCACCGACATCATCACAATTTTCTCCTTTGCATGGATGAAAAACTAATGAATTTCCCTCCTGTCACCAAAAATGAGTCGGGCAACACTTTTACTTTTACACATTTTAGTTGTCCCGAAATGTATGCAGTGTTAGTTAACCGTCCTCAAATCATTACAAAAATTTCAACTTGGCATAAATATTCGACTTTTGGATATATTTACACATGTATGGAAAATGAGATGAATGGTGGAAAGGGTTGGTGGGGACGGGTCCATCATTTACGCCGCTTTTAATTTTGAGTTTGCCATGCTACGTTATTTAGAAAGAGGCGACATGAAGGATATTTGCATTTTGCGTTCACTTTCATCCAACAGTTCGTTTGGTGCTGGGAAGCGGAGGAAATGCAAATAGAGGAAAAGTTAACAAATAGTGATGCACTTTAATGGAAATGAAACTTGAGAGATCGACATGCAGGACGGGAGATGGATATCCGATTTCAAATCGTGTAATGATGCACATTTGACTTCAATGTCCTCGTGAAAAACAAGTAAAGTTTAGGCATAGGAAATGCATGTATGTATGTACCAGTATGCCAAATGTACATATGAAAATATGACAATTTTAGAAATTTTGAAAAATGCTAAGCTTAGAAGTTCAAGTTTTTCCACCCATTTTTATAGCTTTTGAAAAAAGTTTATAGTTTTCATTTGTAAACGTGGTAAACATTTCATCATTTCAAATTTGTCCTCTGCTGGATTGGATAGCTGCCAATGTGCAATTTCGGCGAGTAACAACAACATCGAAATGTGTTTTGATCTCAACAGGATCTTTTTACAGCACTATGTTGAACAACGCTGCGAACCCACTGCATTTTTTGTAAATATGTAACATTCTAAAAACACAAAAACAAAAGTGCGTGCGTGTGCTGCTGAAAATTCAGGTTCACTTTAGCTCAACATTCTCTTTTAGATTTTATGACGTTATTGGTTGTCACTTTTTCGACAAAAAGAACAATATGGTTGCACTTTTTTTATTAAGTTTTGAGAAACAATATCGAGCTTTCAATTCTTTCTTTGTAAAACTGATTCAAAAAGTGACGGAAGTGAAGTTGGCGTACTATTTTTACTATTTTTCTAAATTCCTTTACTCTTAAAATTTCAGATCCCTCTCTGGACCCTGAAGTACTTACTTGTCCAGCGTGTCCATAATTATATAGTTAAAGTGAAATTGTGTCAGTGAAGTGAAAATTTATTCGACTTTGTCCTTACTAAACTGTGGAGTGAAAGTTATTATCATTTCTGCATAACTTTTCCCAACGAATGTGTCCCCGTGGGGAAGAAAAGCAGGTGGACGGGCATCGATGATCTCGGTGTCAGTAAGAGGAGACAAGATCGTGGATCACCACGCGCTCATCAGCATCTCAGACCTCAACCACAAAGGTTAAGAATATTATATGTCGTTTTTTCATTGAGCTTTTTCGTGATTGTTAGAAATATGTACATCATTTGGTGATAAGCAAACGTCATAAGTATTGTAGTAAAGGCTGAAATAGTATGCGATACTTTGAACAGATTGATTATTGAGGCAATTCACGCAGTCCTTGCTAACTTTGTAAAATCAGTAAATTTTGTACGATAATTTTGCAAACTATAACAACATATAAGTAAGGACGCCCTTGATCTGAGTAAGCTTGCACAAATTTGTAAGTACATTTCTTTAGAAATATTTATAAAAGTTTTTAAGTTTATGGATTTTACGAATTTTACAAAGGAATTTTACAATGGACTGCGTGAGAGTGAGTTGTACCATTTAAAAGGAAAATTTTCAGGTATTTCACTACAGCAGGAAGCAAATCTATGAGGTGAGTTACTGGACTGTACATAAGTTTGTTGTATTGATTTCATACATACATAGTTTTCATTCGGAGTGAGTCATTTCCACGTCCTTCAGCTTCCCCATGGTCTCAAAGTTTTGTCCCCCCGAACTCATCTGTCATCATTCATTATCAACACTACTGATATTCATTCGCATACATGTGTACCAAAAATACAAATATATCACAGTGCTTGACCATAGATTCGTCCGGAGTTTGTTTTCTACATACGTAGCTCTTTATTATACTCGTGAGAATAAATAGGGATTGTATTTGAGGAAATGCAGCTTATTTGTGTACTTTTTTTCGTCCAAATGAGTGGATTCTCGAGAAGAGATGTTAGCTGTCACTTTATTTCTACTTTCATTGCGCTCCAGTGAAATGCGTGATATCGACGCAATTAAAGTTCTGTGGGGCTGAAGACATATGTAATTATGTCTCAGATTTCCTAACTCTGTAGGATCTCAAATGTACAAATGTATATATGTTGGTTCCACACATCTAAATTTTATACTTATATTTCCTAAATACATGCATATGTACATACATCGATATGGTTTAAAATATAGTTCATCACGGTGAGACAGATATTAAATTCAACTTGCTGAATTTCTAAGCGATTACATGAAAATAATAGATTGCTTGTGTGAATCAGTAAAATATGAATCAGTCACTCTTGACTGAATGAACGCTTCCGAATCGAAAATGGCTAAAAGGAAACAGGAAAAGTGTTCAATATTCAGTAAGCAATCAATCCTGTAGTTTTGTTTTTGCTTGATTTGCCATCAGTCCATTCTGCCGAAGGGAATTTGGTGGGTGGATTGAGATTGAGCAAACAGACAGATGCGAATGACATGAAAAGAAAAGGGTGTGAAGCAAGCACTTGTGGATGAGATTTGATCCTTGTTAAAGAGAAAAAGAGGAGAAAGTTTGGAATAGGGGAGAGATTTGTGTAACTTTATGATGATTTTTCTGCATAAAGACGGATCAAATAGAGACGCTTAATCACCCGTTTAATAAAAATAGTGGATTATTTAACTTAATCTTTCAATGTGAAAAAATCGACAAATTGTATAGATATTATACAACTTAATTTGAAGTTTGTTCATGTTTTCGTATATAAATCTGTTAACTTTGAATGATGTTATTTATTCGCGATATACATATAAGTTAGATATTGAAATATTGATATCGCTTAATTAGATTAACGCTTTCCGTCATCAAAATTATTCCTCTCTCAGAATTTTATTGTTGGAAACATAAAATGTTATTACTGTTTTCTGACCTGTATAAATATATGTTTAGCATGCCAACGTTTATCCAACAACATGCCTCGAACAAGAACAAATAACATAAAACTTTGATGAATTTCCTTCCAAATAAGTAAATATATGCTTATTTTCCTTAGTTTGGATGAGGGAACGTTTTACCATATCACTCACAGTTTTAGCGTGCGTTTGTATGATTTTATGTCGTTGCGCTGAACAAAATTTCTGTGGCATTTCATCTAGTTTTCCTAAACAGTAAAACTACCCATGTGTCGAGTTGAATAACACTTTCTCCCCACACAAGTCGTAATGTCGCCCTTTGGAAATCTACCAAACCCAAAATTTTCTCCATTCCACTTGCCAAGTTGCTCTTTGTCGTCTTATGTTACAAAGTTGACAAGCGAATGTTGAAAGTTAGACCAAAATCTGGATGAGAATTCCAATTTCTTGCAGTTTTCGTGCCATGATAGCTTCAAAGAGAAGCAAAAGTCTTGGCTGGATGTCTGACGGTGGGGAATGGACCACTTTAGCTGTCCGTCGTCCAGCTAAGTACGATGTGGCGTATTTTGGCGTGAACATTAGACTATTATTTAAGCAGGAAATGCATTTCTTGTGGCAAAGGGTAAGATGTGAATTGTGTAGGAATTTCACCAACCATACCAGATTTTCTCCCCTCTAAATACGTATAAAAATTTGGAAGGGGTAAGAAATCCAAAACCCGTGGGGAGCAGATTGCCCTGCCTTAAATGAGGTTATGCTGTCAATCAAAATCCAAGTGGAGTGAACCCTACTGGGAAAGAGGGATTGAATATTGGGGGATTAGGGGGATTTATGCATTAATTATAGTGTAGCACTTTTTAAGATTATCTATTTACATGCAAATGAATAACCTTTAGAAATGACATCTCAATTTATCCGAAAACCAGAATTTAAACTGGTGTGGAATCTAAATTCAAATTGTTGATGAGTTTATGATTTATGAACATGTAAATTATATAAGATTTGCGAATACAGCAGAATTTTCGCAATTTTTAATTTTTAATCAGAACAGAAAACAGTTCAACACAATATTTGTCTTTTTCTATGCACATTGCAGTGTGGGGTAGCCCAACCTCTCCTAACATGGGATCGTCATCAGGGAACAACTTGAGGCACAGCTCTGAAATGGACATGGGGCCGTTTCACGACCCCAACCACTCCTCCACCATCGATGAGTACGACCCCGACGAAGAAGACTATGACGATTACGATGAAGGCGACGATGTCGAATTGGAATCTCATGGGAAAGGAAGCAACCGAAATTCAGAGTGAGTTCCTATTTATTTCAAGTCATCCCAAAGTATATGTCGACCCCCTTAAGCGGATAAAATAAATATATTTATAAACTCAAAATTGGAAAGCATGTATAGTTTGCATATAATGACACTAGGGAGAAAGTTGCAAAAAATAGTAAATAGAATGGTTTATTCTTTATTTATCGTGACCGGACTCATTTTCAGTTGCAGCAATTGATTTAAAAATGACGATTGGCATTGAATATGATTTGGAGATTTGTCCGCCAACAACCTCAACAACATGAATCAAAATGTCTCTCTATTATAGCAATGCATATTTTTGCGACAAATTCGGCTTTTATTGTTCATGTATGCATTTCGTGGAATTTCATAAATAAATGACAGAAGTATTGTTCTAATTATTCCGTTTCTGAAAGTGTGAAATGGATGCGATATAGGGTAATCGGGTAGAACTTTTTTTCCTTGAAAGTACGAACACATTAATGTGTGCGTATTATTGGGAATTGCCAATCGTAGATGCAAGTTGACAGCGACAAGATTTTACAAAATCATCAAAAAAAATGTTCTTTTCTGAATGACAACTATTTTCACTTACATTTGAACTGTGTCAATACATATAAATAAATATACAAAACTCTGAAGTTTAATATGTATGTAAGATTTTGAGATCTCTTCTTTCCCGACAAAATTGTAGCTGCTCAAAATGTCTGTCTTCCATGGTTTCATAAGAGGATACCCATTTTTGTTCAGAAACCATTCTTTTCTGTACACGCACGCATTTTGTTGGATATTGTGATGCGTTCATGTGGCTTCGAGAGGAAATGTGTGCAAATACACAGACAGAGGAATGTGGTAGCCATCTTAAATCTAAATAAAATTTTATTCCTAACAGTTATACTAAATATTTATGGCAAGAAATGAAACATGGTTCTTTTAGCTGTCCGGCACTTGACAGTTAGGACTTTGTTCATTCAGGGACAGGATTGTGTTGGGTGATCGGTCGGTGGTGAAACTGAATTCATTTTATGAGGTCCTCGTGTGAGTGAAAGTGGTGAAAGGTTGGACACACAATTTTCTCCACTTTCACTTTCACTGCTACACGTTTTATATATCTCGCACTCTGTCACTTTCTTGTGTGGATTTAAGTAACGGAATTCCTTCCCTCGTCTTTTCCACCAAATTTTTGTTGGACATGTGAAAGTGCGGAGTGCATTATTTCCTGATTTTTCTTACAACTGTCCTCCAATAAATCATTTCCCTGGTGGTGGAAGTGGTTTTTTTTATTTTGTGAGTACCAGCGCTATTTTAAGTGGTCTTTTTCCGTGGATTTGTCATTACCATGATCATCTTAATCAGCGTGGAATTTGAATTCTTTTAAAGGATGGAATCCGGGAGGAAATTGGAGTTTGAGAAGAGAAAGTTTTGGTTTTTGAGCCCGACTGTTCATAGATCAGACCAGATACATGTTAATAAGTAAATATTTAGTAGTTCTAAATAGTACTGCAAAGCGATATCTAAATATTTAAATGTGCATTTTCAGAAAATTTTCTAAAATAATTTTTACAAAATTTGGAATATTATATTTAAATCTAGAACAAATTTTATCCATGCGCCGGCAGTACAAAAAGAATGACAACACTTTCGACAAGAATTAAGAACTACATAGACACTAAATGTGAAATTTGTTGATTAGGACTTCAGTGAAAAAATTATAGTATGCATCAAGTTGACAAGGAACAATTGTATTTGTACTCAAATATTCCCGATTCGGACGTCCCGAAATGTAAATAGTTATACTTTCACTTTCCCTTGCTTTTATCGGAATTGCATTATTTCCTGATGGTGGGAGTGAAGCACATGTCATTTCTCTCCTTGACTGCATTTCCTGTCTGACAAATTTGGCCAGACTGCATTTCCACCTAGAAACTTAGACAATATCCACTCAAACATCCGCCCACCCATCAAGCCACGAGTTTCTCATCTCTCTCTAGAACCACAATCGTATATGGCGAGAAACCAAAAAGAAAATCTTTTTATTCCACAAAAAGCCAACCTAACGAGGATGGAAAGAATAACAAAACTTTACAGTTTTCCATCCCTGTTGATCTTTCAAACCAGTTATTTCACTTTTATTGCAAAGCAAGAGACAACATAATCTTCGTCTGAAGGAAAATATCTTTTAGAGAAAATTGAGATTTTGACTCCAGAAATTCCGATACTTGTTTTCTAAAAAAATTAAAATTTAATCACATTTCCGTTTTTCTAAGGAACTACATATATACATCCTCTTTTATCCCCCTATAAAATAAGTTTAGTGTTTATTCGATTGTAATTTGTTTTCCGGAATTTTGCAAAACGGAAGCAGATGAAAAATACGCAATGTTACTTTAGCATTTAATCTTCATGTTTATTATTATGCAATTTTTATTTTGTGAAAGTCCTGTCGCGCACAAGGGTATATGTATAATTTCTGCGGCATGTTTACCTTGGCTATGGGGAAGGTAATAATACTAAAATAATCGTAAACTACGACTGGGGTGCGAGCAGCCTTAAATTATCATTTATTAGCAGGAAATGAAGTTGCAAAAATAAATTACGAGTATGTGTGCATATGTATGTATGTACTTATATATGTATTTATTTGCCCGAAGGAATTTTGGTGGCGTGTTAAGAGGGTTTCTCTATTCGGGAAATGAGTCCATGAAAAAGTGTTCATCCTACCAATTTACTTATAGCTTCCGTCAGAATCACAAAATGTGAAGAAATATGTATCTGTATTAGAATTTGGTTGCTGATTTCTTGCGTAAAAGAATTTACAGTTATTTGTTCAGACGAATTTTTACCTCAATGTCATACCCCTTGCGCCTGAAAACGATACGATGTCTTGACCCATACTTAAATAAAAATACAATTCACGCAGTCCTTGGTAACTCTGTAAAATCCATAAAATCCGTTAACTTACATAATTTTACAAATATTTCTAAGGAAGTTAGCTTGCAATTTTTTTCAAAGTTATTTTAGATCAAGGGCGTCTTTTTACATATGTTGTAAAACTTTGTAAAATTATTACAAACTGCTTGAAGTTTTCACTATTAGTGGAAACTGCCTTAATATTTGTTTAAATTGACGAGCAAATATCGAATTAAGAATTTCTAATTTTCTCCATTTAGTAAATATTTACCTACATATACATACCATTTAAATTAAATATGCTTTTTTTCAGTAACCACTCCCACCAAGTCACTCCTTCGTCTCCGGCCCCCACCACAACGACAACAATGTCAACTGCCACCACCACCACCATCCAGCCAAACCTCCCTCCATCCTCCTTCGATTATGAAGAAAATACAAATTCTCCCAAGAACTTTCTCCGCTTTCTCCGCAAGTTGTCCAACATGACGAGAGACGCAGGGATGGACGTCCGCCTGAATTGTGAGGCAGAAGGAGTCCCAGCCCCAAAAACGATAAAATGGTTCAAAAACGGAGTTCTCGAACAACTTCGTGCTGACAGATTTCGAATCAGACACACGCGAAGAAAGTTAGTTGAAATGCATCTTAACTTGGAATTTGAAAGTTGTATGCAAATTATTTAATGTTTTTTTAATTATTTAATATTTCAGAACTTCCCAGGGAAAAAATTCCCCTGTTCGAATTGTGGGGTCGACGCTGAGAATTCGCTCGTTGGAAGTGCTGGATAAAGGATTTTACACGTGCGAAATCCTCGGTGGTGGTTCCTCGAATAATAAAATTTCGTCCACCGCGATCTTGGACGTGATTCATGACCCAGGTAATTTATCATCTGGGCGAATTTATTGAGTCAGAAGTACGTACTTAATAAAAATTCCATCTTTTGTAATCTCGAGCAACGCACAAAAATATGAGACACTTGAATGTCGTATGCATACATGCATTTACATAGTTAGCTGCACATTGTAATCCAAGTTGGATTATGCAACCTTCCCTTGTGGGACCTTGTTTTTCGTTATTTATTAATACATCCGATAAGTTTCAAATAGAGGGAGAGAAATATGTACATATGTACGTTGAAATAATTTCCTTTCCTGAAGCTGCGATAACCAACGACGATAATTACGTATCGTAAATAATTGTCAATTTTGCAACAAACAATTAAACTTTTGTCATCATGAATGACCTGTCACAAGCAGAGGTGTGTCGTATGGTCATTCTCCTCAAGCTCTGTATGAACATTTACATTTATGCTTGTGTTCTTTGTTTTTTGTCGACTCATTCTACTTCGGACTTCAGGTTAAAGAATAAATAATCATATCAAGCAAATCGACACGGCAGTGACCGAAGATAAATGCAAGTTATTCTTCTTATCAAGATACAAATTGGAGACATGTAGGAAATGTGTACATAAATGTTGAAGAGGGTAAAATAATAAAAAATCGACAAATTGAAATGATGAAATTTTGCATTGTTTATCTATCTCAGTTGGTTTGTCACAATGTCCTGGAATGTGGTATAATTTGTATTTGTTCGTGACAAATTAAAGGTGAATTATTGATTAAACATGCTACGAGAAGGAAACCTATGTAAATACTAATGTGTATTTTGAGAGGGAGAATGAGACAGGTGAACCCACGTTGAGGTTTGTCAAATTAATTACTTTTTGTCCTTTCTCCTGTTGGATTGACAGAGAGTAAAAGTGTTCCTGTTTGGCCACATTTCGTAAATAACTTTTTTACGCATGATTTGAATAGCTAGTTCATTATGCATGTATGCGAAGTAAAAATTCACCTACAAATGCAAATTAATCTGCAATGCAATTTTAATACATACAAAATTTTAGTACACGTTATTAACTTTCGCCATCAAATTAATTTTTATAGTTGCTATCTTCCGATTTTCGAAATGAATAAATATCATCAAGTTAAACAGTATTCATGATGACCATCTCTGAAACATGCGTAGTCATCCGATTTCAAGATTTCAATGCGACCACGGAAGTGATTTCAATTGCAAATGAGATTCTCCTCAGTCAGTTCCGGGAAATGATTGCAATTTTATGTATGCCAACCTGTAAAAAATATTAATGTTGCTCATCCTGAACTTGGTAGTTTGCATGGGTCGTAAAGTTCGGTGTGAAGAACTTCTTGTCTGTCCACTCTTACGAACTTAATGGGATGTTAATGTTAATGGTAGTTGGCAAGTTGTCCTACGTCTTCTTGGTGGGCCTCGAGTTAAAAGGAAATGTGGAAATTATAATGATAAAGAAATGGACGAAGACAGTGTTTCTTGCAAAAATTAAATAAGGGAAGGACCTGGGAGTTCCGCTATTTAATACGAACATTATATTTTCACATCCGTTTTATAAGCCATAGAAAAGGCAACAACTTTAAATTTGTAACATAAAATTACTCAGAAGTCATTTTCACCCAATTTTTTGAGAAATTTCAAAAATTTCAAATTTTGTCAACCTCAAACACATATTTATCTTCCAGCTTATACTGTAGAGTTTATCCTGATTAGTATTTAACAGGAACGCTACGGTACATATACATAAATATTTCGGGAATAATTTTCATCGTGCAAATTTGACTGCTGCCATACTATTATTTATGTAAATATGCTGGATTACTCTTCGATACCATTTTACATGCTTCTCAGAATCATGACCAGGAAAGGTCCGGTCGAGCCAAAGCTTCGATGAGGTTCACTCTACTAGGGAATTAAAATATTTATAGGGCTTTTAGCCTTCTGTTGAGGAAGAGGATTTGAAGAGCAATCAATAAAAAATGGAATAGGAACATTAGTATAAAGTTGTCCAATAGATATGTGTTCAGCTCATCTTCATGTAAGTACATATGTACGAGCACAAATATTCGGTCCCCAACTTGTACTTACATGCGTACATACATATGTACATAAGTGAAAATGAAAGCAAAACAAGTGGGAGTTAGATATCTACTGAATGGACACACTTTTTAGCTCATTCCTTCCTTTGACAATACTGACATCGTAAATGTTACATAAACTATGAAAATAAAAGTACATTGGAGAAAGTTCATATCGCATAAGGATCCAAAGTATGTACAATGTACATTGTACATATACATATACATACATGTATTTCATTGGCGTACATATGTACATATGTATGAACATATCTACATTTACATATACATTTACATTTGTATAAATATTGCTTCGCAAAAATTGAGTTGCATTTCATATAATGCGAATGAAGTCGGGTGACGAATCTATAAGTTTGTAAATACTTGGGGTTTCACAAGGGCTACCGGAGAGTAATTTGTAACTGATTTTACCACTTTATTGCTAAAATTGCCTAAACTCCACTAAAATATTACTTTGGGGACGTATGTAACTCCTTGAGTAAGAGATACATACGTAAAAAATCACATCTTGAAAGCTAATAAAATGAAGATGTTACCACGCGTTATTCGTCCATAGACTTGTCCTTGTGTGCACTGATATATTCTGTCTGTTACATATTTTATTTGTATTTATTGCAGGTCTCGACTCTGGAGTCATCCCCGATTTTCGTAGTCCATTCGAGTCATTTCCTGAAATCGGAGAGTCTGGAAAGTAAGTGATTTTACTACATCCAATACAAAAAAAACGTTTCACCACTTTCACCACCAATAATTCGTGCCTACTTATTTTGCAGTGTACACAGAATCGACAGCTTCCATCGAATGTCTGCAGCCAGTAACGGTGCCCCTTCGGGTAGAATGACTGATGAGCATGATTCCCTCGTAATGCAACCACCCAAAAATGGTCATGGATTTTGCCAAGTAACAACAAATTATGATCCGGAATTTCCTGACAAGAAGGATGATATAATATGCTGTTTTTGCCATTTTTTCAGCCATACCGTGGCTCAATATGCCAACAATATTTGGGAAATGGTACAATCTACGTTTCCACTGAAGATTCACAACTCATTTTAGAAAACAAGCTAAAAGAAGCCGTGAATTTAATAAGACTTTCACCGTAAGAAACCATTAATTCTAAATTTGTATGAATATAAATACAAACGATTTTTAAAAAACTTTGCATTTTTTAGTGAAATTTCCGAACAATGTTCCACCTTTGGAATTCCATCCCTTTGCCACTACTCATTCCCCTCGTGCTCTGGTGGTCAACCACGCCGCCTGTGTCGCGAAGAGTGCGAACATCTCTCAGAATCCATATGCAAATCGGAGTACACACTCGCCAAGTACCACCCACACTTACCCCTCCCACAATGCGCCACCCTGCCCCCAGTGGGGTCGCCGGGTTGGTCGACCTGCCTCCGACTAGGCCTCCCCAACGGGCAACCCCTCCTCCAAGAAAGTCAGCCCTGCTATAAAGACCGTGGTGTCGAGTATCGGGGTCCAGTCAGTGAAACCACTTCCGGTCAGCGGTGTCACCCTTGGCACAGTCAGAAAGAAGAGTACAAATCCACCGATTACCCCGAACTACGGGGCGGACATAACTTTTGTCGTAATCCGACCGGTGCGGAACAAGGGCCGTGGTGCTACGTGAATCAAAATGGGTTTGGTGGAGGGCGTGTCGTGAAGGAACTTTGTCTCGTTAAGCAGTGTGGCTTCTTTGGTTATGGTAAGATATTTTTGGCAAATATGTAATTTGCACATGATGCACAGTTTGCGATTTCTTGCACCTTTTCATCATTTCTTGCGCTACATGCTAGACACTGCAAAATGCGAGGTGCAAGAAATCGGCACTATCTAACGGCTAGCCCTTTTGAACTAACTTAATTTTAGAGATTTTCACGAGATGGTACTATTTTCTTGCAATTCTTGTACCCGTGCATAAAATTATGCTTGTAGAAAACAATTACTTGCAGTAGTTTCTTGCAAATTTCATGGTAAACACTGAATTTATTTTTTTCTAAATTTTGCACAGATGACAAATTATGGCTCACCCTGTCTGCCGGGTTATCATCTCTGTTCCTCGTCCTACTTTTGTGTCTGGTGTGTTGCTGCTGCCGGCGATGGAGGGGGAGAAATCATACCCAAAACAAGAAGTCGTCCTCGTCACCCCCATTTCTCACAAGCGTGTCGAATCATCCCCTCTCCGGATCCACGCAACACTTTGAGATGAACAATCTCCTCAAAAATCTGAGCGTGTCGGGCACTCGAAGCAATAACAGTGGCGGCGGCGGTGCGGGAAGTATTTTGAACGGATTTAGCTCCGGAATTTCCTCCTCGTTCGAGAAACATACGTACAGTCATTTAAATTTGCCGGAAGTGGCGGTGGGTAACGTCCACCTTTTCGAAGAACTGGGTTGCGGAGCATTTGGGACAGTTTATTTGGGCGAAGCGGTCCTCCGGAGTGGTGCAGGTGAGTGGGAATTGTGATAATTAACTAAAAATTGAGTTTAATCTCGATGCTACCAGTTAATTTTCGGAAATATTTCGAAAATTTGTAGACAAAGTATTATTTCAAAAAATAATTGGTAGTCAAACGATAAAAAGTCGTTACACAAGTTTATAAGATTTAGCTAAGAGGTTAATTATAATTTAATTCCTTATTGTAGGTGAGTTACCGGTCAAAACAGTGATAAAAACGTTGAAGGCGTCCGCATCTGCCAAAACGAGGCAGGATTTTTACCGGGAGGTTGAGCTAATGGGTGACCTACGCCATCCGAACATTGTCTGTCTTTTGGGCGTCGTGACGCAGGAGGAGCCGCGCTGCCTTCTTTTCGAACATATGAGTCAGGGCGATCTGCACGAGTTTTTGATAAGCCACTCCCCCCGGGCGGACCCTGCTCTAGCCTCGTTTATCCTCCAAGGAAATGAAATGCTCTTCATTGCGACACAAATCGCGGCAGGGATGGAGTACTTGGCGGCGCATCATTACGTCCACAGGTTCAATTTATTATTCATACGTACATATAATTTTTGTGGTAAGATAAACGTTTTAAAGTTTTTGATTATCGCACGTGTAGGGATCTTGCTGCAAGAAATGCTCTCGTGGGAGACGGATTAACCGTGAAAATTTCGGATTTCGGACTTTCAAGAGAGATTTATAATTCAGATTATTACCGCGTACAGTCAAAATCATTGGTTCCTGTCAGGTAAAAGGGAGCAAATATGATTCGGATTTTCACAAAATTGTAAAAAAATGCAGCCTGTAGTAAAGTTATTTATATTTCTCATTTCTATAGATGGATGCCACCTGAAGCCATCATGTACGGAAAGTTTAGCACGGAATCCGACGTTTGGAGCTTTGGCGTTGTATTATGGGAAATTTATTCGTACGGTTTACAGGTAAAAATATCTACAAATTAAACCCACCTAAATCTCATCATTAATTTATTAACCCATCTTTCAGCCCTACGTCGGCTACCAGAATCCAGAAGTGATCGACATCATCCGCTCCCGCCAACTCCTCCCATGTCCCGACCTCTGCCCTCCTCGCATGTACTCTTTAATGGTCGAATCTTGGACCGAGCTGCCCCATCGACGCCCCACCTTTGAAGAAATCCATTCCCGCCTAAAACTCTGGCTCCTCCCACTTCTCGGTCCGACCTCCACCTTCAGCCCGCACATTGTCCACCCGCCCCACAATTCCCGCTACCCCTTCGTCACCCCACCCTCCACGGCGAGCAACAACTCCGTCAGCTCTGCCCAATCGAGCAATGTGACAGGACCGCTGAGCAATAATACGAATTCGACCTCGGTGTCGACCCAGTGGCCGGTGACGACGGGTCAAGGTCAAGGGTCAACTTCCGGACCCCTCCGCACTTTCCAACCATCAAACAATAACAACAATGGGGACTGTGTCGCATACCAAAGTACGCAGATCGTTCATCCGACGAGAAATGGGTATTCGTCACCGTCGCCGCAATATCAAAATTCGACGGTACACTTTCACTCGGGGTCGGGTCGGATAAGTCATAACGTTCAGGGACAACATTCTTCCTCGCCGTATAGGGTTTTAATGGAGTCGAAGTCTACAAATATTTGAAAAATAAAAAGTTTTTTTAGTAATCTTGATTTATTTTGATTTTAAGAAATTTGAAATGCATGATTACAGATATACCCTGCTTATGTATGTATGTACGATTAGATAGCTGGGATTGGTACAAATTAGATGGCTGGATTTGAATAAAATAATTTGATAAAGTTTGCAAAGAACTTTTAAAGTTGTTATTAATTTGAGTTGAAGGTGGTCTAATTTTTCTCAGGTGTGGGTATGGTTACGAATAAATACCGGAGTAAGCATTCTGTCGGGTTCTAAAAGTGACCAAAGTCAAGAATCATCCTTTATAGTATAAATTCTTGTACGTAAATATGAAGCAACTTTATGCTACTTAAATATGCACATTATGTAAAGACACGTAAATTTTCTTATGAATGTCAACTTTATGCCAGGGTTCGCTACCCCGGGTTTTTGTGGGTTGGGGTTTTTGGGGTTTTTGTGGGTTTTTGGGGTATCAAATCTCCGGAAAAACCCTAATGCTTAATGGGGTTTTTGCGGGTTTTTGCGGGTTTTTGTGGGTTTTTGTGGGTTTTTCCGGGGTTTTTGTAGGATTTTGAGGCAGATTGAAACAAAATCCCTTAAACTACAACTTAGATCAATGCTAATTAAATTTTCTCATTCATCATGAAGTTTTGAGAATTTTCTTGTGCGACTTGAATTTCCAAATATTATGACATATTTCCAGGTTTACATGTTAAACATGAATTTTCGATGTAACAGTCCAAGTCAATGATAACGGTTAAAATTGCATGCTGAATTCGTATATTAGATTAGTTTTTCTCTAATATATAATTTTAGGAATTCTGGTTCAACCTACCCCAAAATCTACAAAAACCCACAAAAACCCAAAAACCCACAAAAACCCCCAAAACCCCGGAAAAACCCATGGGGTTGGGTTTTTCTACAAAAACCCCGGGGTTTTCCGAACCCTGCTTTATGCTGATTGAATAGTTTTGGGAACACTTTCCTTTGTACCATCGCATTCTTCGTACACTCTAAATATGTAAGTTTGTGTTAAATTGATTCTCATGGTTGATTAAAGAAGAGGATGACACAACAATTGGGTAAAATTGACACAACGGTTGGATAAATCCACTTTTTTTGCTAAAACCCTGGCTTCCGAAGCTTCTCGAGACAATGCTGCCTAGTCTCGAAAATTTCGGTGATCTCGGGGTCGAGAAGGTACAATTATAGGGACGAGACAAGAAGGTACGATAGGGACGAGACGAGATGGCTTTATTATCACGTCTGGAGTGCGGAGACAACAAAGTGACGAAGAAATTAGAATATTGGAAGGGAGAGAACACCCCTTAGGATTAGGAAGGAACATTATTCTCCAACAGATAGCATACATAGTAGTTACAATCCCGTGCCGGAGTTGCTTTTATTTTCCCTGGGGTACTTGTTGACACGTCGAATAGATACATATGTCCTTAGATACTATGCCTGCACTTTCACTCGATCAAACATGATGATTAACGCATCTGAGTTGGTCCATATGTGCCTATCTTGACCCTATTTAGACAGAGTGAATCAGCATAACACCTAACCCGAACCCAGCTTAACCCGATCCGACCTAGACTGCAAGCCTGCAGTGAACCAGTCACCTTTACGCAGGGATTGAAAATTTATGAAGCGTAAGATTGTTGGGGAAAGTTTGCAATGAAAATACATAAATCTAAATACATATGTAGTTATCACATCAGACTTGTATTACAATTGCCTTATTATCAAATTAAACACTGGTTTCCTAATTTTTCAAGACCATTCTTCTCAAATTAAGCAAACCTGAGTAGTTTATGTATGTATGATTAACAAGACATATGCACCGTTTGCCAAGGCGCTTCGTGAAATTGAAACATCTCCAGTATATGTACACATATGTATGTATTTATTAAGGTAATGAATTGTGCACATAAACAAATCGAATGTTCAATTTACGATTGCAAATTTGCAACACCAAGTCGTTAAGTGAGAGAATGAATAAGCAAAGAGAAGAGATGAGATTCATGTCGTAATCAGATTGCTTTGTTACGACGCAAAGCCATGCACTTTATCCAGGAAGGAATACTCACAAGATCTCTCACCCATGTATGAATTTTAACGCGTCCCCCCGGGATCACAAAAACAGATCAGATTTAGATTCCGTGCAGGTGTTTACTTATTGGTACATACAAAGTGGGGGACAGAATCATGATCGTGGTGGACAATTTATGCCCGACGCAGTGGCCGCGGAAGCCTCGGGAACCATTGGCATTGTAGGACACCTTGCAATCGTAGGGACATTGTCCCACTGTCCCCCCCCACGCTTCCGTGGCCACTGGCCTGGAAAATATACATAAATATGAATAGTTTGGCTCCCTTTGATCAGTGAAAGTTTGCACTTTCTCCGATTCACTTCATTTGATATTTATCATCGGATTTACATAGTCCTGAATTTCTAACTTCAAATTTCCTTATTGGAAATATTTTCCAATAGAAAATTATGAAGTCATTTAATTTGGATAATTTAGAGGATGAAAATATTTCTGCGGGGATGATCGGTGTCAAACTAAGGGTCAGACTTGCGGCTGCAAATTTCGGAGAGAATCTTCTTTTCTACGCTGGGTGCACCATGTCAAAGGTAAAGTTCTCTGTGGATGTTGATGGGATTGGTGTATCATTAACAAAGCCTTCAAGGATGAGAAGGGTGAGTACCTACATATCGTCGTTGAAGCTGCCAAAAGAGCCAAATCCATTTTGTGTCAATTGCCAAAGGGTCCAAGTCCACTTTTGGGGGGTACTGAGATTTTAGGGTCAATGCATTCTACACAATTTTCTGAACAAGATAAGTCCAACCAATTTTTTTTTTAATTCTGAAACGTTCAAAATAGGCTTTGAAAACGAGAGTAATTTAGGTGGAAATTACACCACACGGTCTGAATCTGTGATTCTGCCGATTCCGGTGGTCTTTGAATATGTTGTAGTACTAGGTGAGTGAAGGGAAAGTGAAGGAGGGTTTTACTCCATTACACCGTTTGTGTCTGTTTCACCCCCTCATAGTGCGAGAAAAATCTGTTTGCTCCAGTCTAAACCTTCACCAAAAATCAAAATTGTGTAGAATGTTATGATTTCTTACATTTTCTTACTCCCAGATAGTCTTCTAACCATATCTGATATGAAAATTGAGTGTTTTGATTTTTAAAATTTTTTCGAAATTTTATTTTTTTCGAAAAATTCAGAATTTCAAAAAAGTTAAATTTAACATTGTATATGAGAAAGCAACTATTTGGGACCACAATAGTGCAAGAATTTTCAAAATCTGAGAAAAACTGAATTTTTGGTGACGATTTAAACGAGCACAAACCGTTTTCTTTTACTCTTTGAGGGGGTGTGGTAAGGCCAAACGGAGACATGGAAGAAAACCCTCTTTCACTTTTCCTACCCTCCCCCAGTACTACAACATATGCGAAGGGCATCAAAATTGGAGATCAGAATTTAAAATCTGTAATCCCCATTGAGTTGCATGCATTTTATGATGACTTGTCTCGTAAAAAGTGGTAAATATACTAAAAACAGTTATAAATTACACTCATTTGTTGTTACGAATTTACTTAAGTGAGCAAAATTTGTCTGCATCTCCTCAATTATAGCAATATTGAGTTTTAAATGCATCTTTTGTTTTTATGCTCTCCTGAAAAATTTTGTTTTGGGATTCAGCCCCTTTGGCAATTAACACAAAATGGATTTGGCTCTTTTGGCAGCTTCAACGACGATATGCTAAATTATTTTTCTTCGTCCATTTTCATAGGTTGACATCAGGTGTATTTATGAAATTAATATGATCTCGAAGGAGATTTTTGGAGAATTATGGTCACAGTGAGGTTAGGAAACAAAATTGCGCTGTTCAAAATTACTTAGCTACCTCATACCCACACTAACCACAACTTACCCTCATTAAGCATATTTTTTGATGCAATATCTATCGAAAAAATCTGACTATATATTTTTTTTGTTTTCAGCTAATTTTAAGTGTAAATAATCATTTTGAATCCGTTTTTGTATAGCTTCTCGTCGTCGCCGGGTATACCCTCGTCTGCATCGTGATGACTCTGATTTTCACCAATTTCCACTTGCCACGCGGCGACGGGAAGATCTACCTCCTACCAATTTTTAAGGCCATGGTGTCCACCATCTTGGCTTATTTGTCTCTGTGGAACCTGCTATCGGAGGAGGGTGAGCATCTGAAAATTCTGCAACTGTTCTGGGAGAAGGCATATTTTGGAGGATTTTACAACAAGTGGTCCAGCGTAAGTTTCTTATGCATATGTAGCTCTGCCAATGCTTATGATAATCAGCTTAGCTTGTTGAAACTGCCAAATTTTCCAAAATATGACACAACACCAACACGCAATTATTAACACTGAGCGTACTCATGACAGGGTTTTATTTCGCACCACAAGTCATTTAGCAAACTTGAGAAGCTCAATATTTTTGTCTCGTGAGGGGATTCGCAAAATATAATTTAACAAATTTCACAAAATACGATTTCGCAAATCCACACAGTTATGTTCTGTTATTTTAATTTAATTTGGTTTGTATGGATTATTTATAATTTCTTTCTTATTGTCAACTTCGCAATTTATGCTCAATTTCCGATGTACTAAAAGTACGGGAAATATGCAAAACATTAATTTGCAAAGTTATGATCCTATTTATTTAGGGACTTCTCGCCATTTGCCTGGCCGATGCGACATACGTCATCTACATCATCCTTGCACACTTGACGAATAACTTTGTTGGAGTACAAGAGCAGCATTGCCAGTGCCACTGTAAAAGTGTATTGTTCCTGATTTGTCCCGTACCAGGGGAGTTGATTTGTCCCAGTGTTGATTCAAATTTGACAAAATTAGCTTCACTCCCTTGTAGAATTTTCGCTTTATATTTTACCACCTTCAAGAAATGCGTTCTACAACTTGTCCCCTTCAAACTGGTCCTTCTAAGCTTCACCGCAATGTCCACTCTTGAGAAGGTTGTACAAGAAAAAGTGAATCATGGGAAGAAAGCCAGATTGGAAATATTGGTATCCCTTTTTCATTTCCGCCGCCTCATTGCCAACATCACGGAAAATTTCAGTAAAATCCTGTCACTTCATTTGACCCTCGGGATGCTGGACACTTTCCACTTGTTCTCCACTTACGGGGACAAGTGTGGCCCATCGGACTACATCGATGCGTCATTTAATTGTGCAGTCTTTTTGATTACCGTGATCGCATGGATGAAGATGCATGGCAAGGTGAGAAACCCGTATAAAAATTTTAACGGATTTTATGCAGCAATTTGGCTGGATTTTATGCAGCAATTTGGCTGAATTTTATGCACACAAATTTATGCAGGGTGATTTGTGCATAAACTGTGCAGGATTATGCATAATTATGCTAAGGTGTTTCTATAGAAATGAGATAATTCTAGCCACAAGCTTTGTATGAAGAAAAGTCTCTTCATAAAAATATCAGTTTATAAACTTTTATGCAGAATATACTCTCCAGGAATTTATGCAGAATTATTCACAATTTTTTATGCATAAATCATTATGCCGACTAAGTGTGCCGTATTATGCAGAAGTCGCCACATGATTTTTATACGGGAAGTGGGGTGAATTTATTATATGGAAATATGTACAGGCATGGACTTTTGCATAAGACACTAATTTATTTATTGTTGAGGATTAATTGTTTACGGGTAATTTTAAAATGCATTCATTCCAGTGGATTTGTATGGAAGCGAAGCTGCTGAGTTACGAATCTTTAGAAATTCTGGGCCTTGGTGAGGGCACATTTCCTGAAAAATGTGGACACGAAACTTTTCGAGAAGAACTGTACTCCATGGATATGAAACACTACTTCACGTCAATGATGCCAATTACGGGAATGATGGTGATAAGTGTGCGTAAAAAATATGTACATACATTGAAATTTTGATGAGTTACTTAGTTTGAATTTGTACTCATTTTACAGGTCCTCTTCTTAACGGTGGGTCCTCGTTTATTCTATTTGTAGACAATTGGAGGAAATTTCTAGCCCGGGATGGAAGGCTTTTTGCTGTCTTTAGACCCGGCCATAAGTAGAATACTTATTTGTTGTAATTCAATTTATAAATATGTACATACATACTTGTGCATTATTTTAATGTGGCATGATGATGAAATGGTTTGAATGATTTGCGAATTGTAATTGTATTATGATTATTAATGAATATTGAGGAGGCATGTTGGGACTTTGTGAACGTTTGTCATCTCTCGTCTTATCTAATGTGACCGACTCACCTTAGCGTCAGGGTACTACTCATTCATTGGGAGGACCTTGACCTGAGGAGTGAGTACTTTTAAGTTTATGAAAAAGTTGTAGTCCGTTAAGTATGTAGACTCGGTGGAAGGAGTTTACTCTTTCTAAAATTATGTATTGCATCTTCCTGTCTTTAAGTTTTTGAGAAATGCTATTGAGCAAATAATTCGATTTTCTGCCAAAATAAACACAGTGCAATAAATAACGGTGAACAGTATACTTAAGTATGTATTGTAATCTTGTGAATGTTTAAATCATAACTATGTACCTAGTAGGGCCAATTGAAATGACCAACGATTTCCGTGCCCCCAAAAAATTAGTAGGAATTAGGTTAGACAGTTGTACTATTTTTTATTGAAATCCCCCCTGTCGATCAGAAACCATGTTCCGAATTTTTTTGTGACCCAAGGTGCCAAAGTGACAGATCGGCCAAACCGACGTGTTGCAATTTTTGAGCAACATTTTGGTAAACTAAAAAATCCGGCATTTTTTAATTGCTCAATAAAAATCGGAACTGAACGCATGATGGTCGACCGTATCACAAAATGATCCACTGACACTAGCAGTGACGACTGCCGAAAAATAAGGGGAAGGAGACGATCAGAAAGGTCACCAAAATTCACGAAGGCGCAAAAAAATGGATTCGTCGAAATTTATGCCGAGCCCTAAGAAAATTTCCCTCACAAATGAACGGATGAAGTAAAAGTAAGTCCAAAGCCCTTAAATTAAACCTTGGACTTTTGTCTACAAGATATGAGGAGAAACACTTCCTAACTTCATGCCAAGTAAAAGCAGACCCATCAGAACCCGGGCGCTTATCATGCGCTACGCGCTTGAAAAATGGAAACGAATATTTTTAACACATGAGCCTACCTTTATGGGTGAAACCAAATAAAATAGCAGAGATACAGTTTCTAAACCCTACTAGTCTGGACTAATCGTAAAAATTTCAATACTGTTAATCGGACCCACCATTCCGGTTCTATGATTTTTTTATTGGGCGTAAGTTGGATTTGGTCGAAAACGTGATTTTTCTTCTTTTGTGGTGAAATTTCGTGTCAAAAAATATTTTTTTGAAGTTATCGAGCGAATTGTGGAACCACTGAATCACTACCAAATTAAAAGTACCCATTAGGCATTCAATAAGAGCTCAGGTCCTGTTCATGAGACCAAAATATTTATTGGGTGGTTGAAATGCTAAATTCCTGGCTTCATTTCGGACCAAGGATAAAATTCACTGTCGCCGAACGTCAACATGCTGGAATACGATATATCGTTCAAACTGAAGCTAGATACATAAGCTAAACGCTACACAAGTTTGGAACCCTTAAAAAAATCTATAGCCTAGAACTGAGACCAATATCCCGAGGAATGAGTGCGTACCGCGGGTTAGATGAAGATACCGGGAAGATGAAGATTTCGGGCTGGTGTCGCTTCAAAAGGAGAAAATGTTGAAAGCCGGTTGGTCTATCTTGAAGAGAATTTAATGGGCTTTCTCATGATATCGTTAGTCTTTCAAAATTCCCTAAACTGGGTTCGCTACATTAATTTATGTATTGGTCATAACACTTGGCCCTACCAGGTACATACCTATAAATGGTCGGTTCACGAAAAATGTCAGTTTTCATGTGGTGACAATTCGCCACATATCCACAAATATGTATGTATGTACGTAGTTTCCACCATTTGTATGTAAACTCAAAAATCTGCAATGTCCTCCAAATATGTAAATCTCTATGTAGAGGGTGTTCCGGAAGTAATGCAACTTTGGTCAAATGCACATATAAACTCAACGAATGAATTTTTTAAAGCGAAATTTTGGTCAGAAAGGGACAAAGGTTAAAGCTAATTAAGTTTTGCTTCCAATGGTCCGTACACCCCTTCCGCCAAATTTGGAGACGTTTTTGTTGGGCGCTCACAATTAGTGCTTCGCCACTGTTTTTGGTCACCTTTTTTGAGATTTTTGACCACATGTGTTGAAATAAGTTCAAATTTTTGACTGAAGTTTTTCGATTACAATATTTTTTCTAGGGTAGGAACTAAAATTTTTCAATAGGTCTTGTATTTGGCAAATTTGGGAACGTTCACCTCTCCCATGTTAATTGCATTTGATCCGTTTTAAGGCGGAGCGTGATACTTTGGCTTATATTTAATTTCCAGTTTTGTATAAATGGTTTTCTTGAAGGTGGGAGAGTTGTACTATGTGCAAATAAAAGCATTTTGATAATCTGAGCAGTAAATCGTCTTGTACAGGACGATCAATTTTGGTTAATTTTAATTACTTCAGGTCAAGGATTTTTTCTGCCCTCCTGCTTGCTACTTTTATTTTACTCTTGACTATATTTATAAGCTTCTAGAACCTTCTAGGATTTGATGTCCAACTTCTAAGCTTTCAAATAATGTATGGTGTTCGGTGAGAACTTCAAGTACTTCAGCGAATTTCGCTCCGACATAAAAAATTTCTATCTACACGAAGTTTATTACTTTCGGGGCTGCCACACGAATGTACCGACCAGATATTTTTTGCGATTAGTCGTTTTTTGCAGCTCATACCTTAGTATAACACAACAAATCGTCACTTTTGGAATTTCTTATTTTTTAAAGTGAACACAGCTCAATTTCTTGGAGCGCGTAACCACTTTTTCGAGGTAGTGGCAGACGATGGTTGCGAGTTGCTTGGTGGTATTTGACCTCATTTTGGAACGGATAGAGATATCGACTTCTAGTTTTCGGATTCTACTAGATAAATGTGTGGACTACAATATTCACCCAATTTCGAATTTGGGGCAAATTGATACCCTTGCATATATGCATTTTACCAAAGTTGCATTACTTCCGGAACACCCTCTATGTACATTGTTAGTTAGTAAGAAAATGTGAAACAGGAAAATAGAATACCGGAGCTGTATATATATACAATTAATTTACATATGTATATATCTAGGTGACATAAGAATTCCTTGTTTTGACATTGTTCGCACAGTCTTTGAAATACAGTAGTAAAAAATAATGCCTAGCTGTATTCATGCTTATATGACTCTGTCAAAGTAATATGGCGTAGAATAGCTCGGTATTTAAGATTTGCCATATCGGTAGCAAATTTTTACGGACCGATATAGTGTTATTACCAAGCTGTAGCAACCTTAACACCAATAAATCAATTCATGAGTGACTACCAGATTTCTAATAGCGTAATATCAACTTTATACCTACTTCTTAATCAGTTGAGTAGATTGATCTTAATCTTAACTTAACTTTGCTTGACGCTCTGTATCTTGATCATTTTGAATAAATTTGTTAGCATTACTATACGAGATTTGTTCATTTATTAAAGCATAAAATTGTATCGGCATGTTATTTTTCATTTGATGTAATTATTTATTAGGCAAAAAGCTAGGAGACCGGCGCCGTACAAATCTTTTCATGGATAACTAAGCATTATGGATATAAGTATTTCGCATAAATGTTTCATTTGTTACATTAAAATTCTGATTTTCAAACGGGGACACGTGTAAAGTAAACAATACTCGATTTGAAGGTAAAATTTTTCCATGTCATTTTTTCTGAAATCTGAATTAGTAACCATCTATTTACAAAAATAAGAGCAAGTTTTTGTGTTCACACCAAACATCTGCTGTATTTATGTTCCCTGCTACAAAGAAACTGCTGCAACATTTTTTAATGCCATCTAAATTTTAAGTATTTGCACGTTCTATGTTACACACCAAACTGTATTGAAATTGTAACAAAGATAAGCTTTGTTCAAGTTTCTGCTCAAATTGAATTGCGCAATAAGTCAGGGTCTCGCCGCATGATTTCAATTGATCACAAACCAAATGCAGGTGTGGAAAACCGCAAATTTTGCATAATAATAAAACTGCGTCAGTACTTAATCCAGTACAAAAGTCGTCATTTGACAAATTGTGTGTTCTATTTTGCCTTGAACTTGTGAAAATTTTAACCGAAACCATGGCCAACGTGGGAATACAATTTTTTGCAATAGTTTGCATTTTATCTTTCGACCCAGCTTTCGGTGCACTTTTTGGACCAACTCCGTTCTGGAATGATTTGAAAAGTGAGTTGGAAAAAATTTGAATTTTGTAATGTTTCTTATATTTTTGAAATTGAATTTCAGCAACTTTTGCGATTGACGGATTCGTCCCAATCTACCAAGGAAAAGGGTACAATCCTCTCCCGAGGAGTAAAACAGTTGCGGAAAAACAGGGCTGGATTTCTGCCAGTCCAAACTGCGAAAATGATGGACAATTTGCCGGATTTCGCTACATTAATGCAGCCGATCCAACCAAACCGGATACAACTGTGTCCCCATTGATGGACAGGAATGGAATTATTGCTGGCATTCAGATGAACGTGAGAAAATTGAGACAATTTTTTGCATATTTTTTAAAAATTTTTGTCTCCACAAACAAAATCGACTTTTCAGATCAAAGTTTCCGAAGCCAAGGCGAATCCCAACAACACTTATAAATTTGACGAAATTGCTATGTTCTATCGAAACACGATCGCTGGTGATGACGTTTATACGCTGACGGCTTACTTTGTGGATCCCAGTAAGCGTTACCTCAACAATATTTACAAACATTTATTGCTGATTTTATACAAATTAATGGGGGTATTCATTACGAGTTTGCATCTTTAGCAACATTAGCTAGCAAAAAGAAGGGCACAAATTTGCAAAAAAATTTGGCTTGAAAATTTATTTGCTAATTTCCCATCTACACGGCTCGCATTATGCAATTTTTTGAATTTTGTTACGATGCGAGCATGCGAAATCGTAATGAATACCCCCAATATTTACGACAAATGCTTATTTAGACCTTTAGTAATTTCTCTTAATTTCATTTTTCATGTCACAAACAAAATTTTATTGCAAAATTTACTTTTCTAAAATTTCTGCGTATTTCTAGGCACGATTTGTTCCCAAGGCCGTACTTCCAGCCAATTCACTTCGGACGGAACCGGAACCCAGCTCTACTTCCAGAATGGTCCAGACCCCTCAAACCTCATCGTTGTTCCGAATGACCGCACCCAAGCTCTGACCGAGGGCTGGAGTGACAACAAGTGCTTCGTCGGCATGGGCGTCCACAACTGGTTCCAACAGGAAAAGTTTCAAGAAACGAATTGCAACTACCTCCGCCCGGCATTCCTCCTGTACAACGTGAGAAATAAACTTATCGGGTTTGGATTCCAACATGTTGGCAAATCTGTCTCGACAAGGGTCGAATATCCGCCCGCAACAGTTGTAAAGGTAAGAAATTGGCCAAAAATTGGGTAAAATTACAAATCATTGGCCGCGGAAGCCGTGGGGGATATGAAAGCGCTTATCTAACAAGGTAGAATGATGGACATTTTCCTTATGTCCCCACACTTCCTCGGGACACGTTTGCAAATAATGCACTTTAATCTGTAAAAGAACATTGAATTTTCCACTTTTTCGTGTAATTTTATCACTTTTTTCTGCGTTTACTTCGTTTTTGTGCTTCAGATCGTCGAATTTTAGCTTTCTGAAAAAGTGAAACTTGTGAATTTCACGGAAGTGATAATAATTGTTGTCTTTTATTTTTTCATAGATGATTGTCGGTGATAAGTGTTCCCAGTGCTTGCTCGATTTAGCAGCCCACGGTGGGATTGGTGTCACAACGATGCACGTTTTTATGATTGGAAGCCCACAATTTCAAAATTGTATCATTTAAGGATGACCTGTGAAATATTTGATTATCATATTTTCTGCGTAAAATTAAAAAAAATATTGAAAGCTTATAATAATAATCACAACAAGACCACTTCCTTGTTCGAATCGACTCACAATTATTTAAAATTAAAATAAAGTCTTACGAAATCCATATGGTTTTTCGAACCAAATTTTGTAAACTTATTCGGGAGCTTTTATTCGTAATAAATTATTACGGTAACACATATTTGGATGGATAATTTATTTAAGATTATATCAAGTTCATCTACTCGCTACTTGGATATATGAATTGAAATTAATGCAATATTATAAAAATGTCAAAGAAAATATAAACGTAGTAATAAAGGAACATATGAATTTGTGTTAGAAAATGTACAAATGGAGTAAATTTAATGCACTATAAAAATCAAAATATTTAAAAGAACAGTTAAACAATTTTACCATTTAACCAGATCAGAATAACTTAATGATACATCCGTCATTTTCAAAATAAATATTCACAATTTCAATCATTACCATAAATTGAAATTAATTGAAGTTATACGATGTTAAAGTCTATTGATTAATGACTCATTAATAATGAGTCAAATTGCAAATCTTCTATCCAATAATTAACGTAACAAAAAAGTTAGGAATCTGATCATAATCAATTTGAAAAAATGGGCGTTGTTCTACACTTATCACAAACCTTTCTTGAAGAATGACAAAACATCTAAACGTGTAAACTAAAACAAATAAATCAAACAAAGGTATCAGTAGTACCGTAAATAAATAAATAACATTTTTTGAGCAAGCCCCTTCTCGTCAAATATTTACCCATTTGACGAGAGGAAATATGTATGTACGTACATATTAAATAAATTTAGTGTAGATATTAATTACGTAAATAGTGAAACATTTCATCCTCTAGAAGCCATAGATTTCAAGAAAAATAGCCAAGTAGAAAAATACGTATGGAAATATGTACTTGTTTTCACACATGTAATTTTGTAGTTGAAAAGTCATCCATCTAAAGTAAAAGCACTAACGCTAAAATCAGGCTTCATGAAAAGTAGATACATGCATAGATCAGGAATAAAATATGGCTTCTCCAGGTCTTCGTAATTCTCACAGTTCCATGAAAATAATGAAAAAAGTGAGAAATTGAAATTGGACCGTATACTAAAAAAAATACTCTAGTATCTATGTAGAGTATTTTTAATGGGTACAAAACACGTAACATGCATTTATGTATGTATGTACATCTATATACATAAATCTATATAAAAAACTTGCACACGTCGTAAAGGTGAGAAACTTTTAGCTTAATGCGTCGACGATGAGGTTGATTTTAAAATCCAACGCTTAGTGTGTGTAGGTGTCATTCTTTCGTCAGTAGAATCTAGTAAGACGAGCAGGATGTAGATGCGAATATAGGAAATAATGCCTGCCAGTTCAATAATTTGTGTTCGAAAGTTCACTCCTCACCAATTTTGTCGCCTTTCATCCATGAGATCAAATTTTTCTGTGTCTGAAACTAATTCCCTTGTCACTCCCACTCCAAATTCATACTCCTGAGTCCTGATAGAATCAATAATGTTGCAATTTTATTTTAATTTATGTGCAAGAAAAATTGGCATTATTCCAATCTTTAAATATTTCACAACAAAAAAAATTCACAAATGTTTAACTTACCATCCGGTAGAAAATTTATGTCGTAAAAAAGTTTCGTAAATATGAAACGAATCAACGCTGGGCTTCATTAGATTCAAAGGACAGTAAGTACATAAAAATAATAAGAAATTTAATTCGAATATTCTTTACTACATAAATAATTACACATATGTATGTACATAAGTCTTGAAGTTAAGGAAATATCGTAAGCAGAAAAGAAGATTAAGTAACTTTGTACCATCTCGCTAATCTTAATCTGAATCACAATCATTCTGCTTTATATATGTAGCCCTCTGACTTATAATTCCGTTATGATAACGAGACTCGACCCAATTCTGAGTAAAGTAATCTACATAAATTTGTACGTAGAAACATTTCCAATTTTGATAAGTTTCCGACCACTGGGAATGTTTACATGTCTAACCTTATACTCGATTCCGCTATCAGACAATTTCCAAGTACAGCTTTGACGCAAGAATATTTGCATTCGCTGATGATTTCATTCGGGTTGAGTGATTATCTAATGATCAAATCATTTGATTCAAACGAAGCCAAAAAATATTAGGTTATCGGAACATTTAGAGCGGATATTGAATAATTACATATCTGAAATGCGTACATGTTTACATAATTTCTCGGAATTGTTGTCCGTTTTCTTGGTGATTGCACCAACAATTACATACACTCTTGGAAATAAAGTATTAAAATAATACCAAGCGGTTTCACATATATGACTACCAAAGTTGTATCGATACGTATGTAATACCGTGTAGTAATAGTTCGGTATTAAAGTATTACCATACCTGTGGCAAACTTTTAGGATCGGTATAATAATACTAAACGGTAGCAACTTTAATACCGAGAAATAAATCCTTTACAACCTGCTTACCAGATTTCGCAAATGAATTTTCAGGCCAATTTTTTTGCGAACTGGTGAACTCTTTTTGTGGTGCATTGCTAACGCGTAATGAATACCTCAATATAATTAATCATAATGCTTAAATCCTATTAAATTCTTTATTTCCAGACTTAAATTTCACTCATTATTTTGTCTTTCATTATTTATAATTTATTTCATTATAGCATTATTTTATCTTATTTATTACAATTTTGGAAAGTGTTAAATAAAACATTTATGAACAAATACATACATATCTGATCGGTGAAATAATTTGTGAAATGGTTGATTGATTATTCATTGCGTGTATGTGTGGATTCAGACAACTAATGGAACACGTAAAGTAAATGCTGGTTCGTGTGGTTTGATAAAAGGTTGCATTTTAGCAACGAGTGAAACGATACGAGATTACAGAAGAATTTCCAGGAATTTTGTTTCCATTTTTCCCATCACCATTAAACCGTCGATTTAAACCATTTCCCATTTTTCGACCCCTCTTACATGGTAACACGTACCCGTGATAAATTCTTGTCAAATTATTTACTGTACACTAAATATACTTTGTAAATACTCGCCCAACGATATATGTATACATATATGTACAAATAAATATTTATTATCATTACGCATATCCTGACAAGATAAATTTGTAACTAAAATCCCATGGCTTTCTACAAAATATGTAAATTTCCCTAATGTCGCAAATTTAGTAAAATTTCCCAAATTGTTGACACTCCCACTACATACGTAAGTATCTCAACTTTTCCAAAGTATGAATTCTACAATGTCTGACCAATTCGGAAAAAAGTACGAACTTCTTCGCACAGAAGTAACATCCATGCCTCGCTGCATTGTGGCGTTTTCTGTGACAGGCCAGATTGGCCTTCGAGTGGCTCTTGTACTCACACTTGTCGCAGGAATGGACCAGCTCTTTATTCGCGGCATGATGCGCCACCACGTGACGCTTCAAGTTTGATGAGTTGGCAAATCTTTTGTCACATAATGGGCACGGATAATTCCTCTGATTTTCATGCACAGCTCGGATGTGCGATTTCAGATTTGTCCTACTTAAGAAGGTCTGAGGACAGACCTGACACTGTAACATGTCTCGGGTAGATTTTTCTAAATGCGTTATCTGCAAAATGATTATGGGCATTGATAATTTAAACCTTGATTTCAGGCAAAATGTTTATTTACCTCGTGACGAGTCAGGGCTGATTTGTACGTGAAATTCCTCCCACAAGTGCCACATTTGTATGGTTTCTCCGTCGTGTGGGTGGGAATGTGGTTCTCAAGTTCGCCCCTCGCTTTGAAGCCCTTCCCGCAAAGTGTGCATGGAAATCGGACAGGGTTCTGGGCGTGTACATTATTCACGTGTCGCGAAATGTTTCCCTTGTTTAGGAAGGTTTTCTCACATCCAAGAAAGCCACATGGCAGACGCGGTCGTTCACTCGTGCTGTGGATGCCTTTGGTGTATTTCTGTAAATTGGCCTAACTATAAAATACCCGGCGGCAAATGTCGCAACTGGGCCGTTTCCGATTGGTGTGAAGTCTTTTCATGTGTTGAGACAAGGCGCCTGGGTTTTTACAAATTTTCCCGCATACCTAAAAAAAATGTAAAGTTTGGTAACGTCGGATGGTCGAAAATATTTCAAGATTTCCCCAACAAATAATCACACCTTGCATTTGGCCTGGGGGTCGTGCGTGATCACGTGCCTCGTAAAACTCTGCTTCAATTTGTACCTTTTTGAGCACTTGGAACATTCCCACTCCTTTCCTGGTTGGGGAGACATTTAGTTTATGGATTAGCCTCCAGTTAATACGGAAAATCAAGTGTTAAATGTTTTCAAGAGTTTGTCAAGGTGAATTAAAACTGTCGGATATCTCAATCTGGTAGTTAAATTCACAATTGAAAGCAAATAAGTAGTTTCCACAAAGTTTTACATGATGGTCGAACTATTTAGTTGTTGACATGCTTATTTACTAGGTTTATTTGCAAATTGAACAAAAAACAAGTGGGTATTTCCAATTTTTGAATAAATCCTTGCAAATTGTATCCACTTGATGATAAATAAATATTCATGAAACTATGTATTTCCTATTTATCGTTAGATTATTTAAGCTTGAAGTCGATAACTGATTTGACTTCACGAGTTAAAACCTTACACACTCTGTTCGTTTTCATTACACAAGTTTAAAACCGAGTGGAAAATTTATGGTGTGAAAAGGGTTAAATAAATAAACCACTCTTTGTTGGTAGTCGCCTTGAGAAGAGTGCAGCCGATTGTTCACGTCGAAAGTATACCTGCCTCGAATGGACCCTTCCTTTAGGACGGAAATAGAATACTTCTATAGAAGTTAAATTATTAAGACACCCCTTTTCTCCTCTTAGCTCTTGAAGTTGTGACGCTGACAGGACACCAGATTTTGATACCCATTAGGGGTGATTTATATACATATATCATGCACAATTATTAACTCGGTAAACCTTGGTTAATCGAGCGTTGCATCGGCACTCTTTCACGATTTATTGTTTTAATAAAATTTCTCTTGGGTACGATGTTGATGATTTTATGATTATCTATGTATTTGTATATTTGATAGCAACCATGAAACATTTTTTGAAAAGTTTTTGTTATACAAAATGGTTTTATTTATTTAATATTCTTGAGTATGAACCTTACAATGTCTGATCAATTCTTGAAAAGTGAAGGATTTCTTCCCACAGAAGTAACATTCATATTTCGCTGCATTGTGACGTACTCTGTGTCTGGCCAAATTGCGTTTCGAATGGGTCTTGTCCTCGCATCTGTCGCAGGAATGGACCAGCTCCTTATTCGCAGCATGCTGCCCCTCCACGTGCCGCTTCAAGTTTGATGGCTGGGTGAATCTCTTGTCGCACAATGGGCACGGATAATTCCTCTGATTTTCATGCACAGCTCGAAAATGTCCTTGTAGACCATGTCTAGTTAAGAAGGTCTGAGGGCAGACGCTGCACTTTGACCGGTCTCGGGCGGATTTCTCCAAATGTATCTTCTGTAAAATTATTATGCACATGGCTAATTTTCAATTTCCCTTTTCGTACAACATCCACTTACCTCGTGACTCTTCATGGCTTCCCTTTGGGCGAAACTCTTCCCACAAGTAGCACAAGTGTACAGCTTCTCGGTCGTGTGGGTGAGAATATGACCCTGAACTTCTCTCCTGCTTTTGAATTCCTTTCTGCAAAGTGTACACCGAAATCGGACCGGATTTTCGACATGTTCAATTCGTTCGTGGATCACAACATCTCGCTTGTTTAAATAGGTTTTCTCGCATCCGAGAAAACGACACGGGAGACGAGGTCGATCCCTCGTGTTGTGGATGGCGTTCATATGTTCCTATTGTTAATTGTCAATTCGCCCTGGGCGAATTTAGTCCCATGTTTACTTACGGTTCCTCCATAACTTAAAGGTATTTTAGGCAATCCAAATTTTAGAGGCTTTTTTGAGAAACCCTATCATTCATCCAAAGGTTGAGTTATTTTTACAATTTTTTCACCAATTGAAGATAAACGTCTGGGGGACATTTTCAGAAAAAATTAGTACCGAGACCACTACAACAGAATAGTTTCAGCAACTTTTTGCGTGATGGTTTGCAGTCATCAGAAACTTTATGGCCACCATGTACTTTCTCGCCTCACAAATCAAATTTTAGTCGCATATGCATAGGGTTTTACATTGTCAGTGTCAACGGAATAAATGTCATGTCATGTTATAAATGTCATCACATGTCAATTTGTCAATTTTTTGTCATAAATGTCACAGCTTCAAAATGTATGACATTTATGACAAATATGACGGACATTTATGACATTTGTCATAATTGTCAATCTCAATATACCCCCTGACCAGGTAATCTTGGTAGCAGCTATTAAAACTCTTCTTTCCCTCATTGCAATTCAACGAGTCGACGAATGTTCTTGTTAAATCGCCATCCATTGTATTTATACATATACATCAAAGGATAAGTATAACGTCAAATTTAATTACGACCGTTCACAATTTCATTGAAGTTTTAGGAATTTCCTCTGTTCAGCCTGCTTCAATTTTATTTATATCTCTTAGTTTGATTGCCAAGTAAGATTCAGTCTCCCGGTCTACAATTGTAAATATCTAAACGTTGTAGCATTGGTAGCAGTCATCTCAATTAGTTGCAGTTAACTCTACCTAGGTGGTCGTAAGTAGAAACTTTTAGAAGACATTCACCGAGCTGGCTGCAACTTCCTTTATATCCTGCTGGATGAATTATGTATCGAGTGAAATAATATATGACCTTACTAAACTCTATTGACAACCAGTAGTCCAAGCTTCATATTGCTCTCATGTGTAACGAAAAACATTGTATGTTATAAGCAAAAACAGACGTCAGGTCAATATCATTGGAAGGAACATGCAAGAAATCCGCCAACTCTTCCAAATAAATGTTCCAAGTAAAACTGATGATCAGAGACAAACGGAATAAGTTATAATTTTAGGAAACGGAAGTCGTCAATATAATATTTTAAGTGTCGTTCGTAGTGAAAAAGTATATGAGAGGAAAGATGTGTAGCTGAGAAACAAAATATACCGCCTACGATGACTTTTTGTTTGGGAAAAATGCGATAAACAGTGAAAATGTCATAATTGTCAATGACAAGTTGACAGAAAAGTTGAAAATTTCGAATTTGACAAATTTTCATAAATGTCATAATTGTCAATAAAAATAAATGTCTGACATTTATGACATTTATGACATTTATGACATGTCAAAATGTCATGACAAGTTGACAATGTAAAACCCTACATATGCATACAACCAGCTTTTCCCCACAACTAGCTACCAGGTGACGTTTCATGGTCCCGTTCTTGGCGAAACTCCTCCCACAAGCGGCACACTTTTTCCTTTTCTCCGTCGTGTGTGTGGAAATGTGGATCTCAGTTCTTTCCTCGTTTTAAATCAGTTTGCGCATAGTGTGCACGGATACTGGACAGGATTCTCGGCACGTTCTGTTCTGACAGATTAAAAATTCTGAGAAACTACGCCACTGCAGTGGCGTAGTTTCTTTCAGAGTGACAGTGCACTGTCACTCTGAAATTCCCTCAATTACCCTAATGCACAGTAGGCTATGGAGCGGCGGTATTATGGGACAAAGGAAGGGGGGTAACGAGACAAGCGCTGATTCCTGTACCAAAAGATAGTTCAGAAAGTCTAGATTATTTTTAATATAACAACCAGGTCATTTTGCCTGCCCCATTCCGAGATATTTGAGTTCAAAGTTTTTATACTTTTTCCAAGGCGAGCCAGCTATTTATGTAGGCATTATCTAATATCGAGATATTGGTATAATCGAGATCGGTTTGCGGTATCATATACATGACCCCAGGTGGAGGATCCTCTCAACGTTTGGGGTCAATCGGACCACCCCCCATGTGCCTGGGGGTGTGGTCGTGGAATAATTAAATTTGTGTTGATGTCCATTATGAAGATTTGACGTAGTGATATATTTCTCTACTGATAAAAATGTACATACCGATACATATATAAATTTATATTCAGAATTACTCATTCATGTTAAATATCTATTGGAAATCTATGCAAATGAATATGTGGGACATATTGTTCAGGTTTTCGAAATAATCCTGTTCATTCATTAAAAATATAACATTTTATGTATATCCAACTCTAGTATGACAACTACAATATCATTTTGATGTGGGATTATTTATAATAAATACATATTTACCATTGTCATGGCATTTTCAAACTACAAATTAAATATACTCGTCTATCTTTCTCCATAAATTTAGATTTTTTTCTTCTAGAAAATTGTTGGATTTCTTTTGTATGATATTGATCAAACATTGCAAAAGTATTTAATTCAGTCCCCATTCTCTTTTATTTATTGTTCACAGACGAAGGACAATACTCAAGATTGAACTTTTGTCTCTTGTACTGACAATGGAGGTCTCCCAACGTATGCTTACAGATTTGGACCAAACTAACGCCAATCGATCATAATTATAATTAGTATGCAATTTGCAAATAGAACTATGTATGTGCCAATGTGCAGGTTTGGCGGAGATATTTGCATCCAAAGCAGGAAAAATGTGCAGTAAATATAGAAAATGAAAAATTTACCTGCCTTGGGGGTGCGTTTTCTCCTCTTTTTATGCAAATATCTACGCTAAACTTGAGCATTGGCAGATAGTTCCATTTGAAAATTTCATACTAATTATAATTATGATCGATTGACATTAGTTTGGTCCAAATCTGTGAGCATACGTTGGAAGACCTCCTTTGTGAGTGATAAGTAAATAACGCAATTATTTACTTAGTTCTTTACAAGGCACAAACTTTGTACATTTAGATTTTGAACGTAAAGGATTCTCTGCATCTTATGTATGTATTTTCATTGTCACTTGTCTCGAAATGTTTTAACCATATTTTCTTGCTTTTAAGTATCATGGTTTTTCAAATTTTTCCAACCCATTCCACAAAAGTGTGATTAACCGTATATCTCGAAAGACTTTTTAATACGGCCAACTTTAAATAAGTTGCTAAATGGTCGGTGTTGTAGACAAATTCGGATAATTGCACAAGTTGAACATAACTATATAATATATTCTTAATAAGGAATAATTGTCCACCACTATTGCCATATATTTTTGTCCCTATCAAATACGCTCACTCAGTTCCGGTGAGTATGGTACATGTGTATTTACATACTTGGGAGGATACAACTTATTTAAATTAGTGGTTGGTTAATTACAAACTGTCTGTAATTTAAATAGTTTTACTGTCAAATTACCGGATGTTTAGAATTTATTGAGTAAATCCTTCGTACCAATCGGGGTGCTCATATAGGCAACTAGGTATTTAAATATTTATAAGGATTGCCGTTAAATACTTAATGAAAACGTCACTTCGTTGAGTATACAGATAAATATACAGGCCTATTGTTAATCTAGTCGTCAAGATTCAGTTCGTCAAAATTATATAAACCCGGCGTATAAAATGTATTCTCGTCTCTTAGTAATTTTAACCTTTTTGGATAGTATAATCGCCGAAAAGATCATTGAGCTTAGAGATTTAAAATTTCTAAATGGATTTGAAACTTGTAGAAATACTTTATTCTTATTTAACACAAGTTTTTATCCTGATCCTCACCATGGAAATTCCAACCTAACAACTGTTTCCATTTTTACATCCGGGGAAATAATTGCTAAACAGCAAACCGATTTCAGAAAATATCTCTTATGTCAAACTATTTCCTTTGTGTACACCGATCTCTTCAATTCAAACCAACATTTTCAAATATTTTCGACTGCAAAACAAATTACCGCAACAATCATAGAGTTTACGCCTTTCGCTTTAAAAACATGGGTTCGAAGTTCGATCCAGTTACTGCCAAGGTATATATTTTTAATCTCGACAAATCAACCTGTCGCAAACATGCTGGATTTTGCTAAAAGTCCGCTCCACCCTTTATGGAATCAAGCCATGAAATCTTCATTTTTCGAGGTTATCGGCACCCTGGATAATAACGTGATTTCTTTCAATAATCCCCAATTCTACTTCATCTGTCACCACTGCAACGTATGGAAATATAAGTGGCATCCGACCTTCAATATGATGACCCCTGATTACCCAAACTTGGCCCGATCTCCTGTCACCCCGGGCATATCAAACCGACACCATCTTGACCAAGCGGAATCCCAAGTCACGCGTGACGGCCAAAATTTGACTTAGCATGTCTCAATATATTTCAAGTTTCCGATATCATTGGAACGACTTTTCAAAATCCCGCGGCAAATCGACTTTTCCTCCATTCTCAAAATGGCCGCTACCCTGGATGAAGTTATCCTAGCTATTTTGCTGGAAGAAATGCCCACCTCAAAGTTAACATTGCATGGAATGGTGTCCCCCTGGATTATCCAGACTAGAGGAATGGCTGCAGGCTTGACCCCCATTGTGGTTGGGAGCGATGGCTTCACCTTCACGACTTGCGATGGTGGCCATGACCAGATAAACTTCGCCGTGTACCTTCGCCGTGTCAACCATTTCAAACCAGCGTGTGGATCGTACTTTCAATCATGTTGGGATTGTCCATCGCAGGAATTGTCGGACTTGCCAAATTCCTCGAAGTGAAATTCGGGTGTGACGAAAGTAACGGAGAACTTACCATTTTCTCCGTATTCTTCGCAGTTTTCGCGGTCCTGCTAGAGACGGATGTTTTGATCGGGGTGGTAACGCGGAGTTTAAGGTTTCGTTTATTCATGTGCACGTGGCTGTTTGGTGCTCTAATTTTGTGCACTGCGTACAAAGGAGATAATATTTCTGCGCTAATTGTTCCCCAGCAACGGGCCGAAATTTATCGTGATTTTGATCAGTTACGGGATTTTACTTTGTTCAGTGAAAGCTTTCGTGGCATGGGGAATGAGCCAATGGGCAGTTGGCTAGGGTACGAATACACCAGATATTTTAGTGCGAAGTACGACCCGTTATATTTAGAGGCGTATTCACATGGGAATATGACAAATAATACGGATAAATTGGACAAGGTTTTGCTAGCCTTGTATAAAAATATAATAACCTTGAATACGACGAAAAGTACGGTAGATATTGTTGAAAAATATACAAAGAAATGCTTCAAATCTGCCTTCGTTTCCCAAACGGGCAAGATTAACAGGCTACTGGGGAAACTTAATGAAAAACAGAAGCAGTCCATGTATTATAGAGGGAAACAGGTGGTTTTTAATTTCCCAAATTCATGGGAATTTGCTAAAGCGGGTGGCGCAAAATATTTTGTCGGTAGGATGAATGTATTACTAAGGTCTGGGATATATGAATTTTGGAATAGGATTCTATCTCAAGGAAGGTTTGAAAAAGGAGTGCAAAATTCAGATGCAGATCGTGGAGCACCGATATCACTGGAATCGAATATTAAAACGATTTTTGAAATTTATATTTCCCTATGTGGTCTCGTGTTGGGGGAGTTTTTTGTGGAAATGTTTTGGAAACGTGGGGTCAACTTGTTAATTACATAATTGGAAAGTAGTTGTCACAAAATTGTACATGATGGCTGAACTATTTAGTTGTCGACCGGCTTAATTTCTAGGTTTTTATGCAAGCTTAACACAAAACAAATGGATAACTAATAGTATGTACTTATCGTTAGATTTTAGCTTGAAGTCGATAACTAATTTAACTTCAAACTTCTTCAAACTTAACTTCGTTTAAAACGAACCTGTAATGTAACACGCTCTGTTCGTTTTCATTACACAATTTTAAAACCAAGTGGAAAATTTATGGTGTGTTTAAAATTTATATATTATCATTAAAATATTAAAATTATATTTGTTAAATTATTAAGAAAATTATTTTTAGTTAATTATTTTTATTTTTATAAAATCCTGGAATCATGACAAGATAAATTTCTAACTAAAATCCCATAGCTTTCTACAAAATCTTTTCCTCTAATGTCACAAATTTAGCAAAATTACCCAAATTATTGATACGCCCACGACATTCGTAAGTATCTCAACTTTTCCATAGTATGAACTCTACAATGGCTGACCAAGTCGGAAAACATGAGGCATTTTTTTTCACAGAAGTAACATCCATGTTTCGTAGGATTGTGGTGACGCCCCCTATGACTGGCCAAATTGGCTTTCGAGTGGCTCTGGTACTCACACTTGTCGCAGGAATAGATCGGCTCTTTATTCGTGACATGTATCGCCTCCACGTGAATCTTCAAGCTTGATGGGAAAGAAAATCTCTTGTCACAAAATGGGCACGGAAAATTCCTCTGATTATCATGCACAATTCGGATGTGGACTTGTAGAGCACCTCTGCTTAAAAAAGTCTTAGGACAAATGTGACACTGTAACACGTCTCGGGTGGATTTGTGCAAATGCGTCTTCTATAAAATGAATAAATATGAATATTTAAACCTTAATTTTCCTATAACGTGCTTATTCACCTCGTGGGTTCTCCGGCTTCCCCTGTGGGCGAAATTCCTCCCACAAGTACCACATTTGTACGGTTTCTCCATCGTGTGGGTGTGAATATGTTGCTCAAGTTCACCCCTCGAATTGAAGTCTTGTTCGCAAAGTGTGCACGGAAATCGGACCGGGTTCTGGGTGTGGACACTATTTACGTGTCGCGAAATGTGTCTCATGTTTAAAAAGGTTTTCTCACAGCCGGGAAATCCACATGGCAAACGGGGTCGTTCACTCGTGCTGTGGACGGTATTTGTGTGTTTCCGTAAAGTGCTGGAGTCATAAAACACCCTGCGGCAAATGTCGCAACTGGGCCGTGTCCGCTTGCGGTTGGTGTGAAGTCTTTTCATGTGTTGAGACAAGGCACCTGGGTTTTTCGAAATTTTCCCACATATCTAAAAAAAAGTAAAACTTGTTAAAGTTGGGGTATTGCGCGGATGGTCGAAAATATTTTAAGATTTCCCAAACAAATAATCACACACCTTGCATTTGGCTTCGGGGTTGTGCGTCTTGACGTGCCTGGTAAAACTCTGCCTTGATTTGAAGGTTTTTGAACACTTGGAACATTTCCATTCCTTCCTTGGTTGCAAATCCATTTACCCTTTGAAAAAATTCAAACGTTTGAAAACTATCGGACACATATGTGCCAGCAAATTTCAAAAATTTAATTGCCAATAGTACTCACAAAATTTTGTACCACCTCCAAACTATTTGGACCAGACGAGACGGGTGAATATTTCCAATTTTTGAATATGTAGTTCTCCTCAAATTGTATTATATGTATTTGAAGCTGATTAAATATTCACGAAACTATTTCGTTAATTATAGACTTTAAACTACGTAAACGTATTTATGTATATATGTAGATAAGTATGTATGCACCCTGTACGGAGTGATTTTATTTAAGGTTGATGACTGCTGAAACTAATGTATGCACAACGACTTTAAACTATAAACTCACCCTGTTCGCTTTAAGTTTAAAACCAAGTGAAAAAGTTAGAAAGGATGAATAACCCGTCGGTGGTAAAACTCTTGAGGGGAGTGCAGCCGATTCTTAAGTAATCCTCACCTCAAAAGTATGCCTGGCAAGAATGAACCCTTTTTTCATTTTCGGAAATAGAATTCTGTGGATGTTCAATTATTGAGTTATTAAGTCACACTTTTTCTCATATAAAGGAGTAAAAAGCGGAGGTTGTTAATGTCAATTCCCAGATTTGTATGCCCTTTGAATATATTGGAGCGCTATGCTTAAGCTCCACGGGGATACTCATGCCCGCCACACCCACTCAAGTGCATGAAAAAAAAACGAAAAAACCTTGCTTTCCCCATTCACACCATAACTACAAAAAATAAAATTTCGGCCGGATTTTGAAAGTTTTGATGTATATTTGGTGGGTTGTAGATATACAAATAGTGGCTGAATTGCATGAGATTTCGAAAGTTCTTGTAATTCTGTCCTAAATTCTTCTACTACAACAAGGAGATTTTGTCATTCAGATACATCATTTTTGCAAACAGTTTGTAATGATTATTTGAAGCCCAAGATACGAGTATGTACATACCCATGCATGTGCTTATACCGAGTACTGTTATTTTCATTCCTTACAGTTTTACGACGGATTGTGGTTCCAGGCTAAAACATAAGCTGTATGGTCTTATACCTCAATAAGTACATGCATATGTTACCATTCAGCGTAATGATCAATTTATGATCTTATTATGTACATATGTCGTCTGTCCATTTAACCTTTTCAACCTCGTATTCGCACATATGTATGTATCTGTATGACCCAGTTTGGCACAAAATTGAGCATCCATTTCCTCCCAGAATGTCATCATTCCAACTCGTTTCCTACACCAGTTTACACGTCGAGTCTTAAGTTATGCCAAAGTTATTATTTTTCCTGTCTAAATAAAGCAAAAAATGCTGTACGGAATTATATTCGGAATCGTTACCAGTCTCGTTATTTCTTTATGTGGAAGCGAACTATTGGTAACATCAATTGTTGGTGATAAATATTTTAGAAAGTTTTGAACTGCATGCTTATTATGAACATTTTCTGACAAACTCAAATTTGTCACCAACATGCGTACTGATGAATTATTTGTGCGTGTTATCTCATTTGTACAAATCTCACTATGCCATTTTCGGCGACAGGAGAAGCAATAGCCCTTTGGCTTAGGGGATCGGGGGTGGAACTGTCACCACGCAGTCACACGTTCGATTCCTCTCTGTCCGGGAAGCTATTTGCTAATCCTACTCGGCTCGGTGTTAGTACGGGGTGGGTGCTCCTCTCATGGTTGGTTGAGCCCGGCCAGACGGTCTGGCAATGCCAGAAAGGGGAGCCCTCACAGAGTCCGTTCTCTGTGAGAAGATCCAACTCATCGCCAGAGATATATGGTGAGAAGGAACCGTCACGGATTGAAAACCAGATGAGTTAATCTGATATCTAATGACGTTAAAGGATTATTTTCATTTTCATTTTCATTTTCCCATGTTGAATAAACTCTCTCTTTCGCCGCCAAAGCCTCAAAATACGTATGCAAATGAGGTGGCTAGCCCAAATAATTTCACTGTACTTATTCATACGATGTAAATATGGATTTATGTCAATAACTATATTGGGCATGAATTTGTATTTATTGTTTAATTCTTAAAGTTCATCACCCAATCCATTTCCTGCGCCGGAATGTATGCGTAATTCGACGTGTGATCTTTCTTCTGGAACTTGTGTCTGTCCAACTGGAATGACTTTGGACTATGATGCAGCCTCCTGCCGTTTTGCACGTATTGGCGAGAACTGTAGTTCATCAGTGGAATGTGATCAATCTCAAAGGTTGACCTGTGGTGGGAGTGGTTCATGTGTTTGCGATCCGGACAAAACGGTCAGAAATGGGGGCAGATTCTCAGTCCGGAATTATCAAATGAGAGGGTCAAACTTTGATGTAGGACTTGGTCTGTGTCTTAGCAAGGTAAATGTATCTATGTATGTATAGTATGCTAATATATGTACAGTGTTTCGACTGCAAGTAGGAAACCACGTGCAAAAAATAACTGCAAGAAAGTGGTTTCTCGCAGCTATTTAGGTATTTTAACTGCATCACGTAGCGATAATGCATATATACGTAGTTCATAGGGGGCATTAGCTAAATGCCACATACATAGATATTTATTGCACTTTCTTATAGTTTCTTGCACCTTGAATTTCTTGCCTTGCAGTGCAAGAAATGTAAAGAAACGAAACACTGAATGCGAATCTAGCGAGTATAGTATAACAAATCGTTAATATTATTACGCAGGTCGGGACTTTCTGCAAGGTCACAACGTCCCCCAACTCCTACTACGCACCCCACCCGGACAACAAGTACTGTGTGGAAGGAGCCCGTTGTAGTCACGAGGGTGAATGCCTCTGTGAAAATCCTACCTGGCAGGTCACGAGGGATAAAATTTGCGGAAAGTCGTACAATGAGACGTGTTCCATATTAATACCATGTAGTGATCATTTAGTTTGTACAAAGTGAGTTGGGACGATTTTTTAAATTCGCATTTTTTAAATTCGCATTGAAGTTTTTTAAATTTTGAATGTTTAGTTTTTTCCCTTCCCTTCAAATCCCTTCAAAATTTCGTAGTTGTGCTACTTTAATAACTTTTCTAATTAATATTTCTCACTTAATTTTTCCAGTCTTGGAGAATCCTCTGAAATGAGATGTCTATGTCCTAACGAGGCATATCAAATTTATGACGCGTCCGTGACATCAAACAACCGATTTGGGAGCTGTCGTGGCCTCACGCATACACCTTGCGATCCAGCCGATGAAAACTCCTGCGTTGAGAATGCTCATTGTGCTGAACAGGTCGACCTACAAATTCACAAATAATATAGTATATAAACTTGCGTGCAATTTATTACCTACATACATAAGTACCACTTGACATCGGACCCACCACACAATGTTTTTGAATATTATATAAATTTGTTTTAGGCGAAAGGGTACAAATTCCTCTGCCAGTGTAAACCGAATGCTGACCAGAAGTGTGCCATAATTAAGCACGGTGAACCATGCGACTATAGTAAAAATTATGCCCGTTGTGACAACAGAGCTGGTCTACAGTGCCGAATTTTACGAAAAGTCGATCCCACGGACAATCTAACGAAGTCAGTGTCGTCCTGCAGCTGTCCAAATATTAATGATGTTTATGACGCTGCGCTTAATAAGTGTGTCAGTCAAATCGGGGTAGCATGCAGGTACATCAAGCGTTTTTATTTAATCAATTTCCACAAAAAATAGTACAATTTTTGAATTGACATCCTAAGCTGGTGTGATTTACCAAATCAATTTTGGTAAATCACACCAGACAGATATCTTTCTCGGTATTAAAGTTGTTACCACTTTACGTTAAAATTCTACCGGCCTATAAAAGCTTAATACCGAAATAGTAAAACCTTAATACCGAGCTATTACACGGTATTACTTATCAATACCACTTACAGTCATATACATTAGAAATGCCGTTTGGTATTATTTTAATACTGGATTTCTAAGAGTGTACATACTTCGATATTATGCAGCTAATCCTAAGATCTATTTATTCCAGTGAAAGCAAAACTTGTGGAGGTGACGCAACCTGCTTGAAACCCCGCCCTGATGCTAACCAGACTGGAAAATGCGGATGCAAAGATTACTTACGAGTTGTCATGGTGGGTCTAGGGTAGCTCGTCGAAAACATGGTCGTCGAAAGAGTAACTCGTCGAGGACGAGTCGTCTGAAGGGTAACTCGCCGTTTGGGCAAGTGGTCGAAAATAATACTTGTCGAGAGTATTTTTTTAATAAAATACGATTCTAAATATAAATTATAATTTTATAAAATAATATTTACATGAGAACTCTCAGCAAGAACGCCAAACCGCCTGTTCCAGGCCTCCACTGCATTATTGGTTCTGGAAATATTATCTAATACACGTTGGTGCACATTCCAGAAGAGTATTGGAATCATTGGTGCATCGTACACCGATGTAGGTTTTTTGAACATAACTAAAAAATTCATCCAGTTCGAGTTTAGTTTGACCCTTAAAATTGAACGATACTTTCAATTCTCGCAATGCCACTCTTAAATCATCGGGCTGAACAAATGCGAGACCGAATATTTTTTATATTAATAATGCCATTGTAACGTCTTGGTCGTACTGGTTGTTTAAATTGTGTGCCAAATGTCTAAACAACGCTTGAGTATAGTGAAAATGACACCCGTGAAGTACGGCGTCTGGAACGTGTCGTGTACAGCTGTATAGTGTTTTAAGTATTTTAGAATGTCCGCAGCGTATATCTGTCCCACGATGCACATGTATTGTGCATACTTGTGAACTCATTATATAGGTAAAATTAGTAAAGATGTTGCATGAAATTCGATGAGTTTTATGCCACCTAAATTCGACGACTTGCCTTTCTGACGAGTTTTCCGTTCGACAAGTTGATTTCGACGACTTACCTTTTCGACGACATAGGATTCGACAAGTAACCCGTATCCCGTCATGGTTGGCGATACTCCTAAATGCAGAGCTGATACTACAGATGCTATAATCTTGTATGAGGACGATGACTGAAAGCGTTTAAATACTTAGGTATGCATAAATATTCACGATGATCCAATGATAAGAACTAATAATAATAATAACTATTTAATAAACCATGGTAATGTGAGAAGTATGTATGTATGTAGCTCGTTATAGTGCTTAATTAGAGTGCGTATTTTGAGTTAAAAATTTAAGCTTGGTGGTGTACTTACAACGAGGAAAGGTGTTTGATGAAATTTGTACTTATGTAAATTCTAAATAAAAGTTACGCAAAATTTACTCAACGTTAACGTCGAGTCAAAATGAGGGTAATGCAACAATTGGGTAAGATAAATACATTTAATTTTACCCCACGTTATTTAGAGTACACCCTTCTTGCATATGGCTAAGCTTTCTGGATACGGTTCAATTAGAGAAGATTGGTTATTTTTCAATCTTGTCTCCTCTTTGCTCCCTTTCAATGTGTAAATACTGTATTTGATTTTTACGTGAAAGCTGTATGCATCACCAATAATTTTCTTAAAATTCGCATGCCAGAAAACTGTGCATATTTGAATTGGGAACAAGCACTAAATATGTATGAAATATGTATGTATACATAAATAAGTTGTCGTAGCACATCTGCACATCAGAGTGCGTCTTTCACATAATTCGTTGTCTTTATTATTCTCATATTTAAATATGTATTTACATATGCAAATTCAACATAGATTAGTTTCTGATTGGATAATAAATACTTATTTGACAGACAATAGAACAAGTAACGTACTTGTTCTCTGTAATCGAACAGCGTGACTTGAAATTAATGAAAATGCAGCAAGTATAAAAGAAAACTATTGGGATTGTGTTTATGTCATAGATATAATTTAATATATCACAACCATTTACATACGTATAATAAAAAATGGTTTATTCCTTAATTTAAAAAACGTATAATTTGAATTTATTTACGCTTTGGGATCCCAATGAAAAATAGAATATGTCATACGTTAGTCCAAATTTACAACTTTAACGATTAATAACCTACCGTGTGAGTAACTTAAAGTATAAAAATCGCAAAATTTCTTCCAACTCAACTTTTCTATACAACTGTTACATCGGTAGCCTTCAATTGAACATCTCCTCCAAAATCCGATGTCTTAAATATATTTTTACCCAATTTCTTCCACATTGCCACCCCCGCTAGAAATCCAGTTTTCAATTTTTCTCTCCCCTCCACCAAACATCCAACCATCGCAACTGCACAAAGGGCGAGGTACATTTCAAACAGCAAGACAACATTATCGTCCAACCACATCCTTCTTGGTTGCAGCCTTTCCCTCACGACATCTACCACCCTTTGCGACACCCCGTTCTCATGATACCCCGCAGTTCGAATAACCCTAAGAAGAAGCCCCGCCCAATCCAACATTTCCTTCCAGTAAACAATCAACCCATTTTCGTGCAGCCGGGTTAAAATCCTTACAAACGGTACGCGGAGATATGACCTCGCAGAAACAAAGTAGGAACTGCGCGATGAAGCTTTTTGTAGCACAAATCTGCATTGATAGCCCCCAAATGCGAAACGAGTTATCGATTTATCGCCCCAGACGGCGCCAAACGTCCCCCTATTATCAGCAAGAAACTTGGCCGAACCAAATCCCCAATTATTATCGAAACCACTCAAGTGGATATATTTATCCTGAAGTTCAACCCCCGTAAGGTTGAAAATTTCAACAGCTCGGGCCTTTAAAAGGCTTCGTATCTGGTCTTGAACAAAAAGCTTGTGGGGTTTCTCTCCTTCAAATAGTTCCTTAAAAGTTTCAATAACTTTTTCAGGAGGTGGTGCAGTAATTGAGGATGTTAAAATAGAAGAATACCCACATGTGAGGACAATTAGGAAGATGAAACTAAGCTCGCAAACCCGAGGCCATTTTGGATACTGCAGATTTTGGGTGAGCAGATAAAACAGGATGTCAAAGCCAACCCAAGGACTTTTATGCAGAATCGCGAAAGACATCCCGGTCGCTAAGATTGCTGCCCAAACGACGGGTTGGAACGGTCTCACGAGAAGTTTCCATGACAACGGGGTCCCTCCAAGCTGTTCGGTGCAATAGTACAGTCCGATATAGATCGAGTAGTGGAGATCCAGATGGGAATCGGGGGGCGTGTGAAGATCGCAATTTTCACAGTATGCCAATGGATTGTCGTAACTGTCCACAGATTCAAACATGTCTCCTTCGTGAAATGAGAAATTCAGGCATTTTGACGTGTGATCCCACATCATGAAGGAAATGTGGCAAGGATCGTGTGGAGTTGTGATTCGTGCGCCACGTCCGCGCATTTTGCAATGGTTGTATCCCCACTCGGTTCCAGTATGCATGGATTGAAAGGTCCCTTTTTTTGAGCCGTGGGCAGAAATGAGGTCTAGAATTTGGTGGGAATCGTATAATTTAGAGATTTCTGGGGAAGATGGTAACTCAGTCTTGGTCCACTTCAATATTTCCGATTCTGTATTGCAAAAATAGCAAAGGTATGCCCATTCGGGGCGAGATATGACGATTGTCTTGGCCGGAGGCAGGATGACGCTCTTGCTCTTGGCCATGGAAAAAATATCCTGTATTATCTCAGCTGATGAGGTAACTATGAAGTTAACTGGTTCGAGGAAGCGAAATTTTGCAAGCTCAAAAAGTTCGAATGTCTGGAGTACTGTGGAGAAATCAGCCCTTTTCGTTGCTGAAATCCAAACGGAGTGACAAACTCCAAATTTTCGCGTCGTGTACGGGTTTCGCAGCGAACAGTTTTCGAGACCTTCGTAGTCATCGAGGGTTTCAGAGCATAAGACTACTTTTGACTGGAAATTGACGTAATCAATCGATGTCCTGATGGTTGGAATTCCAGTTTTCATGTTGATGACCGTTTTTTGTATGGACGAAATAATTTCTTGATTCAGTGTGGGAGGAGTGATGAGCTGGACAAGGCATCCGCTATTCGTGGCCTCGAAGTGATCTGATGCAGTAACAATTGGATAAGATTTGTGAAAATAATGGAATGTCAAAAACCAAAAAACGGCGTTCAAAATCATTTTGTATATACTCTAGTTTGTTGAGAAGTCTATTTAAATATGTCCATCTTTTTCCGATAACATGCCGAAACATATTTCCGTTCTCTTTTTCTGTTTAAATTCTGGGTGCAATTTCCACTGAAATAGGTTAACGGATATATGGATTTTGTTTGCATAAACCTTCCTCTCCGTTATTACTGTAGTTTAATTAACTAAAAACTAATCAACTACACTGCCAGTATTCCGTAAATGATAGGATTCTAATTTCTCTAGGTATAATTTGTACTGAATAGTATTCAGTGAATACCAGGGTAATATAGTATTACTCCTCTAATTCTGTGGTGAATACTAACTGATGGAAAAAATTTCATTTCTAGCTGGCGGTGGGTTGAATGTAATTAATTTTCTCGTTAAATAATCGACTGAATCAATCCACTCTAAATTAAAATTCATGCCGGTTCTACCCCATTTAAATATGTAGTTGTTTATAATGTGGATGAAAATTACAGGTTTTGTTAAGATTTTTACGCATAACATCCGATTCACCCTGGGCCCTCACCGGAGACCAATTTTGTCTGATGCCATAAGAATTGATAATTTTAAATAAAAGATCCTCAAAATTATCTATAACATACTAAAGACTAAATCGTTTTTCACAATTTATTTACCGTCTAATGAGTCATTAGTAATGACTTGAAACTACATAAGTAGATAATTAGAACATGATAAACTTTACTTTTGCAGTCAGTTTCTTTTCGTTACTTTTACATTAATGCCGTCATACGGCCGAATAATAATTTCTGAAACCATTTTTACATCTTCCCTTTTCTCGACAGATTGGAAATTATAGTTCAAAAATAGTTTTGACAAAACAATTTTCTCCTCGAGTAAAGCAAACTTTTGTCCGATGCAATTGCGAGGCCCTGAAAAAGTATGTTTCGAAATCAAATTTTTACGTGATTTTCACATGTATGCAAAATTTCAAAATTTTAAAATAAATAAGCTACCTGCTGAAAATGGAATATACGCGAAGGGATTCCTACCCACCAAATTTTCAGGGGAGAAGCGCATAGGGTCAAAGACTTCCGGGTTTGGGAACACGTTTGGATCCCGGTGTACAAAATAGCTAGAAATACCAATGGTTATTCCTTTCGGGAGAATATTTTCCCCTGTAAGAAAAAAACTGCCTGTTAACATGTCTAAAAAGACTTTACATGTACATTGTTTTTTGATATATTACGAACCAATTTTCAGGTCTTCGGAAAGGTGTCGCAAAAAAACGGGCACACTTGGCCATATTCGTAACGTCTCTTTGATGCAGTAATCTAAGTATTTCTGAAAATTCGAGACTATATTCATTTTTTAAGCTAAGTACTCACGATGGACTTTTCACGCGAAAAACAACTTTTATTCTAATTCCGCTCGAGTGGTACTTTAGCGAAACTTTACGCGTTGAGCAGATTTCCGCTCAGGCGAAAAATTTCAGGTTGCCATTTCGCGTGAAAACTCGTCGTATTCGGCTTTACAGTCGAATATAAAGTGTTGAAATATTTGAAAAGAAAGACAAAATATGAAACAAGTTGTTGATACCATTTTTGAGACGTCGGAAGAAGTGATATTCGGATTCTTATCAGCCCCAAAGATTCCGTCAAGTTCTTCTTGAATCAATTTCTGTAATTTGAAACACAATTTAAATGTATCATCTCATTCGATAAGGATCATAATGAATCAAAATACCTGGTGTAGTTGATTTTCATGGAAAGATAACATTAAAATTGTCCACGACATACTGGCAGAGGTGGTATCATGACCCTGTAATAATTAGTTTATGTACATATATCTAGACTTATTTTTACGGAATAAAATGCTTTCTAACTTCTGCTTTGAAAACAAGAAAAACTTGTCTAGTTTTCGAAAATCTATTTAGTCCACACTCAAATGGGCCATCCATATATTACGTCATCAAAAATTCTCGATTTTAGCACCCACCCACCCAACGTAATGGGATAGGGAATTTTAACATGGGAAAGATCGGAAGACCAAAACCACCCACCCACTAAAATGATGACGTAATACATCGTATATGTAGTCATTAGATTGTTAAATTTAGCTCGTATAAATATATACTAAACTGTAATTGGCAACTAGTTAAATTAATTTTACCGCAAACATAAAAGTGTCTGTTTCTTCTCTGATTTCGACATCCGTTAAAGTTCCATCTCCATCATCACTTTGTTCCGATAAGTCCAATAGTAGATCCAAAAATGCTTTTCGTTTTTCTAAAATTAGGATAAAATTAATACAAGCTAACAGCATTTACTAATAATGAAACCTTTTTCAAGCTATATGGGATTGTCTAGCGAGCTATGTCAAAAAATCAAGCCAAAAGTTAGGAATGACATGGCACTTATCTTTCCATTGAATGGTCCTTTTGAAGAAAAATATTGAGGTCAAAGTCCTCCTTGGTTAAAACCGCGGGGAGGAGAATGTGGAAGAATATTTATTCAGAAATTGAACTTTGACCCACAATATTCTTCTTCCAAGGGGCTACTTAACGGATAGATATGCGTCATGTGATTCCTAATTTGTGGCTTAATTTTTTTTTAGCTAACTCGTTAGCCAATCCCTGTGTAACTTGAAAAAAGGTCCTATTGGAAGTATTTATTCTTACTTTGTGATGTGCCATCCTCTATGTGATCAATTATGGATGGATTTGAATTTTCTGCATTTTTTCTTTCAAGCTTCTTCGCAATTATGACCTAATCAGATTATTTTACGTCACTTGTTTTCCTTCATACTTACACAATGACGAAGACCTTATCAGTAAAATCATGAAGAACTTTAATTAGTTGCGCTTCTTTAGCCTCAAAACCACTCAGTCTCCGAATCAAGCCGATTTGAAGCCAAGGTCTAGTAATTTTCTCCAGCAATAAGCAGCCATATCTATGCAAATATGTAAATAGCAATCATTATGATGTGTAATTCTGATTTACCATTTTATTTGAAATATGTATTTAATACTCGGAAACTGCATTTAAGTATTCATCATCTCCATCCTGTTGTACTTGGGCGTTAAGTTTTTTTCCCATTGCAGTTTCTATGAGGAGATAAATGAACATTTGCTCAGGGGTGGTAAGGGTACAAACGCCTTTAAAATATATAATACATACATACCACAAATTATATCCAACGCACATCTTGCCATAAATGGGAAAATATTAAACGGTTTCCCGTCAGCCTTTTCCTTCAATATTTTCGTAAGCACGTCAGCTTGCTCGTTAAACACGACGCTAAACTCCTCCAGGATTTTGAAATGGAACGTTGGTGTCAGCAGTTTTCGTCGGCCACGCCATTTTCTCGCTAAAATCTCAAATTTAATCATTCATTAGAACTGTTTAGAACGAACATACCTATACATACCTTTTGCTGTCAGGAGACCGCGTCCAAGCCACCCAAGACCTACATCGTATTCCATGGGTTTCTCAAGAAGTACAGATGAGGATAAAATGGTCTGTTAAATATATGTGCTTAGAATGGAACCTTTTTTCAAGCTACATCGGGATTTTCTAGTGAGTTATGTCAAAAAATCAAGCCAAAAATTAGGAATTACATGAATGACATTGTTGAATGGCCCCTTTGTAGAAAAATATTGGCGGAATAGTTCAGTCGCCTTATTTTCGCCCCGTGGAGGACAAAGCGAAAGAAAATTCACTCCGAAATTGAACTTTAGGGCCAAAATTTTTCTTCAAAAGGACCATTCAACAATGTCACGTGATTCCTAATTTTTGGCTTGACTTTTTGGTATAACTCGCCACACTATCCCGGTGTAGTTTGAAAAAAGTTCTGTTATTAGCAAAATACCCTAAGGAAATTCACGCCGATCTTGGTAACACTGTAAAATCCGTACATTTTGTAAACTTACAAACTCTTACAAATTTTTCTCACGGAAATTGGCTTACAAATTTTTGTAAACTTATTGGGAGGAAGGGGGTCTTTTTATGTTGTAGAAGCTTGTAATATGATTTTACGAAACTTCTTTCGAAACTTGTTCGAGATTTTATAAGTTACAAATGACTGCGTGAACTTCCTTAGTACATAACATTAATTTAATTTTGTGCAAACACGTACTTCAACAGATGAGGCCTCACATAACGTTACGATTGGGTGATTTGCAAACCAAATTACAAAATTAGGTCCAAATTTATTGTACCATGAGATATATACATCCTTCAATTCTATGATTAAAGAGATTTTTTAATGAAAAGCACATCGAGTTATTTAAATGTATGTATTTAATGTATGTATGTATTTAGTTGTAATTGATAGCTTACCATACCGGGGGCGTAAGAGGGATAATGCATTACCAAACAGCGGGATTGTAGGGGGACCGGGTACGTTTTCAAGAAATTTGGATATTCTTCTATCTCGTTTTGTCAAGTAATAAATTATGAACGCAAGAACGAATGTGATCACAAATTTTCCGTCGATAAGACCAAACCAGGATACTAATTCGGGTAAGGAATACATTTCGCTATGCGGGTTTGAACTTTGTTAGGAGTCAGTAAATGTCGTCAGAAATACAAGACTTAAGTTGTTAGGCTAATGTGTACATATATGTAAGTCTTATTTTGTGGGACGACAATTTCGTACTGATGAATGGCGTTTGTGGCAACAAAGTTATAAAGTAGGCAAGAGAAACTGGATAATTTAAGTAAATGCAACTATCAACCATGAATCAAGGTCGAGGGCTAATGTGCAATGATAACATGCAAGGCATTATTTATCTTGGGTAAGGTAATATATTAGCAGAACAATGGTAATGAGGAAAGTTCATTGAATATGGTAAGGAGGGAAGTCCCGTCAACGTTTGTAATCTTCGTAAGATTTGTAAGTTTACGAATTTTGATGGACACTTTGTACACACATTTGCAAGGGATTGTGCAGAAGGCACGTGATCGATTTGAGGGGGGGGGGTAGGGGTCAAGTCATCCTATCCTTCCCATGTTAATTATAATGTGGGGCGTATAGGTCACACTGGGGGTCAAAATTTCCCGACAATCGATCACATGCTTTAAAATTCAACTATGTATTTACGAATTTTAACTTCAAAAGCATGCCTTTCGTTCGCAAATAATAGTTCGTAAATACTTAAATCGAGCGTTTGATATTTGCATGTTCATGTGAAATCAGGCTTGCTATAGGTTACAGCTACATATAGATACCTACATACATACTTAATATGTACGAAAATTGTGTACAAAGTCAACTTATACCAAGAATGTGTAAACTTACAAACCTAACGAGGTTACATATGTATGTACATACATAGTTACAAACTTGATGGGAAATCTCTCCATGTGTTCGCAAAACAATGGTTACATGCAAGGTATTATTGTTATTGAGGAAGGAAATGTATGTATTCGCAGAACAATGAGCCTTTCTCATCAGCCTTCATTAGCCCGTAATGACTAGGGCTTCCCAAAAGACGGGACGAAATTGAGTTGTTTTGACAAGACGGGACAAGACCAGGGTTCGGAAAACCTAGGGGTTCTTCTAGAAAAACCCAAACCCGGGGGTTTTTGTGTGCTTTTGTGTATTTTTGACTAAATAAATAAGGATATGACTTGTCTGTTGTGCCAAGGTGTAGATTATTTAGATAGGTTACAAGAATTTTACAATGGAGGTCTACCAATGTATGCTCACAGATTTTTATTAAATTTCTTAACATAATTTTGCCCAACAATGACTCTAAACTAATTTGAAAAATTGTATATCAGTATCCACTATTTCAAACAGTTTCTTTTCGTTACTTTTACATTAATTCCGTCATATGGCCGGATAACAATTTCTGAAACCATTTTAACATCTTCCCATTTTTGAACGGATTGAAAATTATAGTTCATAAATAGTTTTGATAAAACAATTTTCTCCTCCAGTAAAGCAAACCTTTGACCGATGCAATTCCGAGGCCCTGAAAAAGTACATATATTTCGGCATCAAACTTTAGGGAATTTTTACATGCATGCAATTTTTGAAAGTTTTGGGCTAAATAAATAATGTACCTGCAGAAAATGGTACATACGCGAAGGGATTTCTGCCCACCGAATTTTCAGGGGAGAAGCGCATGGGGTCAAAGACTTCCGGTTTTGGGAACACGTTTGGATCCCGGTGTAATAAATAGCTAGAAATCGCAACGGTTATCCCTTTCGGGAGAATATTTTCCGCTGTAAGAAAAATATCTGTTTATATCTGTATATAAAAAAAAATAAATCAGTCTTTGGTTCATCGAGGGGTTGCTGGACTGCTAAGCAAGAAATGCATGGTACAAGAAACTGCAAGAAATATGCTCCATTATGTGTCTTGTGAACTTGTGTTCTTCATTTCTTGCAGAACAAATTATGTAGCTAGAAGAAACCACTTTCTTCCAGCTAAATATTTCTTGCAAATGGTTACTTGACCCGAAACACTGCTTTTAATTATGTTTTCTGATATTTTACAAACCACTTTTCACGTCTTCGGTAAGGTGTCGAAAATAAACGGGTACACTTGGCAATAATCTTAACGTCTCTTTGATGCAGTAGTCCAAATATTTCTGGATATTAGAAACCCTTCATTTTAGATCGAATACCATATATCTATATAAATTTTAAAAATAAGCTATTGATACCATTTTTGAGACGTCGGAAGAAGTGATATTCGGATTCTTATCATCCCCAAATATCCCGTCAAGTTCTGCTTGAACCAGTTTCTGAAATTTGAAACACAATTTATGTATTATCTCGTTCTGTAAGGATCCTAATGTTACGCAGTGTATGTAAATACCTGATGTCGTTGATTTTCATGGAAAGATAACATTAAAATTGTCCACGCCATATTGGCAGAGGTCGTATCATGACCCTGTAATATTTATGTAACATCAAGTTAAATACATGTGTACTTATTTGAAATTACTTGTTAAGAAACAAAATTGTGAAATATTGCTTTGAAAACAACAAAAAAATTGTTTGATTTCCGAAAATCGAATTAATTCAAATTAAAATTGTATAATACGATTCATAACACTGTTGATTTTAATTAGTGGACATATTTATGTATGTACTAAAATGTATCTGATAGCGACAGGAACTACTAAAGGGAGGGCAGCTCGCTGATAACGATTTTGACATTTAATATCTTTGGCACTTGTAGTAATTTCAACTTGAAACTTCGCGACTTGATAGGCCTTAGAGTTGGCATTACAGGTGCAAAATTTCAATTTTCTAGTGTGAGAAGCAGACCTTCAACTAACCCCAAAGTAAAACACTGATGATTTTTTTGTTACAGACATAAATTACCCGATGGAAGCAAATGGAGCAGTTTTTGATAAGCTAAAAATGTCAGGAAATAGCAAATTATGTGACCCCATGTCTGTAGTACACAATGCAGTTTAAATTTTGATAAAAAAATAACTGGGTAGAGTTTCAGCGTAAAAGTTATAGCAGCCCCCAAACTCTCAAAATGTCGCTAATTTTTTCCAACTAACTGCATAACACGAAATTAAATATTTGTACTCCAAAATCTGGTTGTATTACCATCAGTAATGTCTCCTCTAACTGCTAAATTAATAAACATGAAAAAATTTCAACTATTGCGATTTATAAAATTCCATTTAACACACAAAAATACGTTACTCACGCTTTTTTTGTACAAATCCACCTGGTATGGAATAAGTTAACAAACTTTTAGGAGATTTTGAGTTGTTTATGAAAGCCACATAGATGCCAAAAATTTTAATACCACCCACATCAAATTCTATGAACAATTCACAATTATAGGGTGTTTTAAAAATAATCTGAAATTTAAAAAACTGCAGTTTTGGAAACGCTTTGGAACAGAAATATTTTTTCGTATGCACATATCTCTGGTGCCATTTGCACTAGCGAATTAAAATTTTGCACCCATAATGTTCACTTTAAGTTCAGCAAATTGCAAAAATTTCAATTCAAAATTACTAATAGCGCCAAAGATATTAATGGTCAAAATCGTTATCAGGAAGACGCCCTCCCTTTAGTACATACATATGTGCATAAATCGATATTACCGCAAACATAAAGGTGTCTGTTTCTTCTCTGATTTCAACATCCGTTAAAGTTTCATCTCCATCATCACTTTGTCCCGATAAATCCAATAGTAGATCCAAAAATGCTTTGCGTTTTTCTAAAATAAGGATGAAATAAAATTTCCTTGGTATGTTTAAATGTTTACAAGCATTTACACAATATTTACTTATTCATACTTTGTGTCATTCCGTTCTCAATTGTGGACGGGTTTAAATTTCCATGATTTTTTCTTTCAAGTTTCTTCGCAATTATAACCTAATTTAAATATTTTACATACGTCAGTTCTTTACTTTTACACATATTCACTCAATGATGAACGTGTTAGTCATTGCCTTATCAGTAAAATCGTGAAGAACTTTAATTAAACGGGCTTCTTGAGCTTCATATCCACTCAGTCTCCAAATCAGGCCTATTTGAAGCCAAGGTCTGGCAATTTTTTTAACCAGTAAGCCGCCATATCTAAATGTACACAATGCTCATTATAATGTGTAATTTGAAGTTAATATTTTACTTGAAAAATGTATTTATTTATTACCCGAAAACTGCTTTTAAGTATTGATCATTTCCATCTTGTTGCAATTGGGCATTTAGTTTTTTCCCCATTGCAGTTTCTATCAGTAGATAAATACATATGTATGTATGTAAATATGTATAACGTATGTATAAGTAACTAAGTAAGTACATATTTATGCACGTATGTATGTACCATTACCACATATGTATTTTCTTAATGTAAGTAGCAGTGGTGGCTAGGATACAATGTCTTTAAAATATTAATACATATACGAGTGCATATTCTAAATATTTAAATATGTATCACAAAAACTTATTTTGAAATTTTTATTTTTTAAGTAAATTATAGGTTGAGAACCTAAAGACAAAAATGTATTTATAAAGGGTGTTGATTTAATTTCTCCCCAGTCATTTTTTACTACACGGACGGCGACAAATTCAGCTATAATTCCTGTACCTGTTAATGTTTATTTTTGAAAATTTTACCATGAGTAGTCCAATACTCAAGGTCGATCATGACCATCGTAGAGATTCGAAAAAACTTCAGTTCCGAAGCAATTATAAATATAAGAAAAATCGGAGAAATTATGATCTGGCGGGAAAACGCTAAGGCTACGGACCAGCCGAATTTTTTTCAAATACAAAAAATGATCGGAATGATGGAGGATGTCACCTAGGAGGATGTCACATACTACAGCCACAACAATTCTGCCCAAGATTCATCAAGAACAGGAAGTTCGGTACTAATTTCGGCAAAAGAGTGAAATGGGCAAAAATGCATCAAATTTATTAACACGTAAGTTTACAATACTGCAATACCGAAGTTTGAAAAATTGACGAATTGGAGTCACACAGCTCATAAACTAAGTCAGGAAAGGTTAATATTTCAAAAGAACATTAGGACCGGCCTAAGATTTTGAAAAATATTCCAAAAAAGTGGCGATTTTCGTGAAAAAAGGCAAGGTCAAGAACCAGAGCGTCATATCCTCGGGACAAACGAATCTTCAAATAAGCCACATCCAGAATTGAACCTACAACATATGATACACAAAACCGGAAAAAAGTCACATGTACCATCCCTGCGTGTTTCGAAATGTGGATCGGAAGTTATGGTAGCGGGTGTTTTTTTGCGTGTGGCGTGAAAACCCTCTATATTATACAAATATGGCACATATCAATGCAAATAATTTTATAGCGAAAATGCAACCTAGATGCTTTGATAGCATAGGAAACAAGGATTTTTTTCCAAATACTAGTCCGTCCTTTTCATGCAGGATGGTGGTGCAACTCACATGGCAAAAACGACCCTGCCGCTATGTGAAGGGCAGTGTAAAACGGTTTGGAGCAAGGGGTGTGGTCCGATAAAAACCCGGATGTGGATGTTTCAGACAACCTATAGCCCATACCTAAAGAAGATATGCATAAAGATCCAAAACCACAAACAACAGAGAAGCTAACATTGAAAGTTCAAGCATAGTGCAATTCCATAACAAAAATCAGTTTGAAACAATTAGCACAGAGTTCCGAACAAAGAGCTGAGGACATGGTTAAGGTGGACGGTGGAAAGCCAAAATACTAACTTGTGTTTGAAAAAAATTGGGTCCGTTGCGTCTCACAGTTTTGAGAAATGAGCTTTCTTTTTTTTTGCAGGATAAAGTGGGGAGAAATTAAATCAACACCCTTTAGTGGGACGAAGTATGTATGCCTTGATTTATGGAAATTTTTAGTGAATGTGTTGGGCAGGCGGAAATATAGATATCAGTAATAGTTACTTAAGAAAAGCAGGTATTTTGTATTTTGTATTTCATTATTGAAACACTATATTTTGTATATTTCTGGAAAAATCCAAACGTATTTTGCCACGAATTTTGTTCAACACTCAAAAAATGTGGTTCAAAACATAATATAATTGGACTTTGGAGACTATCTACATCTAGGTCAGGCCTATTACCCAATAACGAAAAATTTGCGAATTTATTATATAAATATACATACCACAAATTATATCCAGCGCACATCTTGCCACAAATGGAAAAATATTAAAAGGTTTCCCATCCGCCTTTTGCTTCAATGTTTCCGTAAACACGTCAGCTTGTTCGTTAAATATGACGCTGAATTCCTCCAGGATTTTGAAATGGAACGTTGGTGTCAACATTTTTCGTCGGCCACGCCATTTCCTCGCTAAAACGGCAAGTGTATCATAAATCGTACGCATTTATACAAATTATTTTAAACGTACGTTTTGCTGTTATGAGACCCAATCCAAGCCACCGAAAAAGTACATCGTATTCCTTGGCTTTCTCAATATGCACAGATGAGGATAAAATTGCCTATTTAATACATATCATAAAATACGATGAGGCAAATCACGCAGACCTTGATAACTTTTAAAATTCGCAAGTTTTGTAGAGAAATTTTACAAAATGAAGAGACACCCTAAATCTGACTAAATTTGCAAAAATTTGTGACCCAGTTTCCTTAGATATAGTTGTCAAATTTTTAAAAGTTTGTAAGAATTTATGGATTGTACAATGTTATCAAGACCGGCGTGAATAACTTTCTCAGCAGCAAGTTTAGTGAATATTTGAAACACGTACTTCAACAGATGATGCCTCACATAACGTTACAATTGGATGATTTCCCAACCAAACTGTATAAATTGGTCCGAATTTGTGATACCATGAAGTTAACACATCCTTCAATTCTACGATTGAAAGGTCATTATTTTTTCATAATCATTATTCATTATTAATCATTAATTAATTATCATTAATTAATCATTATTTTTCGTGAAAAGCATATTATTTAAATATAGGTATGTGACTGTAATTGAAGTTTATCCATACCATAACTCGGACATAAGAGGGACAATACATTACCCAACAACGGAATTGTCGGAGGACCTGGCACGTTTTCAAGATATTTGGATATTCTCCTGTCTCGTTTTGTCAAACAGTAAATTATGAACACAAGAGCTATTGTGATCACAAGCTTCCACTCGCTACCAACCCAGGACACTATTTCCTGGAAGGAACCCATTTCTCGGTTTTGAAGTATGTTACCAGTCAATTAAACGCGTACATATGTCGAAATATTTATGTATAGGAATATTCGTAAAGTTATGAAGCCTATGGAATGCTGGTATGTTAATGAGATGGCAATTTCATACTGGCGAATAGCGTCTGTAATGCAGACTTAATATCAACGAAGTTATTAAGTAAACAAGATAAATGACCTGAGGTAGCTTGACATTCCTCGGGGTCGACCATGCCTAGGTTAATGTGCAGTGATACATACATGCATAAAATGCAAATTTTTATTTATCATGAGGAAAGTAATATTTTTATTCGCAAAGCCATGATAAGATTATGTTCATACATACACACATACATACGTTTATGCACCTATTATTTTGTAAGAGTATAGTATTGCATGTCGAGATTAAAAGTAGTTGCCCTATTAAGAACTTACTGGTCAATCGTAGTTTAGTAAAACGTCTTAAGGAAGAGCACTATTTATTTGTCCACGACCACGATAACATACATCTTACTAGATACATATGTGCATATTATTAAAATCGAGAAGTACATATGCACTGGTTTTCAGGTCAGGACAAGGTAGATAAGTATGTAAGTGCATGAAGTTTTGCCCGATATTACTTATTTATTTACTTATCCTTGGACCCGAATTGGATGAAGAACTTGGAACTGTGAAATCTCTCTTGTAAATTATGATTGACCACAATTTATAACTATACACCTTCCTTATTACAATATTATACATTGCACATATTAGCACAAAATTATACCTAAATGACGATGAGCTTGGATTACATTTTCATCACAGAATAGATGACGAAGGGTTTTTTGCCCTCTGTTCGTGTTTTATCAGATCTCATAACTAATCCAAACTGTACTCAATATATACTCTCTATTCACGCACAGTTGAAGCTTTACAGAAATTGATAATTCTGAGACTCTACGCTACTGCAAGTCTCAAAGTTCCCAATCAGCATAATTTGAGGCACTTTGAGATACAGATACATAAATATGTACGCACATGTCCTCCGGTTAGTAATGATTTATGTAATACCCTAAGACCGCAAGTATACTTACATATGTAGAATAAGGTACATATATATCCAACCCTTTCACGTTATAGTTTCACTTATCGTACATATACGTATGCTCTTGTTTATCACAATTTCACACCTTGACACTTGTGTTACTCCATGAGTTATAGTAATGGACCTGATGTCAAAAATCGATTTTTTTGAAATCCTTCAAGTATGTGTTAGAGGACCTTCAAATATGCAGAAAAATCATTTTCCCCGAATTATTAAAGTGTCAATGGGGCTGGTAGGAGGGGGTGTGGCTTTCGTTGAGATACCACCTTTTTGCAGCCGCTATTGTACTCAGGGGCTCCAAATTTCACATGAAGTTACCATGGGCCAATACAATTGCGGGTCTTTTTCTCTTTTTTTGAAATTAGGTCACATTGACTGTTTTTAGGTCAAAATGTGCATTGTGTCAAATTTTTTCGAAAATCGACTCATATGACCCCATAAATGGGGCACCGTGAGATAGGTCCAGACAAGAGGATTCAGAATATATATACTTTGTGGGGTCTGGGACCACCCACTGAGCTTCTAGAGGCAGAAGAATGAAAATTTTCTATCTCTCCAGATTTTAACACTGAAGCAAATAGGGGAGCTAACATATAAATAGATGGGCAAAACTCGAAAATATTGTTCTACCTCTGGAACACGAGGGAGTGGTCCCAGACCCCACAAAGTATATATATTCTTAATCCTCTTGCCGAGACCTTTCCAACGATACCCCATTTTAGGGGTTATGTGAGACTTTGACTTTTCGGACAAATTTGACATGCTGTGGATTTTGACTTAAAAACGGTCATCGTGACTTAATTTCCAAAAAAGAGAAAAAGACCCGCAATTGTATTGGCCCATAGTAACTTCATGTGAAATTTGGAGCCCCTGCATGCAATAGCGGCTGCGTAAAGGTGGTATCTCAACGAAAGCCACACCCCCTCTTATCAGCCCCATTGAAATTTCAAAAATTCGGGGAAAATGATTTCCCTGCATATTTTAATGTCCTCTAACACATAATGGAAGGATTTCAAAAAAATCGATTTTCGACATCAGGTCCAGTACCATAGCTCATGGAGTAACCCACTTGTCAATACACTTATACATACTCATTGTATTTTACAAAATAGTTCTTAAATACGTATCATTCACTTACGTACTTATTAATCTTGCAGTAGTATTAATCTTACTGTTAACTTGACACAGAAACTCATCATTACCAAGGGCGTCAAAATGTCTACGAAGTTACTGCCAAATCTAATCTTCAAGGGGGCAGATCCTCTCACCCCCTTTTTGAAAATTTTTGAGCTTAACCTGTCCACAATTCCGTCTGCTCCCACCACGGATCCGCATTGTTTCAACTTTCGTAGTAAAATTTTCGATTTTTTGTTCACCATCCCGGACAACGTTCCCAGGCATAAAATCCCAACCAGGGTTTCGAGACAGATTACAAAGAATATCACGTGTCCCACATTACTCAAAATTGTGGCGCCGTACGTCGTACATAAAAAGTTGGTGACAACGTTTGCAAACGTGAACATGAAGAAAGTTCCGGGTAAAAGGATCCTACGAAATGTGGCGTTGATTTGTGACTCCAGAATTTTCAGTTGTCTCAATTCGAAAATATAGGCTAGATCCATGGTCAAGATGTCGCTATGATCCAGGCGTCTAGTAAATTGGAATAAATTTCAGAAATTTATGTTAAATATTTTTTTGGATGATCACTCATTTCTGCGGTTTTCGGGGATTATTTCTTGATTTTATTGTTGAAAATTGCTAGCTTTCAATGAACTACTGTCATTTTCATCAGGCAAGAATACAAAGATATCGGATACAAATCTAAACCATACATTCCTTTGACAAGTGAAAAATGGGAATTAATTGTCAGTAAATGTTACTTAGTCACAGTTAAATTATAAAAAATTCAGTAGTGTTGAGGACCAGATTGGGTTGATGTTGACTCCGCTGGATATGTTAATTTTGCTCGTTAACTTTTTAAATGAGCTGCTACAGGCGAGGTTGTACTTTCTCTTCTGATGTCATTCTGATGTTCGGCAATTCTGACCATGAAATCTCGTTCTGTTTCACCGATATAAACAGCAGGACACGAATTGCATTGTATACTGTAAACTCCTGCTCTTGGCTTTTGCAATTTCTGTTTGGCGTTACAAACAATTGATCCAAACAATATTTTTTTGGATTTTTGTATTTATCTCAAAACTCATTACATTTAAGCCATTTTAGAAATTTGCATTTAATGATATAGGGGAAGAGTGAGACTAAAAATATATGGGACATCACGTCATCCTATACCGACCTAAAATTATTCTGAAAATTCTCAAATTGCTTTTTGAATTTCACCAAATTTCTAAAAATGTTAAAAATTTTCTTCGAAATTGTCAACTTCTGCTGGATTTGCATTTCCTGAATGTTTACTTAATCGTACTACTATTACATATGAGCATTTTTTTAAAAATACGTACCTCATAATTTCACCCATATACGCACACAAGCTCAATATCGTCGCAACAAAAAAATTCGCCGTTGTCAAAATGTAGCTCGGCACGAGGGCATAATGTTGCCACGTTTGAAACACAATGACGCAAAAATGTCCCCAAAAAATGACTATCTTCCTCTCCAAACTATCCCCACATTCCAGCTGCGGCATTATCGACCCGATAAATGGGAGGCGATCGGGTTCCAAAATATTCAACAAGGTCAAACTTAGCGGGCAAACTAGCGAAAATCCAAATCCGAATAGACCAACGAGCACTTTCAGCAAGGACTGCCATCTACCGAAAATCTCTTCTTCCCGCCCACTTCTCTCCTTACCCCATCGGTTACGTTCATACGTTAAAAACAGGTTCAACAAGGTGACAAAGTCTGAGCTGTCGGTGAACCAGGTTGTCACCATGAGGAAACACGTAATGGGGAAAAGAATCGAAAAAATTGTGGCGGATGCTTTCACCTTGACGTCGATATGGGGAGAGGTCGAGTGACATAGACCATTGAAAAAGAGGAACGTCATATAAACAGTGAGACAGAGAACGGTCCCATACCTTAAAAATGGTGGTAACGAACTTTGACGTGATTTATTGAGTGAGATGAAGATTTTTGGGTCAACTTTATCACTTGAGACACAAACTGGACATGGGGTGAAGAAGGAGACAAACTCGAGTTGAAACTGGGTCTGAGATAGGATGGAATTTATCAACATTTTTACGTAGATTTTTGGAAGGTTCGGAAATATAGAGCGTGCGGGAGCATAGTGTTCATGAAACTGTCGATCCGGGTTGAATCAATAAATGTCAAATCAATTGTGCCCCCATCCGCTTAATTAAGTTAACGGATAAACGAATAAGATAACGATGAATTGGACTGGATGTGGGTAAAGGTTGCGTTATGACATTCTGGGTGTGCGTGCAGTTATGCATAAGGAAAGGTAGAAGAAAGAGCTGTGGATGAATGATTGAGTGTGAATGATTGATGGGTAGGGTAATTATTAATGCAAAATAATCAAGTATTTATATAGTCCGATTATGAACGGGTTGAGGAAGCGGGTCAAAAAATTGCGAAAAAGTGTGTCGACTAATTGATAAATGACTGTGATTATTATTCTCGTATTAGTTGTGCAAATATTGCATATTTCATTACAATAACATTTAAGTATTCGTCCCACTCTGCTTTTGCTACAATTCGTTGGGAAATAATTCTCGCCTCGTACATATCTACATATTTACATAATCGCAATTTCACAAAACATTTTTTATCCGATTTTTAAGAAATTTACGTAAATTTTCTTTTACTGCTAATGCAGCGAACTGGTGAATGCTTTCATTATGGTTCGGAAAATTAAATACATTCGAACGTGTTGCGAAATACATTCTATCAAAAATATTACTCCGGCTAAAATAAAGATGACAACGAAATGGAATATTATCCTGGCCACGAGATCCTCCATTCCGACCGGTTTTGAAAGCTGAGCCCCTCGCATTCTCGACATTACGACCCGGCCATACACATTTTTCACGGGAATTTGCACACTCAACTTTCCAGATGCTTTCAACACTGCCACAATTTCCATCTGGTACGAATTCTTGGCCCAAATTGTAGTCAGCCCGGCCTGTTCGAGATGACCGATTCCTTTTTCAAATAAAGCGCCAAATCTGTTCCTATCCACGATCCATGGCGAGCTAGACGCACTAATCGAAAATACACCTTTCCCGCCATTTTGCGGGACAAAATAAACCTCAAAAAGGCTGAAAATCCCTTCGAAATATTTTAAAACTAGTTCATTATCCATCACACCGATTAAATTACTGTTCCCGATTCTTCCCCCTGTTGAGCTCAACTTGATTTCCAATTTGTTTGAAACATTTCCGACGAATTCCAACGCGCTGATGTTCTCGGTGGGTAAGGAAACAACCCTTTTTCCTAGTTCTTTTAAGACTTTTTTGTAACAGGGGGAACTTGAGAAGTCCACTAATTCCGGAATAATGTCATAATGTAACCGCGAAAATGTAAAATTCCCATCGTACAAGAGGGACAGCGTAACCAATGGGATTTTAGCGGCTAATTCACTCAATTCATGTGGCACATGTGGATACCGTTTCGTCGTAAAGTTCGAATAAATATCGCTCTTTAAACAGTACGAGATTACAAGCGCGGTTAATATCCAAACGCCAAAAGTGATTCGATATACCGTCTCACGTTCCCCTTCCCTTCCCATTTTTACTGGTTGTTCCAATAATGTCACCAGCGTCCAAGAACATTTGTTGTTGAACCTTATCTTACAAGATTTTCGTCTTGAAACCAGCAATAATAACGAAGTTGAAATTATTCCAGCTCCAAACAGGGCAATCAGGGTGCCAGAACTGAATGAAAATAAGATTTTGGAAACGCTGGGTTTCAGAAACGTGGTAAAAATCTGGTATCCGAATTGTTCCAAACTCGCGGCATAGATGCACCACGACATCCGATTGCGATTTTCCTCTCTTAGGAATTCCTTCACACTTTGCGGTGACATTATGGCGTGGTCGACGAAGAGGGATTCTTTCCCAGTACTGGAAGAAACTAGAGTCGCGTTAAGGTGTACACTTAGGTCAATCATGGTGCAATAGGGTTCCAGAAACTCGCCAAAGATGGAGCATGATGGAACGTGAGAATTGGTTGCATCGGGGTATGAAATAGTAAGATGGTGCCAGTTTCTGCATAAATTTTGGGGTGAAGTGATTTTAAATCTGCATAAGGACTTGATTATTACTCCGTTGGAAATAAACATGTTTTCAAATCGAAAATATGACGAATATGGAGACACTTCTCGGTCTGAAAGAAATTTCGAAGGGTGAAAGAGTACCACATATTTTGGCACGGATCCCACATTAAAATTGAAATTATCAAGTGAATCGTTCATATTTACGGCCTTTGTGGAGATGTCTACCATAATTTGATAACAGTGTTCACTGAATTTTGAGACATATTTTCTGCTGGAAACGTTTTGACAAAGTGAATCTGTTAACATGAGAGTTGTATATGTGTCCGTGAATTTGTTCGAGTCACGTAGTGTCGACACTATTTTGTTAGCCAATGAATAGCTTGTGGTTATCAGGGCAACATGTGACGCACAAGTTGGCAAAGCCGACACGAATTCTTGCAATGTCAAGTCATCGTCTCCTCGTGATTTTAGAAGAATGGAGTAGAAACAGAAAAATAGTGTGGTTCTGATAACGCGGGGTGGTTGAGAGGATGACATTTTACAATTGTAATTGAGCACAGGTTATGATTTGAATGATCCATGGGATCAATTCAGTCAAGAGCGATGAGATCTGCGCACGAATTTTTAACGAATTGTGTTCCCCAATCAAATAAATACAATTACAAAATTGCATTCTATTCTTTTGTACCCACCTTGAACCTGACTGGCACGACTTTACTAGTATACGAAATAATTCAAGTTGATAGCGTCAATTATGCAAATGGGTATTGTTTGGATCGAAGCGATATTTTAGCAAGAGTAGAAATGTATCGTGAATGTTCTTCAATACGTTCAATGCTAAAAGTGTCACGCCCAATTTCAAGTTATTGTTCATGCAGAGAGGAAAATGATTCTGGGAACGAATACGTGACATTTTACCTTTAAGTATTAAGAATTCTAACAGAACGAAATATTTACATATTGTGTCGGAAAATGGCATGATGAAAATAATGCACTACTAAAAATATTGACATACATGTTTACATACGTTTAAGTACTTCTTTTTGTAAGTTACATACGCCCATCCGCAAAGCCGATAAATACATATGTACCACAAATTTTCGGCTTGTTTAAGGATTGCATTGCGGGTATTAACTATTACTTTCCTATTTTAAAATAATTTATAAAGGAAATGAAGGCGTGGGATCAAACTTCGTAAAAATCATAAGCTTATTTGATGACAACATCTTATGACGCTTATTATACACAACGGCGTAACTTATTTGACGATATGATGAATACGAAGGACTCGTCAATGCCCTCATTGTGTACTAAACGAGTCTGCCACATTAAAGGAATACATCAAGTTAATCGTGTAAAATTGCTAAGTCCGTTTATTGCAGAAACTTCTTAAATTATGCTACATAAAATTTCCAAACCTTGATTTTCCATACATTTACCTCGTAGCCTTCCATATCCTTCCCTTGGCAAATGCCGGAGTAAGATCTTCATCCTCAGCATCGCGCGTTTTACGAACCTTCATTCCTCGAGATCCTGAAGTTGTGGGTGTGGCTGTTGTGGCTGTGGGTACCCCGTTCACATTGGTCCCTGGATATCCCGAAGTTGTGGGCGTGGTTGTGGTTGTGGTGACCATATTACCATTCGAATTCTCTGTAGAGGTGGCATTAAGTGACGTTGAATTTGTGTCAGTTACTTCTACCCACTTCATTTTTGGCCAGAGACTTGAGGGTGGGGGTTGATTAGCGTGTTGCATGTATACGTATCCTGTCGGGACTGAGGTTAAGAAAAAATTATTACAACAATTTCCATTCCTTAACAACAAATTTCCGTACAGTAAGATAAAATGTTAAAAAAATCTAAAATCCATTGGGAAACTGCAATTGAATTTTACGAAATGGTTTGCACCAAAGCACACCACGTTTGAAAATTTCAAAATCTAACACGAAACATTGTTTGGGACAAATTTTGGCAAATTGACAAACTGTTAAATTTTGACAAACTGTTTGTACAAGAACAAATTTGGGACAAATGCTTCCCATATAGAAAACGTGTTCTGCATGGGAAAATAAACCCCAGAAAATGAAGTATCAATTCGCATCCAATCTCTTTACTAAACTTACATGGCTTTTCCTTCAACTCTGCAATTTCTTGTTTCAAATTCGCCACGACATCGTCCAGTGTTTGATTAGCGGGTGTCTCACACCAGACGAGATTTCTCTCCTGGCACGGAACATCTCTCAACTGCCCAACCGCGCTCCCATTAATGTTCATGACGATGCAGTTGTTGGAAACGTTACTCGTTGGATAGCCCTTTTCCCAATTGATAAATTCCGACGTAACAGCCATTTTCACGTCAATCCACGCCCCACCGAAGAAGGCTTGATTGGAACTGTTCTTACTGAATTCTTTGAAGTAATCAACCAGAGCTTGGCCCTCTTGGGCAGATTGGATCGACAAAAGGGTCGAATTAGTAGAAGAATCGGTTAAATTTAACCTGCGACCAGCGAGTTTTTTCAGTATTGGTCCCATCCCAGAGTTTGAGCAGGCAGATACTGCCATATCTGCGGTCTGTTTCAAACTAGCTGCCGGCCCTCCTGGCAAAGCGTTCAGTTTGGCCCCTGGTCCACCTGGTAAAGGGTTCTGTTTAGTCCCCGGTCCACCCGGCAATGCGGTCGGTTTCAAGTTGCCCGCCGGCCCACCTGGCAAAGCTAAAGGAAGTAGGCGAATACACTTTGACGCCGTGAGAAGTGTCCAATTTCCATTTTCGGGACATTTGGAGGAAACTGAGAAAATCAAGTATACCAATGATTTTAAGTTAATAGGTACTAGATTAGAGGCTATGCGACAAATTATCTTACCTGTGAGAGATACACCAGTTGCCAAAACGATGAGAAATATTTGCGCAAAGTTCGCCATGATTTTTTAAATTTTTGTTGATTAAAATTTAGTTTAAAGGTCAGAATGCATACTGGACCTGGAACTGGTAGAGGGCAAAGGTTACCCTATTTAAGCGTTGGCCAGTTGGATGAAAAGCTGAATTATAAATGCTGCATACACTCTTAATAACGTGACTCAGGTTTACACAATCCTGAAATTCAGGCACGATGGGAAACAAAGAGCACTTGAGTAAACATGAAGTCACGATATTTTTCAAGTTTTGCATATAATTGTAAACTTGAACAAAATATTCATGCCTTATTACAATGAGGGAGGAGTGGGGCAGAATTTATATTAATGCATTGGGTTGCATAATTAAATTAAGCGAATAAGTAAATTAAAATATTGCAATACATCATTAAGTGCATAAAATTTACTCACATGATAGGGATTGCAAGAAAGTTTTATGTATTCACAAATTATATTTTTATTTTATTTAATAATTGAAAATTTGATTTCGAAACCAAAATTATAAACGCAGAATGTAAATTTCTTAATGAATGTTCTTCATCAATAAACAAGTTGTCACTCACAACTAAAATTTCATAAACTCATATAGGCGACATGATCTCGCTCAGGAATGCAATTAGTGACACACGCGACTAAAAGTATCCAAGACGAATGTCACTCAGGAACAAAATTTCTTATAGGCCGTGTCACTCAGGAATGAAATGATTGACAAGTTGTCACTCACGGCTAAAACTGCCCAAAACTTTTGAGCAGTTTTAGTTGAGTGAGGACTTGTCGATCATTTTATTCCTGAGTGACACGGGCTATAAGAAATTTTGTTCCTGAGTGACATGGGTTTTGGGCAGTTTTAGCTGTGAGTGACAACATGTCAATCACTTTATTCATGAGTGACAAGGGTTTTAAGACCACTGTTTAGTCGTGAGTCAATCATGACTAGCCCGTGTCACTAACAAACAACGTCAGTTTGTCAGTTTTTGTCGTGAGTGACATGTATTTTGGGCGATTCCATGTCAAATTGACCCACGAAAGATTTACCCCGCGACAAATTGGCCCAATATTGTATGGGGTAGATCTGTCGCGGGGAAATCTGACGGGGTAAATTTGACGCCTCACCATTTTGAGCAGTTTTAGCTGTGAGTGACAACATGTCAATCACCTTATTTCTGAGTGACACGGGCTAGTTATAATGGACTCACGACCAGACTTTGTTAAAGCCCTTGTCACTCAGGAATAAAGTGATTGACATGTTGTCACTCACAGCTAAAACTGCCCAAAACACATGTCACTCACGAAAAAAAATTTCTTATAGCCCGTGTCACTCAGGAATAAAATGATTGACAAGTTGTCACTCACAGCTAAACATGTCTACAAAAAATTCAAAATGCTACCAAGATTTGATTGATTTGCTATAGTGACGTTTTGAACGGAGAAAACTCAGTTTTTTTCGTGTTTTTCGTTCCTATGAGTGGGTGTGGCGCAAATAACTGGGGCCATAGGGTCTGCGCTCACTTTGGGATCTTAATACTGTCATCGCTGATGACATGTCCAAACGACATCTGGTATTGTCATTCTGACTATTTCATCTCCTAAGTGGGTTAAAAATGGGTTAAAAAATATAACTAAATCCTAAATTTTTTCTCAATTTTCAGAAACATATGCATGATGCATTTGGGTATGGTAATATTAAGGATAAAAACCTATCAGTACAGCTTTGCTTAGCCCGAACCAGGAATGATTAGTAAACCCATGTTTGTCAGTAGTTTTCTATGAAATTATGTGCTACTACATATTTTGCACTAATTCTTCCATCAATCCTTCGTATTACTAGGCTTCAAATTCTAAAAATATTTACTATCCCTTCTCTTGACTGCTTCCTAGTGGAGGTCGTTTCTATAGCCCCCCTGGTTAATTTTTGTTCATATTTAACTTCATGTTATTTCGTGAAAAAGCAGTATGGATCTATGGTCCAAATTACAGCTTTCTATGTTAATTTCTGAAAATCGGTGGGGGCCACCCCATAGGGTCGCTCTAGATGAAAATTTTACCAATTTCACTTCATATTCTTCCAAATTTCAGCTCGATTGGATGATTTTGAAAAATTCACCCCCTCGGGTACCTCCGGTTGACAAATTTTCCAATTTCATATTCTTTTATTAGGAGCCATTAGCAACCTTTGTACCAAATTTCAGCCTTCTACGACAATTTTGAAATTTTGGTGCATAATACCCCACCCACTCCGATGACCCCCACCGGTCAACCACTGACCAATGTCACCCATCTTCGAACTCGTTTCCTAACTTTGTCCAATATGCATATGGTAAAAATTTCAAGGCAATCGGTCAACTCGTTCGAGAGTTATCGAAAGACAGACGGACAGACAGACAGACAGACATGACAATTACATAAGCCCTGCTTCGGGCTAAAAATTGCCATCAGCAATTGCCCTCATGAAAATTTTTATAACATGATCAAATGTCAGTTTTACATATGAATTTTGTGCGATTGCCAAACAAATACAAAATGCATTGGACCCCAGTAAACATTTCTCTATGGTTCGGTCAACGAATTCTCTACGATCTTGTTCGAAATCTTACCGATCTCGAATTCTTCAATAACTCTCAGAGATTTCTGTATAAGATTCTCGCAGAATTCACTACAATCATTTGGTAACAAATTGTAAACGATTTTTTCAACGAATTCTGTGAGAATTCGTAGAGAAATTGAGACAAATATTGGACTTGCCAAAATCACTACAAATTTTCACCGAATTCGTAGAGTCGTAGAGATACTAAAGCCTGCGTCTTGTGCGAAATTTAAGAGAGCAACGAGGTGATTAAAATCAATCACTAGTTAGTCCCCAACCACAGCCATGAGCAGGCTGGGTGTCTTTTCCCTCTCGAATCGACAGAAAAGAAGACTTATTAAAAATCTTGGTGACGACAAAATTTTTACAGATAATTCAAGTGAATCATTAAAAGTAGTTGCGAGTTCATCATCAGCCAACACTTAGAACACTGAAGAAGCCAATTCATCGTCAACGAATTTATGTGCTGCACAAGTCGTTCCTGACCAGACTACCTCCATTGGCTTGCCGACTGACGACATTGTTGAAGTGTTTTTCGTCGAGAGAGAGGATAAAGCAATTCAAACGGATTCTTATGAATTAACAAACAGTAAGTACTTTTAAACGTCAGTCTTGAAGTATAAATTTTATTCGTAGTTCGTTTAATAATTGGTATTTTTTCACATTCAGTTATGAGACTTTTGCACTCCATTAAACTGGAACTTCAAGGACATGGACAGGCGTTACGCACCATTCTGGGAAGGGAGTTGGCCAACGGGAGCCCTACTGTAGTCGCTACGTTATCAGACGAGCTCAACGACTTGGCTTTCCCATTAACGAGAATGGAAGACATCATTGATTTGGATGATCGTGTCAAGAAGTCAAAAGATGCGAAATTGGACTTGGTATGTAAAAATACATTTGAAAATGAGAATTTAATTCTGTCTACCAATATTAACCAGGTTGAACAATTTTAGGCCATTATTATTGCAACTTGTAAGGGAACGGACGTCAACACTGTGGTATTACAAATCATGTCGAAGCTTATTGCAGATGATCTCACTGCAGATGATGGCACAGATTGCAGATGATGGCACAGTTCAGCTTAAAAGGAAAGCGCAAGAAGCGGTGTTTTAACGCGTTGGTCAATTTTCGAGAAGCTATTAATGGTATCATACTCCATTTAAAATTTCATGTTATTTTATGGAGTAAAACATTCAGTTTTTTTAAATTTCGAATTTATTCCTCAGATGCAGTTCAGGCCCATCCAAACACTGGTCCAAATGTCGGCATCGACAAGATTGACGTGGCAATAGCAGATTCGCTCAAAAAGGCTTCAGATCGTGAATATCAAAGAAAGAAGTGAGCTTGCATAAATTATTAAATCCAATTTTTAATTATTTTGTATTAACTCGCATTACATATTTCACTAATTACAGAAAGGGTGTGCCAACGGTGAACTTGGGACAAGCTGTTTGAGTAAAATAAAATAATGAAGTTATTCTATGTTAGTTACGCAAAAATTGTACTATCATTTGAATTATTGCAATTTATGTGGTTGAACTAAATAAAACGTTTCTACCAAATTATTGCCGAAATCTACTTAATTTTGCACAAATTCACGGAGAATTCTTTAGTTAGTACACCGAATTAGTGAAGAATTCTTTAGTTAGTACACCGAATTAGTGAAGAATTCGCCGAGATTTCTCGACGATTTTGCCGAGTTTTCTGCTTTTCTAATCGTAGAGATTCTCCGAGAATTAGCCTCGATTCGGCGGTCACATCTCAGCGATATCTGAGAGAAGTCACGCAGAATCTTCACGAATTTGTTAACGATTATAGCCAAAATTTTGCCCAAATTAATAAAGAATCTCTAGAGAAATGTTTTCTGGGACGTACATATATGATGAAATTGTTCAGATCGCTTATAAATAGTGTTCCTGTGGAATGAAATTCAACAAGGAAACAAATGAAGCTATGCGAGAATTTTTTTTAGCTTTTATTATTATTATTACACTAGGCTAAAATAATTATGGAATTAAATTAATAGAGGTTAAGGGTAATTACTTCACCCTAAAGTCAACAAACTGTCGCCTAAATAAATGCATATGCATTTCGGATTGCATAATAATTATGTACATAGGCAATTCAACAAGGTTTGTAAATATATTGGTAAAACGGCGAAACTTAAAGCATACTCTCATCTCGACCGAGCAAAACAAGTTTTTCACTCTTTTCCCAAAGTAGTTTTGCATCTTGTTCGTTCAGTTTGGGTCTTTTGCTGTAATCCCAGAATTCACAGTTTCTATACATTTCACCACTGTGGTGTGTAAGGTATTTGCTGGTAGAACAATAAACGGTTGTCTCGGCTCCCTGGAAAAATAGGTCAATTATAAGAATTATAAATATTCAAGATCCGGAGTGGTTTCTACCAGTGGTAGTATGAGGTTGAAAAAATGGGAAAATACGACTTGGTTTTGTCCACAAAAAATTATCATGGCGTGGTCTGCTTTAAAACCGGACTCAATTCTTCCAACCAAAAAAGTTTTGTGGTTTTATGCATAAATTTATCAAAGTATTCGTGAGAACACAGCAAAATTGAATTGAAGTAAGAAAATTCCGTTTTAACAGAGAAACAATAGAACAGTTCACGCAGTCCATGGTACACACATAACTTTATAAATCCGTAAAATCTGTAAACTTATGTAGAAACCTTCACAGACTTTGACAAATACAGATATTTCCAAGAAAAATTTGCTTTAAACTTATTTATAAGTTTACTCAGGATTATGTGCATTTTTTATTTTGTAAAAGTTTGTAGAAGTATTTTACCGAATTTACTGAATTTACAAGATTACCCAGGACTGCGTGAATTGTCTCAAAAAGTATCCAGTATTCTGTTCCATAAATACGAAACCTTTGTATTTTTCTTATAAAAATATTTACGAACCTCTTTCGGCGTCTTTCCCATGAAGAACCTCGTAATCCAAAGTACAATCTTGACCACGGGCGGAAATGGGAATTCCAACACCGTATTTGTCTCCACGACGCCTGGACAGACCGCATAACTGCGAACATTGACCTTCTTTGCCCTCAATCTTTTCGCAAGTTCCAAGTTGAACAGATTATTGGCAAGTTTCGAGTTGCAGAGGAATTGTGAAAAGAACGCCGTGTCGACAAAGGGAGTCTTCTCGAACATTAAATCCTCAAAGTTGAGTTTCCCAAAGCGAGCAGCTCCCGAGCTCACGGTGACGATTCGGCTCGGCATCTCTTCTTCCTTAGCCGCTTTATCCAGTTGTGGCAGGAGTAAATTCGTCAGGAGAAAGTGGCCCAAATGATTAACACCGAAACTTTCTTCAAACCCGTCTTCGGTGAGTTTTCGTACTCCGAGAGGATTTCCAACGCCGGCATTATTCACAAGGATTGATAACCCTTTGTCTCCATACTTTTGGTTGAATTCAGTGACAAAATTTCGCACGGATTTTAGTGAGGAAAGATTCAGGTGAAGGGCAATCTGTGAAAAAAATCGTCGTGAATATAAATAAGTTGAGTTGCAACTTTCTTTCTGATTTTCTATGACTGATTTTGCAATTTTCTTTTTGATTTTTTAAAATCGGTTTGTAATTTTTTGATTAAAATGATTTTGAAATTGTATTTCTGATTCTAAAAATGATTTTCTTATTTTCTTTCTGATTTTTAAAAACTGATTTCACAATTTAAAAAAAGCTGATTTTCTCACCAATTCCCCATTTGTCGTCCTCGATCGTATCTGTTGCACACATCTCTCTGCCTTTTGCAAATTTCTACACGCCAGGATAACTCTGGCCCCACGTGTTGCGAATTCCTCCACCGTAGCTTTCCCTATCCCATCCGACGCTCCAGTAACAATCACAGTTTTCCCGGAAATATCAACTTCATTCGTAATATCGACATGACCCCGAAGTTTCTTAATTAAAAACTTAATCCCGAATGAGATCACTGCCGTAATAATTATCCAGTTGAACAATGACAAACAAAATGAGCAACAAAACATCGTGATTTGATTACTTTAATAAGAATATAAATATCGAAATTAATTAAAAATTAAGTAAAAAATACAACACTGTTAGAAATCTTGGTATTAAAATTGTACCGGTCCGTAAAAATTTGCTGCTAATATGATAAAACTGATCTCAGTTATCAGTACCACATTGGTATGGTCAGAAATATATGTATGAATACCGCTTGGTATTATTTTAATACTGGATTTCTACGACTGAACTAAAAATCGGTTAAATCATGGTATGAATGATACGACACCACTGCTTCACTTTCATCTCCAGTCTTTTCGTTATATTGCGAATTTCATCTGCGTCAAATGCCTTGTCACACGTGTACAATGATGTGTACATTTGGACATTTATCTCGTAAATGGAACCATGTTCAGATGTATTCCTGTAGACACAAAAAGTTCAGTAAATACTAAACCAAAAAAAGCCACTCTCATCAGTAAATACATAAATACACGTAGATAATAAGTAATTGACGTTGTGTTTTTGGCAACGTGTTTGTCTTACTTTGCCTACGCTGTTGTCATCACGCTGTTCAAGTGAAGTATTTTGACAGTGGTGGTCGGTCTCACAAAAAGTGACGGCTGAAATATGTTCTTTAAGCGAGATGATGAACGTGTACATTGTTTTTTGTCGAAAGTTGTGAAGTATAGTGGTTGCAGAGATCTTATGTGCATACCACTGCATACACAAATATGCATGCACATTGGATTTAAGCAGTTAGTGGATCGTCATTGTCACACTGCTTATTCACTATTGTACGTGTCATATTTACATATTTATATTAGTTAGCCGAGTCAGAAATATGTAGTCCGATTTTAACCAGGTTCTTGCACAATTGTACCCCTCAGTAATGATCCAGTGCATGTTTACATCATGCTCGTATCTTAAATGCATGCAAAATTTTTACAAGCAACTATACTCTGGCCTTCATTAAACTATTTTAGACTTTCCCCAAATGATGCTTAAAATATACGCAAAAAACAAATTCTATCAAATTATGTATGTGCTCCATTTTTTAAAGTCGAATCCTCCCGACTCTATCAACCAATGTATATAGGGCAGAACAACAATCTGGTCATTAATAAAAGTAAAAGACCCGGAATCAATCGAACCAGTACTTACAACAAACTAGTTGATTTTCATACAACCCGTTAACATTGGGAGTGATTGCTTTTTCCTGACCTCCTCATAACTTGATTTGCATTGTGAAGTCACCAAACCTGCATCGATTAGTTATTCATACAAAGACTCGATTTATTTATTTGTTCCATATACCAATTTTTCACGTGAAGGACTTGCAAGCCTATTAAATAACTACTCGACTTTTAAACGGTGAACATGATCAGTGTCTTCTTTGCCAGCACGGTTACCGGTCTGTCTGACCTGTAGATCTTGGATTTTAAAATGGGAGCTTTTCGAAAACTACGGCTATGCAAGGTGGTCTTGGTAAGTTGGGCAAAGGGTGAAGGGTGATATTCATACGTACAAATTGTGTAGAGAGGAAATCGTCACTTTTCACACCGGCAAATGTCACGGGTCGCGCCGATTTGTAACATAGAGTTGTTACACCCCTCCGTACATTTCTTGTTCGAATTGAGTACCCGGAATTGAAAGAATTTTTCCAGAAAATTCTTCACAAAATACATATTCTCAGAGAAATTTGTCACGCGTGCCCACATAAAACTCGGCACAGTTCTCGACCCTTTCAAGCGTATCAACGTGAGTTACTTGAGTGAATTTTAGAGAGTTTTCAACAATTTTTACTGAGAAACTATATGATTTTTTTCGTAAATTTAGCCACCATAAGTATTAAAATGATTTTTATTCCACAAACTATTTGATAATTTAAATGAGAATTAATTCGCTGCCGTGCAGAAGATGAGTTATTGTTTAATGACATTATTTTTCATAATCATTATTCCACCAGGTTGTGAACATTGTCCTCTTAATACCGACAATTTCCTCCACTCCGATAAAAGATGAAAAGCTGGAAACTGTGCAGAATGTTAGTTCAGAATCCATCACGCCAAAATTGGGGAAAAGTCTACAGGAGCCCGGAACTAAACCGGTGACTGGAACCCGGAGAAAATCACGGCAATCGTACCCACTTATGATTTACGGAGGATGGTATGTATGCCAATAGGGAGTTAATTAAGTTAGAGTTTCAGTCTGTTAAAGTGGGATAAATTTTGGAAATAATTGTGTAGCTATCCCCCTGGGACAAAAGGCTGGGGGTCGAGCATGTCAGGCTGGGGGTCGAGCATGTCAGGCTGGGGGTCGAGCATGTCAGGCTGGGGGTCGAGCACGTCAGGCTGGGGATCTGGATGGAACCCAGCCTGGGGATCTAGGCCAACTGGATTAGGATGGGGGTCAATTGGGGGTGGATCTTCAGCCTTCGGTTCAGGCTTTGCGGGTTGGGGGTCATTCGGGGGTGGTGGCTCGGGGTGGGGATCAAGCTTTGGTGGGGCGCCAGGCTGGCCTAGACTAGGGTAACAATTCCAACCTTTTGCTGGCATATGTAGCCTTTTGACGGCTGAGGAGGTTAAACTTCAGATATTACTATAGTGTCGCTGGTATTTAGGTATATTTATATGTTTACATATGTATGTACGCAGTACAGTATTCTCGTAATTAAGTTAATTACTTTGTGCAAGTAATCACTTTCCTATAATGCACGAATATGTTCCAATTTGTATACGTACATACATATTTCAGGCCAACGTCATTTTTATTGCAATGAATAAGCATACGTAATTTTGTAAATTTGTATTTGTGTGTGTATGTATCAAGTTCATACATACATAGCGCTCCATAATAACATTGTGAATTTTTGACTTTAACCTGGCTTTCCATGGAAAATAACAAATTGGCGAAACTAATCTGGGACTTTATAAATTAAAGTTTTTTATTCCAAGCTACCCCAAATTGATAAAATATGTGTTTTCGTTGTATTCTAAATACCAAGAACTAAAAAATTATAACATGCCTGAAAAACTACTAGACCAAATGTATTTCTTGTTTTAGATAAGTATGTATGCATAATTTGATAGGGTTAACTGTACCGTGCCTTAATTTCAAAAACCGCTGAGATGTTAAAAATACAAAAACCAGGTCATTATTAAAAAATAAAATCAAACTAGTATTTTATTTTTACATACATATTTAACATTGGAAGAGACTGCTTTTCCGTGACCTATTTACTCCCACCCAACTTTATTTGCATTGTGGAGTCGCCAAACTCGCGTGGATTATTTATTGTATGCAAGTACTCGATTTATTTATTTGTTCCATATATATAAGTAAGTACTCATTTTTGCAACTTTCAAGTCAACGATTACAAAGCCTATTACTTCTCTTCATTCGACTTCTAAATAGAGAACTTGATCAGTGTCTTCTTTCCTAGCAAGGCTACCGTTCTGTCTGACCTGTCATATTTTTAAATGGGAGCATTTCGGTTGGGCAAAGTGGTCCTAGTAAGTTGAGCAAAGGGTGTGATATTGTATTTATTTATATATGTAGAAATCGTCGTTTCTAACACGCAGATTTAGAACTATTGTGCGAACAGTTTACTTTCGCATATTTTTGGTTCCCCGGAAATTGGAAGCATTTCTCCAGAAAAATCTTTACAAAATAATATCGTTCTAATTGTACCGTAACTGGTCGCAGAAATTACTATACCAACTTGTCAGGACAAACTTCACATACATATGTATTTAGCTCAAGAGCATTGCAAATTGAAAAAATGTAGATATATATCCACATGAGTAACAAAATTTGAGAGATTTTTCAAAACTTTTCTTTTGAGAAACCATGTATTCTTTTTCCATGTATGGAAACCCACCGGAGGTGTACCAGTTGGATGGGGGTCAATCGGGGGCAGTGCCTTGGGATTGGGACCAAGCCTTGGTGGGTCAACAGGCTGGGCTGGAGCAGGGTTAACACTTCCAAGCTTCCAGTCTCCTTTTGCTGGCATAACGACAGCCATTTGAGGCCTGGACTCTATTTTTCAAGGCTTTGGTAATAGAGGCAACTCTTGGGGAAGGGAATTTTGCCATAAATCCTTGTAACTAACGTCCGTTAATTGTTTTGGGATAGGAGGATAAACACTAAATATTATTAAATTTGCGTTTGAAAATTGTACATGCACATGTTCATATGTATGTAATAATTATTTATATGTATAGTATTGTACTTTTGTACATTACTTAATTAATAAAGTAATCAGTTTATTACAAGTTGGCAAATTTATGCGCACAATTCAGGCCAACAATATTTTTATCACCACGAAGGAGCTGAAATCAAACCAGATGAGAAAACAAGTTTTTCTTTTACGTACTTACTTATGCATTTACTAACAGATACGGGGATTGGCAGTAGCTGATTTTATCATGCAAATAGGTAGATAAGTGAGCTCACAAATGAGGCTTATCAAATTATATGCACAATTATGCATGGCTAGATTCCCTATGGAACAAGTACTTGTTAACCTTTCAATTGGTAAGGAAAACAATAGTCATTAAAAAAAATATTCATGGGGCGAGAGGAACACAAGTGCCTTCCAAAAAATAATCTCATAATATGGAAATAGTTCTTTTCATTGCAGATAATTCCGTTTAACGATCATCAATTCATGAAGCATGATGTTCATAATTAAAAGCCTCGTCAAACTTCGAGTGAAAATATTCATGCATGAATGCATGAATTTACTACATGAATGTATGTATGTATGTACATACATATGTACACGTACTTACAAATATTCAATATTATGCCCAGGTTATATGTGTAGGTGTTTTTAATAACGGGATTTCCCGAGCTGGGAAACTTTCTCCGGGAAATTGTATATATTTCCTGTCTCACCGGGTAAGGAAAGCCGGTACGTGAAATCTTCTCAGCAGCTGGACCAGTCCTTCGAACAGATTGCAGGTTCAGTTTTCTTACCTGTTAATAAAAGGTTTTCGGATTTCGTTTAAATCAGGCATCGATTCTATCAACTCGGTCAGTGTGTATCAACTTAAAGTGAACTAGTAACTAAGGTGAAAATAATTCGGTTTGCTCGTTCAATACAATGTTTCAGTAATGTGTATGCATAACCACTATCTCATCAATTAATTCTACGCCAAAATGGCGGAAAAATCCTCCACTCGGTCGTGTGATGGGGCCCTGTTGATCTTGACAACAAAGACGGACTCCACCGGTTGGTTTGGCATGTCTAGGATTTTTTGCGTCGCTCCCCTTCACTGGAAGCACGAAGCCGTAATTCTTAATAATTCGAATCAGAAGGTTAGTTGTATACGGGGAGGTTTAAATGTCTCGCTAAATACATTGGAAATTTTCCCATGGAAATCATTCATAAATTTATCAAAGTTGTGTCCCTGAAATTCAACAATTTGAGAATTTTGGACCTTAAATAGAGTTAAATAATCAAAAAAAATCTCAATCCCAAATCCTCATAACTGTTGGAGATTTATGGACCCCTTTGCAAAATGTTCCATTATTTAAATCGAGGCTTTTAAATCACCCTGTATAAGTCGTCAGCACATGAGTATTTTTTAAGCATATGTAAATAATTTTATAAGTAGTGCACGATTGGGACTGGAGAAAATCTGAACAGTTTTAACGCGGCCAAATATGGAGAGTTTTTAACATTTCGAAATAACGCAGACGTTGCGGAGGAACAATGTCAAATTGTATGTGACACAAGTGGAACCTTTTGGCTCCAGAGTTTGGTGAGTTTTTAACTAAAAACATACATTTGTTCATGGGACACGTAATTTTGAAGCGTAGCAATCCATGATTAATCCTGTAACGAATTTTAGCAGGGGAGGACTTTTCTGAACGGCAAATTAGTTCGAGATTCCCCCGTCAAGTTAAAATTTGGGGATATATTTCATTTTTCGCACATTTTCTCAACATGTTTGGATTCCCTGGTAATTCACCTGGCCAACAGGAGGACGATTTTGTATCGGAGAAACTCTCGATGGAAAGAATATGCCGTATTCAAATTTGATGTCAGTTAAAAAACATGATGCAATAATCCATGAATTGTAGTACTTCCTAATATTTACATATTCTTTTCCTAATATTCTGTAGAGGATGACGTGTAACGCTGAAGAGGAACGGAAAGCTGAGACGAATTCTGTCCATGACCTCGATATTCACCCCATTTTTGAAAATCATATCATCCTCACGAAAATATTTGAGCACGTGGTCAACTCAAATATTCCATGGGACCAAAGGGACCTTTTGAACTGTCGCCTCGTCTCATAATCTTGGAACGCCTCAGCTCGTCTCGTCCTGCAGAAAAATTTTGTCGTGAAATTCACCATAACTCTTAACCAGTTGATTGCCCAGCCGAATCATGTAATGAATCTGTTGCATGCACAGATCAATCTAATGAAGGCGCTAAAATTTGAAGCCATGCATATTACCATTTGGCGACCTGGGTGGAAATGTGAGAAGGGCCAACAAATTGTCAAATTAGTGGAAAGATTCAGCCAAGATTTTTCCACATTCATTAACCAGCCGGATTTCCACCCTATCAAAATCCTCACCATAAATGCAGATTATTTGACCCCGATTTCCACCCTCCTCACCAAATTTTGCCCTTCTCTGGAAGAGGTCAACATCCAATTTAACAAAGTTTGGATTAAGGATGAACAAATCTTGGATAAATCTGGGTTCCCGGACGACCTGATGTTCCCAAAATTGAAAAAGTTGACGCTCAATTTCTCCCAAGATAGTCGCATTGTGGATGATGACCTAGAAATATCCGATTCTAAATCTTTCCACAAACTCGTTCAAGCCTCCAATGGAATTGAGGAGCTCGTGTTAAAGAATTATGTCAAACTTCCCTGTGATTTAAATTCTTTTAAGAATTTGAGAAAAATCACGATTTACGGTCGGAAAGAGTATGTCATGACACTGTTGAAGTTGCACGATTGTCTGACCCAATTCGTGGCCTTACCGACAGGGCAATTACGTTCGTTTAAACTGGTCTATGACGATATTGGGGTCCAGAGACGCTCAGAGACGCCATTACTATGTTTCCTTCAACAACAGCGACAAAGTTTGGAAAACCTGACGCTTTCCTTCACCTTCAGAAGCTTGGATTTGAATAGTTGTCTTTACCTTCAAGGTATCGTATTGCCGAGATGCATGCCAAGTCTAAAAAAGTTATGGATAAGTTTGGAGGATGAGAGGGCGGGGACGGATTCTTCGCATGGGTTTAAATTGGCTAGTCAATTGGCGAAGGAGGCGGGAGATTTTGAAGTTGTTGCAGACAGGTCAAAGGCGCCCTGTGTTTTACGCGAGGGTGAAGAATGCGGTCTGGAATCGTGTCCTGGGTGTAATAATTCTTTGGTGTATGGGCGGGAAAAGGGTTCGATTTCAGAATTTGTGGGGGATAATTTAAGTTAACTCAGTTTTTTGTTACACAAAAATTGAAACTTATTTTCGCCCTGTTTTAATCTCAACTCGTCTCCTCTCACACTTCCCTCGCCACTGCACTGTTCACATGGTTCACATATACATGTCATTTGTCTTATGTATCTTTACATATTTAGTATTTGTGTATTTATATATATACGTGCGTAAATTCATTTTATACTAATCCTAAACTGCTCAATTAAGGTATGTATATGTATGCAGATATCGCAATTTGTGCATTCCTGAATGATAAACAAATAGCATAAATGTATTTTAATAATCTTGTTCTATGAAATAAAAATTGACCTACGTACATGTCTGTATATTGATGAATGTACTACATGAATGTACTTTCGTGCTTTCTGAAGCTCGTCATCTGCATTACTTTGTTCATTCAGCAAGCCGGCAACAGAATTATTACAAAACTCGGGATTGGATCATAGCCAGCAGCTGAGTGTCAGCTGCTGTTTGTAAATATTTTACGCATTCCACTCATTCATTCCTTCATCCTTGCGTTATTTTGACAAACTTGAATATTCATAAAAGTAATTACCTATTTTTGGTAAGTTGGATTGTTTTCAGTGAATTGGTCCCATCAGAGTCAGCCATTTAGGTTTATACTAAAATGTTTTCCGCTCAAGAACTCAATAATTAACTCAGTTTTGCATCTACTTTTAGCTATTTATCCGACATATCTTCACGAGAAAATAGTAGAAGGAATGTACTGCTTTCTCCAGAGGCTGACAATAGTCTGCGAAACCTTGCCGAGCGTGTGACCGCTTTGGAAAGTGTTGTCCAACAACTCGTGACCAGGATAGAATTACTAAAAGGCGAAAATCCTTTTTACGAAGGGATACAAGTGGAATATAATAATGATGGTAAGCTCTATCATATTAAATTTATTGCTTGTGATTCGAGAACAAAAATCCAATGAAAGTGCAGGTACAATTTTGGTCAAGAGTTTTCGAACGCAATTGTGCACCGGGTTTGTCAAGTCCCCTGAATCATTTGTGCAACAATGCCGAAAACAAGGGAAAATTACAAACAAGTAGCGATTATTAGTGAGCTACTTCTTCCGTTATAATCCATATAAAATGCTATTTTTTTACTATTACAGGGGATACAAATAACGCTAATCATCCCCCAATAATAGTTCGGAATGTAAATAATCGAGTACCTTTAGAAACAAAACGGCCAGGCGTCGCTAAGAAGTCGACGAGTGGAGTCCCCAAAAATCTCCTCGGTGATGATAAGAACCATGCAGGTAATTTCAGCTCTGGATTATTGTCTGATGTCAAGGAGGATGCGGAATTTGAGGATATTCAAGTCAAGTTTGAGCCATTAGACTTTGTAATTAATCCCGAAGAAGACAGAATATCAGCAAATGGGGTATTATTATTTGAAGACATCGGACAGAATTCGGACAACTTAGGCGACGAAGATGGAGACCTGACTTTATTTAGTATTACAAAATAATAATAAGAAAATTGACGCAAGTCTTGTTAACCTCGTAAAATGGGTAAAACTTTAAAAAATATTTTCAATCCTATCCCACAATCTTTTAAAAATTTAATCCTTAGATCAAGACCGTTATGTAATTTTGCAAATGTTATGTTGCAATATTTACGAATTTTACAAAGTTAACAAGGACTGCGTCAATTAAAATAATCGAACAAGTTGTACTCAAATAGTTAAATTTGATGAAAAATGTCTTTCATTGTTTCTAAATAAATAGATCCCGGTGAAGTGAAGTCGTCTCCCCTAAATAATGTGGATGATAGCGACTATACTCCACAAGAAGATGACCTTTCCGAGGAAGAAAGCGGATCCGAGAGTTCCTACAATTTAAGAAAAAATAAGAAAAACAAAATTCGTCCAAAAAATAAAACAGTCATTTCCATTATGCCTACCTCCCAACCGGAAGTAACCCTTCCCAACCCGTTCATTCGTCTAGGCCCGGCACTATCAACTCCGGAAGAACTTGCCTCACACAACGCTAATGTTACACAAATTATGAAGCAAACCCCGAAAAAAGGGAAAATTCGGAAGCGAATTAAGAAACCACCTGGTGTAGGATTTAAATTCAAATGTGACCACTGCTCCTATGGGAGCAACTTTAAGCGGAAATATTTACAACATTACCATCGGCACACGGGAGAACGACCGTATTTATGTGCGACGTGTGGGAAAGGATTCCGTGGCTACGATTTGGTCAAGAGCCATGAAAAAAGCTGTACAAACAGGACCAAGTCACATTCCTGTCCGGTGGAAGGGTGCTCGGAAGCTTTTAAACTACAGTCTAGCTTGCAACGCCACATTAACAAGATGCATAAGGATTCCCGGAGACAGTGTGAAGTTTGTCGAGCAATTTATTCAGGTAGGTGGAATAAGAGGTCAGAAAGTTTAATAATCATGCATTTCACGGGGTCCTTTGAAACTTTGTAAAATCTGTGTAAACCTACCAACTTTTACATAAAGGTTTTGCAACTAAAAAAGTTTTATAACAAATAATTTTCCAGACATTTAATAGATAAAAGACGCCCCTGACTTTGCTTTCGATGAAAATAATTGCAAAGTTTGCAGAATTTACGTATTTTACAATCACATTGAGAGAATTAACGTAAATCCGTAAATTTACAAACCTTAACAAACATTTCTAAAAAAATAGGATTTAACCAAATTTTTGGTATGCTTATTCAGATAAACGACGGCGTTTTTTTATTTTGTACTGAAAACCTTGTAAAACTATTTTACAAAGTTACGAAGGGATGGGTGAAGTGGATTGCCTCAATATTTAGTAATCTTCCTATTAAATAGGCCCTGATTCGCTGTACATTCACAAGAAGCGGATGCATCAAGATCGTCCCTTCACTTGTCCCATATGCAGCCACAAATTTGTATTCGCACATGAATTGAAAACCCACGTGGAGCTACATTCCGATCCCAAGCATACGTTTAGGAGTCGGAAGTGGCGTGTTGGTCCCCCAGAAGAAGTACAAGCCGCCGCTTCTCCCGAGCCGCTCGATACCGACAAGATTTACGTCGTCCCACCAACCTTCGTTTGTAGCAAGGACGGCTGTGGAAAATCTTATCGGAGGGAAGTGCTTCTTCAGAGACACGTGAGGGCGAGACATTGGACGGAAGAAGAACGCAAAGTTGGGTGTGACGTGTGTGGAAGAATTGTGAAAGGTAGTGTGATTCGTCCCCAAAATCGGCACGTTTTTAATAATTTAAAGAATTTATTTTAAAATTCTGAACGACCAATTTTTAGAGCGAAAGTCGTCCCCAATTTAAAAAGGTATACGCCAGATTTTGACAGTTTTTGAAGGAGGAGAGCTTGAGAAGCCTTTAGTAAAATTGGAAGGCATCCAAACTCAAAACTGGGTTAAAAACTAATAGCTATTCTATTAATAAATTTACCGAAATATTGGCTCTTGAGGAATGTTTTAAACAACGAATTTGTAGTCAGTGAGTTGATTAATTGAAGGCCATTTTTGATGAGTTTCAATTTTTCTGAAGGCTTCTTAGACTTGAGATCTCCTTAAAAAACTGTCAAAATCTGGAGTGTGTACATATATTTCTAAGAAATCGGGAACTCCCTGCTCTGCAAATTAGTTGTCTAGAATTTGAAAATAAATTCCAAGAGGAGAGAAATGACTATAAATGTGCTGATTCTGACGATGAGTCCTACGTTAACTAGGGTTTTGACGAATTTATGAATAATTTGGCATCATTTTTAACCTTAATAAAATTTAATTTGCAGACCATAACCATTTAAAGAGTCATATGAAAATTGTTCATAGCGAGGAGAGAGCACACGTATGTGCCATTTGCGGACAAGCATTCAAAATGGCGAGTCACATGATTCGGCATGAACGTGGACACGCTAATCCAAATTGGAAACCGAGGTCAAACTGTAAACCGAAAAAGTACAAGAAGGAGGCGAATTAGGAATTGGATCTGCGTCAAGAGTAGAGAAAGTAGCCATCCTCGAGTGAAATGGTCTCCAAAAGATTGGAGGAAGGAGGTTATAATTAATATGGAACAGAGCTAATTTTGTGAAATTGGTTATTGCAAATAAGTGTTTATTGTTAAAATTATTTAGTAATTGGTTTTCTTAAGACAAATGTGAAATTCTTGTATTTCTTTAAAAAATTGTTAGGGTTCTGATTCAATTCAAGGATATTTGGAACTAGAATACTTATTGGTTGTGCATAAATATTTTTACCAGAAAATTGGAATACATTTAGTTCACAAAGATTAGTTTTTTTGCATAATTCTTTATCTTATTCTGAAATAAACGCGTGTTTAGGTTGAAATATGTACATATGCAAGATTGATTTTTATTGTACACTGCAAAATCTTAAAGTTGCGAATATTAAGATTGAAGAATACATAAATTGAATTTGCAAATATTTGTGTAAAACCTACTCTTTCTGGCAGAATTTTTGGAAATTTAGAAACACCCATCTCACTACAGTTAGGGAAGGCTATCTTTATCCATAAATTATGTCACACAAAAGTCGCGATTTTCTAGACCTCTCCCCCCTTTAACATGTCTCACATAGACACGATATCATTGGAGCCCCTATCCCAAATAGTTATATTACTATTTGGATGTGATTTTGCTGTGGGAAACTGCACTCTTAGGAAACTGGTATTAAATTATGACTGGCCAGATTATGACTCAACCGGCGCCAGTACGAGCATTACGGTTCAGTAAGCTCGTGGTAATGAAACATTTACTACGCAGAAGAAACAAACCACTACCAATCCGGTACGAATTTATTACCCAATCAATACCGGTACGTAGCAGAATTTTAACGAAGTAAATAATGTTATCACTAGGTTAATCAGTTCTCAATAATTTTATGATAAATAAAGGAATTTTGTAAAGATCCATATTGCGAAAGAGGTTAAAAAAAGCTCATTCCTATATCTCATCGTCCTCCATGTGTGTACATGGGGTGTGTCGAGTCATATCTCGACCTCGGGTGGCTCGTCAGCTTGAAATACCAATCAGAAGAATTGTTGTATTTGTGTAACTCTCGAACACGACACAATTCAATAGTTGAATTTCGAGATATCTACATGAAATAGTTTAATATTAAAGATTTTAATTTGACTGTTTCTTATTTAATATTTATTTCATTTTGCAAGTATGTAAATATGTACGTGCCTTGTGCCCCTTGATCACCAGATATTTTAAAGATTCCAATTTTTGCAAGGCGTAGAAAACCCCAATATCTGTTACACTATCGTTATTAAGTCTCCATCCTTTCGGCCGATCCCGGAACGGACCTTTATGTATGGTCAATTCCCGTAAATCTGGAGATATATATAAATAGTTTTAATAATTTCATACACGGATTTTCCAAAACTATGTCAGCTTCAATTTAACGTCCTATTGCATGCGAGGTTTGAACTTAAATTTTTGTGTTTCACCTTTCCCTTATTCAAAAGGCGATTTTGGAATCTGTCTATCTTTGTATTTTTACAAAATAAAGGTTTTATTGCATCCAAAAATCGATAATTTATAGGTTAACAAAGTTAGGAGGTTAGAATTTAGATTTTTTTCTGCATTCACATGTGGAAATGCTAATAAAACATGCAGATAAAAAATAATAAGTAAAAATCAAATATTTTCCCACCAGACAAAATCGAAATTCCGACATTCTAACTTTGCAATAAAATCTTCATTTTTTTAAACAACGCACAGAGATAAACATGTTTCAAAATCGCCATTTAATTACATACATGTATATAAGAAGCGAAAGTTGAGACACAAATTCAAACTCAAGACCCTACAAAATCTTCAAAATTATAAGCATGAACGCATTTAATTACGTTTCAAATTAGTGATGGATCCAAACCGAGGTTCGCCAATTTGAGGATTATCCACACCCGTATTTTTGATCAGTTTACTTTCTTTTTTACTAAACCCAGTCAAGATTTCGTCCAATTGCAGAAATCCTTTGGTGTCAATATTACAAGTTTTTTTATCTAAACCGACGGACAATGTGCAGGATTCCAAACCAAGAAAACTAGTCCACATCTTCTTCAATACATAGCCAGACTGATATCCGACCGATAAATCTTTTAAATTGGGGAAAAGGTGGGCTAATTTTTGAACATGGTGGGGCGACAATCCTCCCGCCGGAAGTTCCAATCCCCACACAGAGAGCGATTGCTGGTCCCAATTATCCAGCAAGAATGCCGGGAAATTGAAATTTTTCGCACATCCAGAAATCAAAAGTTTTTGCAAGACGGGAAATTGTCTGGGAATATTGAAAGGAGCCTGAAAATATACAGAAATAGGTTTTACTTAAAAATGTTGGCATTGTCTTGAGGGCCGTTCATAAATTTTGTATTGCAAAAGTCGAGATTTTTAGACCCCCTGACCCCCTCCCTCCTTTAACATGTGGTATCATAGGAGCATCATACCCTTCTTCCCCCTTATCGTGTTACATATGTAATTTATGAAGGGTCCCTAATATTAGCTCATATCAGAATTAGTGCAATCTAAGAAAAGTTCTTTTACCAATGAAATCTCCCTTTCCCAACTATCCGACTGCTTTAGACCAAGCCGTAGTAATTTTAAATTTGGCATCCGTTCAGGAAGCATGATAACCTTTCCGGCCCAGACGTCCGAAATTTCGCAAATTACGAAAGTTTCGAGTGTATTTGCTTGGGCGTTTAGGAATCTATGCAGCCCGTTTTCCATTCCGACTGGTTGAAGTTTTCCAATTTTCAGACACCTCAAGTGAAATTGGTCCTTGTTCGTATGTAAAATTTCAACAGTATCAGGATCCACTCGTTCAAGACTTATATGACTCAAATTTCTTGCCCTGTAACAACAATATTTTAGGAAACCTTACTACTCTTGTACACCGTAAAGGGACGTCCATCAATTATTATAATGTCGGTACATTCATAAAAATCTAGTAAACATCTTGTACCTTGTCTTGTATTTGGTTAATTACCAAAATTCTGGGAATTTCACAATAATCGATTTTGAGAATTGATAGTGTATGTTATAAAAATTAAGAAATTTTACCGATCTGCGGCGACGAGTCCGTTCAGAAATGAGGAATAACTTGACCCGGCCATGACCTCTGTTAGGTTGGGACACACGCGAAATAAATGTATGAAAAACTTTTCCTCTCGTTCCTCAACCGCGTGACACTCCTTAATCCAGATCGTCTTAATTCCCGTGGTGAAGTTTGGAAAAGTCGCAGCGCTGACGTGTAGCTCGAGAATATCTAACTTTTTCAGGTTTGGAAGTTGGGTCATGATTTGTACCAGAGAGTCTGAAAATACATAGGCGAAGCTTAAAGTGGTCACGTGTTCACCACATTTTGCTAAAAATAGGCTCCCAATTGGCGGTTTATAAAATTTGAAATTTGTATATTTCACGCACTCAGGTCCACTGGTCGACAAGTAGTCGCAGTATTTATTAATGTTGGATTGAACCTTGTGAGGTGACGCTAAGAAAGAAGAGATAAATTTATAAGTTATTATGATTTCATGCACAGGAATTTCCCGTCTTTAATATTTCCAAAATGTACATTCCTACCCTTTACTTGATGCATATTGCACTAATTTTGCTATTTATGTAGGAACCCTGGATTAATAATTAACAATTTCCGAAAATAATTCTAATTTTACTCACAGAAATTAATAGTTACTTGGGAAACCATTCTTTTAAACAAGGGCGTCGCTACGGAGCACCAATGGCGATTAATTGTTCGACAAATTGCAACATCTTGGATTTTCAAATACTTTAAAATCCTTCCCAGCACCTACATATGAAACAAGTGAATATGAATATGAAACAGCTAGATATTTAAGTTCAGAAATTTAAACTTTTCGAATTTAGAAACTCACCAGATCATTTTCCAATGCGTCAACTGTTTGGTATTGTATCGATTCTTGTGTATCCATATTTTGAGATAAAATATCTACTGTGTAAGTATTTGTGAATAGCTCAGAATGTAATTTTCCCCCAATCTTTCGAAGATGAAAGGCAAAATTTATTTAATCCCGTCCGGAAAATGCAAGTATGTATTTCTGTATTTATGTAACTATTTGTACTTTCAATAACACAAACAAATGCATATTTACTTTCTAGAATAGGGACAATCTTCATCAAGTTTGCATCACTCCCTGGCAAGCAAACGTTTAATGATCAGCGTTTGATATGATGTGGAATCATTCCACTGGAATGGGCAAACACAGGTATGTACATATATGTACGTACAACCGTACGTATAACCGTAACACGTATACCTTTGCAATAAATTTACCAGGTGTTTGAGCAATAATGATCCCTATGTAGCAAAGATATGTATGCGTCACTTATCAACCGTGTGTGTGTACGTATCATTTACTATAGAGTCAACGTGGGTAATTCTGTACGTATAGATATGAGTGATATGATATCTCTCATATCAAAAATAGAACTGCTTTCACTGAGGAGTAGGGTGTCACATGTTGTCGGGCCCCGATTTCGATCTCGTTGGGATATGTTGTAGTACTACATGAGTGTACAAAAAGTGAAGGAGGGTTAGACTCCATGAGCCCATTTACGCCCACCACACCCCCTCAAAGGGGCCCAAACCCCCAGAGTTGCCGCACTAAAATCATCGCCAAAAATCGAGTTTTGGTCAGATTTTCAAGAAATTTACATTTTTGTGATCCCAGATAGTTGCTCTATCTTATCCAATAGCAAACTCAACTTTTTTGAAATTTTTAATATTTTCGAAGATTTTCTGACCAAGGGTATGGATCGAAAAAATTCGAAATTTCAAAAAAGTTGAATTTGCTATTGGATATGATAGAGCAACTATCTGGGATCACAAAAATGTAAATTTCTTGAAAATCTGACCAAAACTCGATTTTTGGCGATGATTTTAGTGCGGCACTCTGGGGGTTTGGGCGGCTTTGAGGGGGTGTGGCGGGCGTAAATGGGCTCATGGAGTCTAACCCTCCTTCACTTTTTGTACACTCATATAGTACTACAACATATCCCAACGAGATCGAAATCGGGGCCCGACAACATGTGACACCCTACTCCTGAGATCAGTTTGATTTTTCCCCCTGAAAGTGTTATGAAAATTTCACAATTATGTACAACTCGTACGCATTTATCCACAGCGTCAGCAGCCATCTAAACATAGATACATATGAACTTACATAAGTATCTGTTGTCTGTGCACTTGATTTATAATGAATACTAGCGTATAGCCCGGCCAAGGCCGAGTTCTAGAGTTCCAGTGGGGGTGTGCCCAAAGCAAAAAATCCGTCATACTATAATTTAAATAATTCCCACTGGAGACTTTGTCATACCACATACATACGTCAGAGTGAGGGTTTGCCCAGTCATACTGCATTTTAATTAATCTGGTCACAGTACAATTTGATTTCCCCCTGTGGGAGTAGTTGAATAGCTAATTACTTAAATTCCCGTCGCGTGGGAGTAACTGCATAGCTAACTATTTAAATTCCCACGCCTCACGCTCCCGTTAAGTTCCATAAACCCCGTTAACTTCTACAGTTAACGCCAAGCTATTGACGGCGTTGGATTCGGCATCAAAAATACATTCGAGTTGATATGCCACTCGCTGTGGGTGGAGTTTCTTAAACTAAAATAATTAATTAATAGTGTTTATCAAGATCACTTATCATGATAACCACTATTGAAGAGTGATGTATATATTTATACTGCTCACTTACTCAATTTACTTGCACACTGCAAATATACAAAGACATTTAATTTGAGATTGATGGCAAGCGTACGTGAAAGTCACGTGCAGGCGAAGTGAGACTCATGCAAAAAATTCATGCATACGGTTGCTCCGCGTCCTTCTTTGTCTACTCTACGGGGCAACTTGCATTGAGAGCCACAGGGACCCAGGCAGCCAGAACTTAACACTAACGCTTTATTAGAGTAGACTAGAGTAGAGGCCCGTTCAAGAACGGGTTCTAGGCTCCCAGAGGGGGTGTGCCCATAGCGCAAAATCCCCTACGCTACACTTCAAATAATTCCCAGTGGAGACTTTGTCCATTGTCATAATACATATGTACGTGCATCAAATCATACATTTCAATTTCCCTGATCACGGAACAATTTGACTTCCCCCTCTTGTAGTGGCTGCATAGGTAACTACTTAAATTCCCGTCGCGTGAGGGTGGCTGCATAGCTAAACACTTAAATTCCCATCGCGTGGGGGTGGCTGCATAGGTAAACACTTAAATTCCCACCGCGTGGGGGTGGCTGCATAGCTAACTACTTAAATTCCCGTCGCGTGGGGGTGGCTGCATAGCTAACTACTTAAATTCCCGTCGCGTGGGGGTGGCTACATAGCTAAACGTTTAAATTTCCACAGGATGTGGTGGCCGAATGACAAAAACCTTAAATTTCCAGAGAGGGGGTGACTAAAAAACAAAACACTTAAATTTCCAGAGAGAGGGGTGATTAACTAACAAAAAACTCAAATTTCCAGAGGGAGGGGTGACTGCATAGCAAAAAAGTTAAAATTCCAGAGAATAGGATATGAATTTTATGCTGCTGGTATGTTTACAATTCTACTGCAAGAAGATAGAGACAAAGTGTCGCGGCAGAGTCATCATGGGTACGCTCAATGGTGTAGCGGAGCACACGCTGGTTGCGTAAACTCCATTCAATAGTAGTGGGGCGAGTTGCATTGAGAGCCACAGGGACCCAGCCAGCCAGGCAGCCAGAACTTAACAATAGCTCTTTATGTATATAGATTGTACATAAGTAGGCACACACATGTACCTATATACATGAATATGAACCTGACAGACACCTCTTACCGACACCGAGATAGATCCTGTGCCATGCCTGGATTTTCTTAAAAGGTTTCTCCCACAAAAGTTCGAAACTGGGGAATTTAACATTCCAAAATATCCGTGAAAGTGTTCGTCGAGCCGCCAAATGTATACCCGCAGGGATGCATTTATCTCATCGTGACGATGTAATGCGCACGTATTGCCAAAATAAAGTAAGTACGAAAGTCACATCTTGTATCCTCTTAATTCGTTGTCAACATTCTGCAGCAAAAAGAAAAAAACATCTATTCTCCGCATCGATTGTAACGTTATTGTTCTTACGACATTTACATCAATATGCACACATATGAAAACAATTGCTCTCCCAGATTCTGAGCTATGTAGGTATATCATACCCTACTTTATTACACATTACGTAAATTATTGAGTTTAATTTAGGATTTTTTATCATTAACCATGACTACCGAGCAGACCTCCAACCAATGGCAAGCCTCCCAATAATCCTATGAGCCTGACAGGCCCCGATCTAGCCCAAAATCTTACCCGGGCAAAGAAATTAGGCGCCCCTAGCCGCTCGCGCCTTCGGCGCTCGCATGTGGCTTTTTTCTCAATTAGATACATACTTGAACCAAATATTCCTACCCAGGCATTATTAGAATATACATTAGGATAGCAAACTTTTTGCGCTCCTTTAGCTCTATAATGTATAATACAGAGGGTGGGCCACTTAACTTGAGAAATTTTCAAACGCTCGCGCGAAAAAACTGGGCCAACTTAAACAAACCTGGCCTGCACTGTTTGATACACAAACCAATTAGGTTAAACGGTGATTTTTTTCAACTTGAAAATCTGAAAAACTGCTCCTCCCTGATAATTTTAAGTGGAGGTACTAGTGATAAAGTCTTCCAGACAGAATTTCGCCGGAAATATTATCAAAAAAGGGTTAATGCACGTGGACATGAAATATTTAGGCCTCAATTCATGGAATATTAAGTATAGAAGTGCTTTCATCGAGGAAAAAGCGATTCAGACTTGTAGCTGAGACTGAGGGCCATCACATCGAGCCAGTTAATTATCCAAAAAAAAATTCATATGTAGCTGAGAAAAATTGTTGAAAATTTCTCAAGATAAGTGGCCCATCCTAGGTAGGTTAAAATTGCATAATATTGAGCAGATCAATATTTCGTAATACAGATGATATTGGGGGCGGGCTTAGCAAATATTCAAGATATATGTTAAAACGTGCACAATTTTTCTTAATCCTGCTTTTGGGACACTTGCTAGTTTCTGGGTCGGAGCACCACTGGTTCGGAAAAATTGCCCACCGAACCACACCGGCGGGTGTAGTTCGCGGTATGGTTAGCCGGGTTTTAGAATTTTGCAAGTGTGGTTCGCGGTGTGGTGCGCATGTCCGGAGGTGTGGTTCGCTTTTTGTTAATAGCAAATGAACCTTTTAACCTTTGAAGCCATTTTAAAATTTGGTGTAAATTTTGGTCAAAAATGATTTAGCGTCGTTTTGGACGTATAAAACTTTTTTAAACTGTCTAACAGAAAAATTTGTCAATTTAGATACGCTTCTGTATTCATGACGTTTTGGTAAATAAATATATTTTCAGATATAATGTCCTTTCAATTTCGGGAAAGATAATTAGCAATACCACGAAATTTATTAGATTTAATTTCCAGTAATTGGAGAAAAATATGAGTGGGGGGCAAGAAGTTTAAAACTGTTAGTCTAAAGATGGTGACCGGGCTAGGTATTGTATTCGGCCAATTACTTCTTCTCGGAATATTTTTGTGGCATCAACAAGCATATTTATATTGATTTTCACAAATATGTGTCGGTGAGCTCCATGGCATTCTTCGTCTAGTCATAATCTTTGTTCAAGTATGACAAATTTCAAGCCTAAAATTCACCATATCGTCGTACTAATTCCGAATCCACATAAGTGCACTCAATGCTTAATTCCGAAATAACGTAAGTGCACCCGATGCTTAATTCCGAAATAAAATAACGTAAGTGCACCCGATGCTTAATTCCGAAATCACATAAGTGCACAGAAAAAATTATTGAAAAGACATAAGTGCAATTTTAATATTAATTAGTCAATGATTTGTGTGTAAATATGCCCATGATTTTAAATGTGATTACTTGCCCTTTCTAATTATATTGAAATGTTTAAATAAATCTTACACTGGTGCTGAAAATCATACTCAAACTTTTTATGGAAATACATATTCTTATTAAATTATCATTGGAAAAAGTTTTTGAATATGCATCGTAATATATTATACATTTGTTGCATAAAATTGTAATAAATTTTTTATCACACGAACAAGTTAACCGGGGCATGATAAGATGTGTTTCAGGCGGATTTATCAGTCAAGTCGTCTGTGGTCTTGAAATAATTTATAAAAATTCGCATATTTTTGCTTGTATTTTTATATAGTATGTACGTACAGTATGTATGTACAGTAAGTAACTTATTTACTGATACAGATTTAATGATATTATATGACACGCATTTTCTAT